CATCTAAAAGTTTGCTTGCTTAAACAAAAATCTTGGTAAATAAAGTGTAAAAAATATATAAATTTGAAACCAAGTGATAGACAATAATAAGAGCAAATGAGAAAATAAAAAAGTTGATAAATACAAAGTCCAATCTGTATTTTGGTCAAGAGCATGATGAAATGTCGGTCAAAAGTAGAGAGTCTAAGAGTTCTCTGAATGCAGAACATACACTCAAAATGTTATTTAGTTTACCTTTTTGGTAGAGTTATTATTTTATATTAATAAGATAAGAATGATAGTTTGCTTGTTTTTCTAAACTAAAGTAAATTTTGGTGAAGCAACAGATACAAATTCTATCAAAAACTAGAAGATAATAGATGATCAAAATTTCAACCTATTAAGTCATATTAAGAAATATTACTTTTACCAAACAAAGGCCAAAATATGGAATGAAATTTGAAATCCCGAAAGTAGCAAGGGACAGATACATTGTTTCCTCTTCTTGATTCTCTTTTAAAAATGGATTTTCCGATTTTCCCTTTGACTTTCAGTTAATCTGCAAACTTGATCAAGTTAAACTGTTGCTGGCAGAACCTCAATCATCAATGAAAGGTGTTTCCTCATTTTCAACAAACCCACCCAAGGTACTTTCAACGGAAAGCATTAGAGGAAATGGAAATGGCGAAGAAAACCCGCCTTCACCTTTTGGCCAATAAAAAACAACGACCCAATCGACCTGCGCCGGGGAAAAGCGAAGGCCGGGAAAAAGTGTCGCCAAGTGTCGGTTATTGTTTGGCTTAACACGTTAACCGCGGGTTCACACGCTTTTTTTTTATGGCCTCCACACATTAACGTGGCCAACAAATGTTGCCAAACGCTGCTTGGCCTGCCGATTTGGCAGATCATCATCATCATTATCTTCATCAGAAGCAGCAGGCGGCAATTAAAACTCACGCGAAAGTAAAACGTTTTACAGTTACCAAAAACAAAAAAAAAAAGAAGTTATATATATATATTTAACGATGAAGAAGCCGCAGACTTGGACTTGAGAAACAACAACAAATTGCTTATTTAAAAGTCATCAAGAAATGGTTTTTATTGCATTCATTACCTCAGACTTTGTTTGCTTTCGCTGGCTTTTCGCTTAAACGAAAACAATTTTCGTGCTGCTGCTGCTGCTGCTGCTGCTTGCTGCATTTACCAAATCAAATTAAGTGAAAATTAATACGCTTTTTTGTAGCTTTAAATCATAAGCAATTAAATGCAAATCAGTACGTAATATCAGTCTTTGGACTACCCCACCCCAAATCCCAATTAATCTCCCGTCCGCCAGATGAAATATGAAATATTGATCAGTGTCAGGGGCTTTAATTACTTTATTACTTGAGATCCCAAAAAAACTCAAGAATGAAGCCAAAAAAAAAAAAAAAAACGAAACGAAGGCGGTGGCCTTAGCGGTACTTTGACTTAAGGGGCCGCCAAAAAAATTAACCAAAAGACAAATCGCTTACGCCCTCTCCTCAATTTTGATGTTCCGGCCTGGTTTTCCTCCTCCTTCGGGAGGCCGACATAACAATTTAGTGTAACGATATCCGTACGGCATATAGGTATATATAGGTACATAAATACAAAAGATATATATATATGCTCGTGGAGAATAATTTAATTTATAACAAAGCTCAGTGGCAGGACATGCACAGTGGGACCAGGGGTGGTGAAAAGTGTTGAAGAATTGAAAAATTTGAAATCAGATTATTTCCTTGAAAACAAGGTAAAGTGGTTTAAATAAAAGAAAATTAATAGTTTTAAAAGTCTTAAATCTTAAGTAATATCTATTTAAAATGAAGATATTGATCTTTTTCTTCCTGAACAGCTCAAGACCCCAAACCTTTTCAACTCTTCGGCTCCACTGTCTCCTGTTCCAATACGAAATCTGACGATGACCACCCAACAAATAAGCTGGATGGGATCCGGCTGGACAGAAGGCCCCCTTGAAACCGGAGGCCACACACAAGAGGCGGAACCGAAAGCCCCGAAATGGAGCCCCCGAAAAAAATGAGAATTAATACGAAATGCTCTTGGGCTGGTAGCTCTGCAGCTCTGGAGCTCTGAACTGAGCTGAGCTCAACTTAAAGAGAAGAAAAAACCCAAAACTGAGGCTCAGCTGTCAGGCTTGGTCAATGGAAAATTAATTAAAAACCCAACCCCATACGTTGAGCGAGGAAAGTAACTAGAGAAATGGCTCATTACAATGATTACGAATATGAGTACCCGAATGGGAATACCAAATGTGAGTCAGGGCAGGGGATGGGGCTGGTGCTGGGGCTACGTGCCCAGCACAGTAAAATCGAGGGAGAAGAACTGGGAACCGAAGAAGTCGGCCTGGCCAAAGAACAAGTCCCACAAATTGATTGCCTAGAGAGTGGAGCATGAAGAATTGACCCACTGTGGCCGAGACGGCTATGGAGAATTGTTATAACTGCGCTTTGCTCGGCTAACTGTGGCAAGACCTCAATCCAGATACAAAACGCCACTTGGCACGCTCGCAGCTAGCAGCTCTTCGTTCTCTGTTCTTCATTCCCAATTCTTGGCTCTCAATTCTTCAGACATTCGATTCAATTTATCCACAAAAAAACTAAACAGCAAGTTGGCCAATTTGCTTAATTACTGCAACGCTTATCAAGTGAGAGTTCCAATTTGTTTTGCCGGCGAAAGTTTCCAGTCAATGAACTGAAGTTTTCCTTCTTGAAGAACACAAACCGGGGAAAAACTCTGATTCAGATTTAATGATCAGTTTCAGTTAATCTCTTTTTATGGTGTACTTTATAGAACAACTCTGATCACCAGCTTAAGAACTATAAACAAAGCAGAGGTGCAGTATCTTAAGATTGTAAATGCTGCTGTAAGCCTTATCAAAAACCCCGAAAAAAAGGAAAAGAAAACTCGCCACCGATGCAAATATTTACATGTAAAACCCGATAAGGCACGATCTCGAGAATAATGTTGTAAACGTTGAAAAGATAAACGCTTTGTTTTTAAGACCTAAGTAAATGGAAATGGTTGGGGATTTTCCTGACAATGTGTACCAGTTAGTTTGGAATTTCTTTGGTCTTTAGCCGGGCTGCATCCCATTTCCATAGGCAACGCCCCTGCCCGGAAGCTTTCAACTGGCTGTGTTGCAACTAGGTAAATGCAGCTACTTTTACTTTAGACCAATCTCTTTTTTTTTTTGAGTTTCTGCTTGCATAAGATACTTGTATATACCGGGCTAGTTTGGGAAAGGGGAACATAGATACATGGATACACGCCCCAAATAAACCACTAAACCGGTGACACTACGCCACACCGCCTCCGCAGCCCTCTTCTCGGTCGTCTCCGAGTGGCACCACTTCCAATCCCACTGCAAGTTGGGGCAAGCCGCGAGCCGCTAATTCAAACAAATTGCAGCATAAATGCATTATAAAAGGCAGAGGAGCTGCATCGGGCGACACAGTGTGACAGTAATAATGTCACTCGCAGTCACAAATGGCCGTTGCTAGAGGGGGGCACGGGGTCTGATATGGATATATGGATATAGTATAGGTGGAATAGGGAATACCGAAGCGTGAATGCCAGTGATAAATTAGCTAGCTTCAGCGGACTGTCCATGTGTGGGCACTGTACAGTGGTGATTGGGTGGACTTTTGGTTAGGAATTTATTAGTTGATATAGAATTAAATTAGTAACAATTGATTTGATATCTTCTTCCTTCATTTGACTCCCTTTTAAGCCCAGAAAGTACCCTTTAAACCAAAGGTAATTAGTGCTTCGAGATCTAACGTCAAAGCATAGTTTTATACCCAATGAGGTATCGGAAAACCCTTTCCAAAATCAAAATAGGATGCTGGCTACATAGAGGTCTCTTCTGCAGGTCACTGAACCCGTTTGAACTAGAATTTTCTTCGCCTTTTCCCAGTTAATTGATTGTTCTACTCCATTTGATAAGCTCTCGGCAATTGCTCATTTATGGCACAATCGCAGCCGTAATGGTTAATTATACTCTCGATCTGGCCCACTGTGCTGCATTGCAAGTTGCAAGATGCAACTGTGCAACAGCAACTTGGTGGCAGACAAGCAAGTGTTTTGTTGTAGTTTCTACCGCTGCCGCTGTTGCTGTTGCTGTTGCTGATGTTGCTGCAGCTAATTTGATTAATGATAAGCCGGGCTTAACTGACGACGATTGTGATTCATTATGTGCGCACAAGCCGGCACACTTAGCACAGCCAAGATACAGATACATTGTAGGTTGAGGATATTGGTGCGGGGGGGAAACTACACATGTATCTATCTATCTATCTATCGGTAGCGAATTTTCATTAAATAGATTAGAGGGGCCTGCCACCACAGCGAGTCGAATCAGTGAAAGAACATTGCTTTATTGAAACGAACAACAAGTGGTCGTTGTTATGGCGAACAGTGGATCCCTGTTTGATGGGTAATTGAAGCCACAATTGAATTTCCACTGGGGCTCTATCTCTATGTGAGATATATCTGCTTGTGCCATATGCCATATGCTATATGCTATATGCTCTTTGCTATCTGAAAGATACAATTTCGCTGCTTTTGATTACATGCAATGAGCCATTTCCTCTACAGCTCACTGGCTGCCCGACTTACTCTAAATGCATGCCTCGACATATACCTAAAACATTCTGAAATCGTTTTGTTGTAGTTGCACCTCATTTTGGGCTGAAACAGAGCGCTGGCTTCATTGCCGTTGGCTAGGTAAGTCGTTAATAAAGTGGCAGAACTGAGCTATGTAATTGCACTCTCTCAGCTCTTTGGATCAAATCTTGTCTGCCAGAGGTCTAAGTTAATTGGAAAAAGGTTTAAGTACCAAAGTTTATTGGTAAAATAATTACAGTTCCTTAATGTTAGCAATAAGACTATTTTCTGACTCTCTAACCTGTTTTCACCCTGCCAATTATTGGTCCTTAAAGGACTTTTATTTAATAAATCCAACCAACTATTGTTTAAACTTGATTTCAGGCCAACAGTAACCAATTTTGTTAATTTATTCAACAATTTGTTTAGTTTTTTGGGGCTACATTCTTTCTGGACGTCTTTGGTTTTGGCCCAACTAAAACGTAGCTGCCGTGTTGTTACTGCCGGCAAAGTACATAAATTGAAATGGGTGAAAAAGGATTTAATATCCGGCCGCCTTCTTGGCCTTCTCAGCCTCCTTTTCGGCCTTCTCCTTTTCCTTTTGCTTCTCCTTTTCGGCCTTTTCGCGTTCCTTGCGCGCCTTCTCGCGTTTTTTCTCGCGCTCAGCCTCCTCCTTTTCGAGCTGGGCCTCCTTCTCCTTCCGCTTTTTTTCACGCTCCTTGTCCCTTTCGGCCCTGACCTTGGCCTTCTCCTTCCGGATCTTCTCACGCTCCTTCTCCTGCTCTTCCAGCCGCTTTATTTCCTCCTTTTCCCACAACTCGAAAGCTTCGCGCTCGGCGGCCAGACGCTGCAGCTCATTCAATTCGGATTCGGTGATGCCACCGTCCATGTCGCGCTGCATCAGTTCCACCTCGCGTTCCATCGCCTCCTTGGCTCGTCGACGGCGTATGCCCAACTCACGGGCCTCCACAGCATCCTGGTGGCGCTCTTCGCGGGCCTCCTTCTCCTCCCGCCGGCGCTCCTCCTCGATCTCGAAGTCCTCCATCTCGTCCTCGGTGTAAGGGTACTCGGGAAGGACCCAGTTTAGACATAGGGCACCTGAGATTGAGAGGGTAAAGTGCGCAGAAAACTAGGTTCTAAGGAAGTACTATCGATTTTAAGCCTCAAGAATGATATCTTTCTAATAATTAACCTAATTATTTAATTCCGAACACAAAAACCAAAAAAATCCCCCAAAGGAGATAGGCAATGGGATATTCCTACCTGAAGACAGGGCAAAGCCCAAGGATCCCCCTGCTGCAAGGATACCCGAGATAAGGATTAGGTTATAGCGACCGTTCTTCGCCGACCAGGCCCTCATGAAGTCACCATCTGGCTTTGGGCAATCACTGAGCACAGCATGCTGACCGCCACTGGCAAAGAAACCTGGCTTTCGCTTCATATCCTTATCGCCACCAGGACACTTGGGCGGCTTGGCGGACTTGGGCGGTGGTTGAGTTCCAGTCTTAGGTGGCGTTGCCTTCTTGGCCGCCATTTGCTGTGGACCAGTGTTGTGGATCAACATCTGGCCAAATCGCACTGGGGGTAGTTCACGAAGGTTATATTCCAGGCTAAAAATAGATATATAACTCACATCCCCTTTGGAGCCGCTCTTTGGCCGTTGCTAAGAAACGAGACATGGTTCTTGCTCCTCTTCTAGACCCACAAGGTCTTGGGAAACAGTGATTTTCAAATGCCAAGTGTTTGTCTACTAAAATATAAAATTTTATCGAGTGACGAACTTAAAAATCTCAAATCGATGTCTAAATCAAATGTTGCTGCGTTCGGCCAGCGTTTCTTCATTCGTTTGGGCTTTCTTGAGTCAAAGGATTAAAGCTGGTTCAATTCTGGCTTAAAAGATAACTTACAAATAATGGCAGGACACTGAAGTCTAAATATTATGAAAACAAAAAGAGCAAAAAAGATTTTTTGACTTGTTTTCTTAAAACAGTTTAAAATTTTCACTCAATTTTGCAAGCAATGAAGATGTCTTTTAACCCACTTTAATATTTTAATAAAGACATCCGTAAACTTTAAAAATATTCTAAAATAAGCAAGTATAACCAAACGATCTATAAAGAAAATACAACTTTTTAGGCCTTTTTCTAAAAGATAAAGAAAAGACTACTCGATCTGGCTAACAAGTTTAAGAGATCTCCCATTCCCACTAAGAATAAATTTAACTTTCCCATTTTGCATGATGTTTTTAGGGATTGAGACTCTCCGATTTTACAGGTAAATGAGAACATTTTCCCAGTACTGCAAGATCTTGAAATCATTTTACCCGAATTCCCACCCCAAAGAAGTGCAGTGAACCAGTTTTTAGCAGACTGCACTTTGTGGTGATAACAAGCGAGATACACAAATATACAACTAGAAAATCGTGTACGATAATTTACACAACGGTTTTCGTGTAAGACACAAAAGCTCTGGAGATAAGAATATATGTAAGTCCAGAATTGGATGGGGGCCATCAGAATAACCAAGAGAACCCACACCGGGCCATTAGCATGTTTTTGGGAAAGAGAATTTCACGGAAATTTATGATGCCCAAAAGGGAACACACCTTGGAGAAGGAGGTGTCACGTGCGCTGTCAAAAATCGGGCTGGTCCGAGACGAGTGCATAATAAAGACAGTGGACAGTGGTTGTTGGCCAGACACGAAAAGTGGTCTAAGGCTAAGGCTAATCGCAGAATGCGGTCAACAAACTGGTTCCTCTGATCTTGTAGGTGTATGTCATTGAGTGGGTGAAATGCAATTGGAACCATGAAAAATATATATACACTTTATTTAGGAAAACTAAAACCGACTAAAATCATATATAGATCATCAACGACGGTGACCTCTTTTGTAGAGTCGCTTCCTTTTCTTGTTTTCATGCCGGATAACCGCTATCGCGATGAATACGAATGCCAGATAGACGATGGCGGTCACGAAACACCGGATGGCCAATAGGAAGTAGGCTTCGTCGGCCTGCTCCTCGAACTCCCTCTGACTATTGAAATGATGAGGAATTGGCAGGGACTCCATCAGAATCAGGGAATGGATATAGAAGAAAATGCCCAGCAGGTTCAACATCACGAAAGCCCAGGAGCTCATGAACAGGCAGAAGAAACAACACTTTCGGCCACAAACCATTTTTAATTCGAAAAATCGATTCGTTTGTTCTCAACTTTGTGCGACAGTGTAGGCGAGTGTTGCTCTGACCGCAACAGGTGCCAAGTTAAAGCCGACTTCGAAAGCGAAACCAAAATCGGAATGTGTTGGACTGTACGATATATATGTATATATATACTTTTAGCTATATCTACATACAAGTACAACCTTGTGCGATTTCTGCGGCATTAGATCTGAGTGGTTGGATTATAGAGTTCAGGTGCCCGAGAGCCTCTCGCTTTTGGCGCCGTTGCGGTTGGGTTTATTCAACTCGAAATAATTCTGTTTCGATCTGAACTAAAGATATTGATGGACAGCTGAAAGAGCCAGTCTTTAATAGCATAAATATCTCTAGGAGATGGTCAGGAGTGGTCAAAATAGTTTTGTATTAATACTCAAAGTTGAAAAGAATGTGAGAAAGCTGCCTCCTAAGGATATGATCATTATTATGTCATCATTACTAAGTAACTGCCTAAATTAAAATCTTAGCTGTAATAATTGTTAAAACTTTTACAGTTTTGAACTTTTTTATAAATGCCAAAGGAATATAGTAAGTTTAGTGAAGTTAATCACTGATCTAAATCAGTATGGGAAACAGACGTTCAAACCAATCCACTTAACCACATGAAATAGTAGGTAATCCATTGCATTTCCTATTTATAAAACTTGTGATTAAAAGAAACCATATGTAGGCCACCCCAAGTGGCTGATTCACAAAAGGGCAGACTCCCATTCAGATTCCTCGTGTGATTCATCCTTAAGATATTGCACTTAGAATAGCTAACCAAATAATTTAGCAATAATTAGCACAACTTACCGTGGAATGGTTTGCCTTCTCAACAAAAAAATCCGCAGAGCCACAAAAATGTTTTTTGCCGCAGTTGCAAAGCAGAAGAAGCAGCAGAAGAATCCACAATAAAGTTTTCTTTACCAGTTTCTTGAAAATCCGTTACAAAACATCAAGTTGTTGTGAAAATTCGTAAGTCGTTTTCGCGGTTGCTAAACGTTTTTTTGTCACTCTGTTGTTTTTCTTAACGTTTCTTTTATTTATTGTTTATGTCGTTAGTTTTATGTCTTACTAAATATTTAAAGAAAGAAATCAAGAATAATAATTATTATGATTATTATTTTATACTTTCATCAAATGTTGCAACGCGAGACAAAAGGCCGCAACTCTAATTGAGTAAATATGTTGTTTTTGTTTTCGAGTAACTTAAGCTGCGGATTTCGTATAGCCCCCGAAATGGGGGTCAAGTCCATTAGGCTAAAACCCGATCCCCAAGCGAAAGACCTTGACATTAGGGCGTTTGCTCACTGAACTTGGTAATATCTTAAGTGTCTCGAATTCCCTTTGGCACAAATCAATCAACTGTCTTGATCTCCATTACCCTCTTAACCCCTTGCGCTTGTACAGAGGAAAAAGTAAATCGTATGGAAAAGTTAGTATTTTATTTAATATATATTTACAGAAAATATTTAATATTTTTAAGAAATATGCAAAATTTGCTAAAAACGTGATATAAATTTGATTTGATTTGCTTTTATTTAAATATAAATTTATGGAAAAATCAACTCTCAGTTTTATGTTTCAGTTTACATATTTTTAATTTTCAGCTAGTAGTAGAGTTTTTCAAATAATCTAAAAAACACATCCAAAAATTACAACATTTTCCTTGACTAGTTTCTTTTCTCAGTGTAGCGTTTCAGTTACAGTTAAACGCTTGTTATTTGCTTTATTTGCTTAGCACATTCTTCACTGCAATTGCACACAAACACACACACTTGTCTCGTTTTCGTATGCTTATGTTTTTGTTGTAAGCGCTGTTATGGGAATAATCAGTAAAAAAATATATTTCGTTGGAAAAACAGCAAGTTAATCAGGGAATAAATGCTTAGCTTTCAGTTTTGCCTTTTCCTCAAAATTGTTAGTGGCTTAATTTGCGCTTTCTGAATATGAAATCACCGCAATGATAAGACAAAATATTGATATTTTTCGCTTTAATTCACTTCTTATTTATTTGTTCATCTTATAAATTTTGTTTCGCTTTCGATTTTTGTTTAATTTGTTTGTTTCGCACTTTTAGGCACTTGTTGATATTCAAACATAACACTTTTCGAAAACCGGTATGTAAACCGAAAATCACAAATCCAAAACTCACTGAAAATTATTCAAAACTATTCAATTGTATTATCGAATTCTTCGTGCACCTTTATTCCGAATTCTCGACTCCGATGCGGCCGCCGCGCTGCGAAAACAAAGATTGAGCACGAGTTTCGTTGCGATGTGGCTTAAATAGTTGGGGTCTCTCGCTCTCTCCCCCAACGCACAGTGGTTCAGCTTCTTAACATATTGAGAGAGTCGAAATGTAGGTGGAGTTATATAAATGAATATACCTATGCATAAACATAATATTTATTCAGAGCCATATTCATAGGCATCATTTAAAAATAAGAATAAAAACAAAAATCCACATACCAAATTTATGTAAAAGAAATAAAATATATTGCGCTCATGAATCAAGCATTTGCATAAATAACAATATTTCTGACTTTTCTTAAAGTATTATATAATTCAAAATATATATCATGTACATGAGAAGTTATCAGTATCAGAATTTTTTGTGTTGGACATAAGTACTCTGTCCCACTGTGCAGCGCTCTTTGACCATCGCTCTCTTACACTCAACGGCTCTCCCCATGAAAAGGTTTCTCTGAGAGCAACAAGTGGGGACAATGTTGCCAACGGAATGCTCACTGCTATGACACCGCTCTTCATCTCGCTCTTGAAGTTGTGGGTGTTGAATACCCTAGGAAGAGGTGAGAGAGCACTAGGGAGCTTGACGGTCCATTGAGAGGGAAAATAATTTAAATTCACAATAAAATCTTTATATTTCTAGTTTATTAAGCAAATAGTTTTTATTAATATTCGATATTGATTTGCCGAAATAAAATTAAAATCCAATAAAATAAAATGCACAAAAGGTTTGAACAACTCGGCACCCTTTTCCAAAATGTGTAGAGTGTCCACTAATCAATCAAAGTTTATCAGCATGCTCTTAAATTATAATGCAATTTGAATAGCCGCTAAATTGTGTGCATTATAAGTGCACTCAATAATGAGATAGGACAGCAAATATGTACGTTGACCAGGTGGTTTAATCAAGTCAGTCACTCAATTTGCTTGGCTTAATGTCATAGGTAAAAGGGCATGTGAAGGACAACTACTGCCCGCGGCCCATTGAAAGTCCACCCACTGATGTATCCCGCCGCCCACCTGTTGGGTGGCCAACTTCTGAATGCAGTCCACATGACATTCAAATTTCGTGTAAAGGCCAAAGTGCACCTGGAAGTGTGTGTTTTTCACTCTTATCTCCCAATGCCAGCTGAATAACTTTACATCATATTCAACTTTATGGATGCACTGGGAAAGTAGTTATAGATTTAATGATTCTATTTCTGGAAATGGAAGTATATTTATTAGCAGGCTATTAAGCTTAAATTTAGGAAAATGATAAACTAATAGGATCTACATTCTCTTCCTCATCAACAACAACTATTTCTGTTATTAACAATATAATTAGTGAGACAGATGGCTTGCTAATTTTCTCAGTGCATTCCCAACAATCTATTCATATTCCTCTCTTTTGGCAAACACTTTCCTTAGTTAACGCTTTTGTCTTCCCACTCGTCGGCCAATTAAAGCCCAACATTTACGGCAAATTAATCATGTCGGCTGAGAGCTATTTAAGCCATATTAAAAGCAGATCTTCGCTCGATACTGTTCCATTCTGACCGCTACCGAAGTGGCCAAATCCGCTTAATAGTTGGCTTTATAAGGCCAACCATTGATGTGGGATCGATGCTTACTATCGATTACCCAAATTGGCTAACAAAAACTTTTCGCCTCGCGGATTTCCGCTCCCAAGCTACTAGAATTTCCAGACCAAAACCTAAACTCGACCATCAAGTGGCGTCTCAGATCATCAGAAGAAGGTCATCCGATACCGCCGCCAGGATGGGAGTTACTCAGAGTTTACCGATTAGCATGTTAAGCCAACGGTTCGCGGCGGCTGCTTAAGGTCTATAATTAAGCGACATAAACTTGGGTATTAGGCGCTAAATACACAGAAAAACAAAAAAAAAATGTAAAGCTCTTGAGTGGGAGAACAAAAAAGAGCAGAGGGGGTGGAAGGAGGGGGAGGGAGGAGGTGCGCCTCTTCTCGATTTGCATAACTGTTCGTTTGGGCCAAGAAGTAGGGGGATATGGATATGCCTTGGGTCTGGGTTTGAGTTTGGGTTTGGGCCTGGTTATTATGGTATTGGTATTGGTATTGCTATCGCCTTAGGTTGCATTCGAAAAACAGACGGACGGTAAAGGAAAACGGAGGCAAACACGCACACACACCTGAATTTACCTGGCCACTGCACCTGTCCACATAACCGTCTACGACGACTCCGTTGGGCTTTCATTTGCTGCTAAGAAAGAGTAAACAGCGCGCGTCGCTTCTTCTTACTAAAAGGTATAGTAAATGTTAGAGGAAGAAAGTATTTAGGTTTTCAAAAAATAGTTTAAAAACAATGTAAGATTCAACATTAAAAAACATTTTAAGAATGTTTATTTTAACATTAGTTCAATTTAAAAATCAAAAAAGTCCAAACTATTTTGTACGTTAACCTATCTAACTTTTTGTATAGTTTGTTAAAAAAAAGAAACTTTTTATTTCAGTGAAAAAAGTTAGGTTAGGTTAAACTACAAAATTAAAAGGTACGAAACTTAGTAAATACACTTCACTTTGCCCGAACAAATATACTCTTAAATAATTTTAAGAGAATTTAAGATTCGTCATTCTTGACGGGGCAAGTTTTACTTTCTTCATTCCCTTTTCTTTTCCCGTAAAACACAAAAGAATTTCCATCAATAATGTCAATAGTGGTGCTACAGCAACAACAACAACATTAACACCGCAATAACAACAAAAGCAATGGCAAGAACGCCAAGACACTCCTTCTGCCTCTAACCCATGGGCTCTAGCACTTCTTCTACTGCGGCCAAGACGAATTACGGCCATTAAAGCTGCTTGGGGTTTTAAGTTATTAGGCAACTTGAATTTCAAACTGCACTTGACAAACGCACAAACACAAAAATATAATCTCAAATGTGCAGTCAAAGGCAATTGATGGTGTGGAATTAAACAGGTAATAAACTAGGCCTAAAGGTTGAATTACAGCTTATAGTTTGTTAACCCTTTATGGTTTGTTCTTTATTTCATTTCCCATCAATCAAACTGCAAAAAAACCTAAAAAGAAGAGGGACATTCTGCCGCAAAACGTGTTTAAAATTGGATTTTAAGGTCAGTGTTCAGCGAAGTCCATCCATAAACCTTCATACATATAGCACCCGCTGCCCACCCACTTGTTAACCTGTTGAATTGTGAGGGGGTCAAATCGGTGAAAGCCATTTAACCCCTTTAAATCGTCGACACCCCAAAGCTGTCCTGTGCATTCCTCATACGTCATTAACTTCACTGACTTTGATCTAAATTTATTCGAGTCTCTGGGTCTCGTATTGATTGCCTGATTGGGGTGCAGCTTTTTCTATGGAAATGCTGCGAAGGGCAATCGATATAGGGAGAAATGAGGAGTGCGATTTAAATGGAGTCCCCTTTTCAGGTTAATTTCATGATTTAAATGTGATATTATGTACTTCACCAAAAGATATACTTATTGTTTAAAGGAAATAAGGAAAGGTACTGATAATGTTTTTCCGAATTTGCCTAAATTTTGACTCGACATTTGATAACGTATATATTTATGGTTATTTAAAATGTATGGAAGTTCTTTTAAGTGTTAAAATTAATCTAGTGGGTTAAGAAACACTTGGTTAATATTATTTTTGTATCTTTTGTAAGAGTCTGAGTTCGAGGTTAACTTAAATAAAGTTCCAAAAAGTTCTCAAGGGGATTATTACTTTGAATTGTCAAATTTTGTTTAAATCATTATTAATAGTAAGTATTTCTATACATTTTTATATAACATTTAGGAAAAGAAGTAATTTTAAGATATTTATTTATATATAAATGGCAACTTCTATTTATTTCTCTTTTATTCACATTTAAAAAGTAATATTAAACAAACTTTTTACATTATAACTACTTTTACATCATTCAGTACATCACACCATCTAGCGGCTATGAAAGTTTCCTTCAATTTCTGTAAGATGGAGCCACTTGGCAAAGCTTGTGCTTAAGCCAAAATAAAACTATAAAAGCTCTGCTTTTATGAAAACCCAAACAGAAAAAAAAAAAAACAAAATATTAACTAAAAACTAATATTCCTTAAACGTTATGATTATGATTATTTTTAAAATTATTATATTACGCGTTAAAATATAAAGAATAAAAAACCTAAAAAAGTATTTTGGAACTGCAACTTTCGGCATACTTCATCTTGGCCATTACCATGGCTATAACCGTTTCACAACTGTCCACCTCGATGCAGTCATCCCATAAATAAGCCACTTACCTTGCCACCAAATCCTGTTGACGAAAAACAAACAGCAAGGCGAGAAATTGGCCAGCAATTCATGGAATGGAAACTGTCATTGGCTCGCTTTAAGTTGAGATTGCCAAATGCAAAATGGCTTTGAAATACAGAGATAAAAATATCTAGGATTTAAGTTTGATATATGTTATACAATTTTTCTATATATGTACACCATATAACACATATGGTTACAAATAAAAGCAAATAATCATCTTGATACGAAAGTAAAGTAAATAAAAATTCCCATTCGCTTATTCTTCAAAGACTTGTCTATAAAAATCAACAAACTCTTGAAATTCCAACTCTTACATCCTATTTAATCCACTAAAATCTCCACTGTGCCACAGTAAAAACTCCCAGTCACGTAAAAGCGAGGCTCGAAGCTTGACAGCTCCCAAATTCGTAGTCCGAAATCCATTTCCATGTCCACCACGATTCATTCATTAATTCAGGCAAAGCGTCATAAATGCCACACGGTTTTTCTTTTTCTTTTGGTTTTTCCAGCTTGTTGATTTCGTCGTTTGTTTTTGATTTAATTAAGCGGCGTTTTTGCCATTTTGCAATGTTTTTCTTGGCCGTTCCGCGTGGCATTTGCAAGTCAAATGGCTGTGGCGTTAATTAATTGAATGGATCGAAGCAAAAATAACGCATACGCAGCGTGCGCCGCAGAAGAATTCTGCACTCGCGAGCCATTGGGCAATCGTCGCGAATTCTTCTCCATTCTCTGACCACCAGCTAATTAGGCCCGTCATCCAAAATCTGCGGCATTTTGCACCCATTTTGGAGCGCACGCCGCCCGATCGCCAAATGTGGCCTAAAGACTTGGCTTTTCAAATCGAAGCCAAAATAAAAAACAAAAAAAGTAAAGAGGGGATCTACCGTAAATCGGCATTTTGTTATGTGGCAATTTGGCATTCAAGTTTGCCACCCTTTTGGCCCGATCGATTGCTGGAAAATTGCTTTCCACCTGGTCGAAAAATATGTGGGGCAGTGGCTGGGAAATCTTTTATTTATAAAGCAAGCCGACACACCGACCACATCGATCTGTCCGCATCGAACACTTGTTTGGCAGTCGCCGGGCACTGCCAACAATTGCTGCTATTGACTTAATATTTGCTAATAGATTTCACATAAATCACATTCCGCTGGCATGATTTATGCATGAACTCTGCTTGCAGGTGACTCTCTGTCTCTTTCCTGCCATCTCGTGCTGTCCTTTTCTCATTGTGCTAAGTAGTTTCGAGAAGTTGCTGCGTTGTTGTTGTGGTTTGTTTTTAAGACCTCTTGAGGAAACTCCGCACAAGTGCTGCTAGTTGTTTGCCCCAATTTGAGACTCTACGAATTGTTGCAAATTTCTGTGACTTAACCGTTGAACTGCGGGGGATTTTTCGGGGAAGAAACATTTTTTTTGGGAATTTGAAAAAATTAAATACCATTACTTTATAATTTTTGTCCTAGATATTTCTCTTCAACTCTGCCAAAAACGTAGTAATAAATGAATCTTAATATCATCTGTGTTATTAGAATTGGGAGTATTAATAGTTAATATTAATATTTAAAAATATAAGGTTATAAACATACTCGTATTATACTTTGTACTGTGTATTATGTTTTCGTCTATTCAGTCAATACAACTTTTATAAGAGAAATTAAAATAATAATTTTTAATGTGTTAGTTAACGTTTTTAAGATACGCACATTTTTCTTTACTAACAAATTAGAATTTCAGTTACTAAACTGATAAATGAAGATAAAAACAAGTGGAAATGGACAAAGCGCCACCTTTTGTCAGACAAGCACTTTTTCTAACTGATGGTGACGTCACTGTCCATGTGAGGGCCTTATAACCCACATTCATTCATAAATAGCAAAGCCGAATTGAAAAATCTTTGGTAAATCGAAAGAAATTGACCAAAATATGTCCACACTTTTCCGCGTTTTGTGGGCGTTATAGTGGGGGAGGTCGGAGGAAAACTCGCGTCGAGCTATAGTGGCACCTCTGAAATACGTATTCCTAAACCTAGACTTTCTAGCTCTTATAGTTTTCGAGATTTTATCGTTTTCGGTTTTCAGTGTTTTGTTGGCGTTAGAGTGGGCGTGGCTAGAAGGGAAAAAGCGATAAGAATTGGGGGTACTTAAAAAACTACTGCATAATCACATTTCTATCACTTATAGTTACCGAGATATCAGCCTTTCAAGAAAAAGCGAAAATCGGTGGGCGTAAGAGTGGATGTGGCAGGATGCTAAAATAAACTTGCGCTGCGTAGGGACCTCGAAAACGATTCCTCCTACCTGCTATATTCTTTTTAACGAATCTAATGAACCTATTACGACTAAAGGGCATAAATAAATATTCTTGTTGAGCATCACAAACTAAGTAAATGGATTTGACCATATACCTTACGTTTAAACCCAAAGTCATTAAAAGCTAATAACCACATATTTAATAAACAAGAATATCAAATTATATCGCAATTTTTTGCCTCAACTTAGTCAAAAGCAAACATAGTTAATAGTAGCGTCACTATTTAAATGTTTCTCCATTAAATTAAAAAAAGGAAAAATATATTTTTCCACTTAAATTAAAGGCTATTCATTTAGCCGCTGAATAAATCATCTAATCCACTGCTCATCTGAGATAAAAAACTTGTAAACTCGGTGGATAAAATTTGTTACATTATTAATTCTTTGATGACCCACTGCCATCGGCGGCTGTCATATCTCCTTACCCCCACCCACCCCAGTGGGTTAGTCATGGTGGTAATAAAAAATCCCACGAGCTGCCAGATGCTCAATCGGCGGATTCAGTCGGTCGATGGAGAGCTGGAACTGGGGGAACTGGAGCCAAAACGACCCCCTCCTCCATGCACAAGTGTCCTCGAGACGAGACGGCGTGGCTGCAGTTGAAATCACCCATCCAATATGGTCAAATGTGGCACGCAGCGGCATTTGTGGCACGATAAAGATAAATATGAAGCTCGCCTAGATATTTTAGCCAGCCGGGGATTGTTTGGTTTTTGGTTTTTTGATTTTTTAAACATTCGCCGATTTGGCAAGCGTTCATTATGCAATTTGGGGAGAATTTCTCAGCGACACCGAGAATTGCTTGGAGAATAATCGTACATAGCATCGAAGACAATTAGACGGCATTCTCCATTGGCTAATTAAGTTGTTAAGACCATCAAGGCTGGGTGCTTTCGAGGGGTGTGTTCACGGTGTGTCCAAAATTGGCCAGCTAATCAGTGAATTCAATTAGCTGAGGCGCGCGTGCGCTTAGTGCTTTCCAAAAAATTGTATGGCACAATGGCAACCCCAGTGGAAATGCCGCCTTTCCTGCGACTCCTTAGACGGCAAGTGGTCTGCCTTCAGATCGGTGCTCCCAACTCCCAGCTCCAGTTCGTGTTGCGTCATCCGCTTTTGGGGCGCTCTCCAAGTTGCATCGACGAGAATTGCAGTTTCACTGCAGCCAAGATACTTCACAAATTGGTGCTGCTTGGCCCGCTTTGTTGACTGCTGACTGTTTGTCCGCTCCAAGCTCAGATCGAAATCTAGTCAAGATCTGTCCGTTCGTCCACCTGTCCTCCGGTCCGCCAGTCCACTGTCCGCCGCTGGAGAGCACGAGTGCGTGGTCTGCCGTCGAGCAGTATAAAAGTAACGCAATGCACGCAATCCACTTACAGTTGCAATTCTCCCTCCAAGCCAAGTGATTCGTTATCCATCGCTAGCATGAAACTTCTGGTGAGTGGAAAGGGATGCCTAAGGATCGGTCTAAGGAGCAGGATTATTAGATTAGAACTTGAAAAATGTAATCTACCTAATCTGTTTCTATTCGAAATTCACTGTTCCGTCTACATTTCATTAAGTTTTAGTTTTAAGTTCAGTGAACTAGAATTGATAAGGAACTTTGGATACTTGCTAGATCAGATTCTTCTAACCCAAGAATAAGATTAGTAAGATACGCCTGTTCAAAATCAAAGGGATATATATGTATAAGAGCATTATAGATATAGGATCTGAAAAATTTACATATTACTTATGGAGTCATTTTCAAGGATTTTTTTGGAATATACTTTAGATTTTGGGAAAATTATATGATTGAAGGACCTTAGAGGTTTCAGATCAGATTATCATTTAGTTCATTTGATTGATTTTTCTTCCTACAGATCCTCACCACTCTGCTGGCTGCCGCCAATGCAGCACCTGGACTTCTAGACTATGGAATTGGACACTCGGCTCCGGACTACAGCTACGCACATGCTGCTCCTGCCATCACATATGCAGCTGCTGCTCCAGTGATCAAGTCATATGCTGCTCCCGCCATCACTTATGCTGCTCCAGCTCCTGTGATTAAGTCCTACGCTGCTCCAGCCATTAGTTATGCCCATGCCGCTCCAGCCATCAGCTATGCCGCTCCCACGGTAGTCAAATCCTATGCTGCTCCAGTAGCTGTGGCTGCTCCGGTGGTCAAGGTGGCAGCTCCAGCCACCAGCTACTCGCACTTCAGCTCGGTAAGACCAGCGTTTTTTTTATAAGGATAAAATTTTACAGTTCTAAACTCGTACTTACTTTATTTATAGGTTGTTTCCCATGCCACGCCCATTGTTAAGTCGTACGCTGCCCCCGCCATCGCATACGCTGCTCCAGCTCCTGTGATCAAGTCCTATGCCGCTCCAGCAATTAGCTATGCCCATGCCGCGCCAGCCATCAGCTACGCTGCTCCCACGGTGGTCAAGTCATATGCTGCCCCGGCCATCAGCTATGCAGCTCCGGCTCTGGTCAAATCCTACTCTGCTCCGGCTCTGTCCCTGGGTGGATACGGCTACCATTAAGCTCTGATACCAAACCACTCCAAATCCAAATTGATTCTAAATCGGAGATGGAGCTAATGAAGCCGTTTCCAGCGAGAAGTTGCAGCAGCCAAGGCACGTTATCCTTTCGTACTCTCCCACTTTTCCTTTAGTCGAAAAATCTTCACTATCTTCACTGATTACTCTTTATTTATTTAAGAAACCATTAATATTCTTTCAAAGGCACAATAAAGAAAAATGTAGTTTTTCAAACCCCACTTTTAATATCTACAACGGCGAAGACAATGGCCACCAAAACAGAGCTTAGGTTGTTCAGGATCTTGGCCAGGTGACGCCAAGGATTCTCTTCAATGTCGCAGTAGTCGTTGGACTGCAAAATATAATATCATTTAATATTATCTAGTTGTTAAATAAACTTAAAACCACTTACATCCGTGAATCTCAATCCTAGAATACACCGCAGCACATTCGAACTTAACATTGCAACCAAGGAGCTAGGAGCCTTCGATCTTGGTGGATACAACTCCAGCCATATGATGCAAACGTGCAGGATGTAGCAATAGGTGGCGACCATCATTACGGCCTTATATGAAGTCACTGTGGGGAATGAATATTTACAATACTGACATTTTTATCCATTATCAATAAGATTTCTGTTTACAAGGACGGAAGGTCTAAAACCAAATAAAATTATAAGGCCTTCCTAACCGAAAATTCATTTTCAACGGATTGTAAGTATTTTTGGTAAAAGCTATAACATTTCTGAAGAATGTTTTTCAACTTACTTAAGGGGCGGCACATAATGCGGGGAGGCGTGCCGTGCCATGTACATTAAACCCCAAGCCAGTATTAAGAAGGCGATGATTATCAGGGAACTTCTACGAGTAGATCGCAGCACAAAAGACATTATCAAGAAGATTTGGCAGGCTGAAATTAAAAATAATTATGTATGTTTTAATTCAATGATAATGAACTCATTGTAAGTTATATGAATAAACTGATAGATATCTTCCGCTACAGAGATATATATTTAACTAATAATAAATAAATTTTCTGATTACCGATCAGCGGCAAATAAAAAACTGTCATATAGAAGCTTCTGTTCCTTTGCAATGTGTACTCAATGGCCACATCACCAGTCATCTTCTGCATTATTCCTTTTGGGTTATATCGTCTCATCGCATCATTATCCACTTCCACCACCGACAATTTCGGGAATGACCAGCCGGACGGCATGTTAACGTGCTCATTGGGTGCAATGGGCTTGCGCTGATGATCATAGATAAGCGCTATGTTTTGCTGCCCCTCTTGACTAATGAGACCCAGTTCGATGTCACAAGTCACCCGTTCGTTTGGCCAGTTTCGGGCACTGTCCACACACCAAGTGGTCAGCTGCAGGTTGCTGGCATATAGGGTGATGTTGCCGTTGGCATAAACTCGAAGTTCATAGGATCGGAGGACTTCACCCATGGATTGCAGGGCTCCGTTAAGGGCGTTCATGTGAGGCGTCCATATTCGCAGATCACGGTGTTCGAAGGATTGCAGAGAACCGAATTCTTCGGGTTTCCAAACAAGACGTGTGTCCTGCCAGTGCTGAAAGGATAACAAAGGTATATTTTTCTATTTTATTATATAATGTATCCTTAATTACCATCATCATGTGCATTCGGGTCTGAAGCAAGGAATTGGTTTGTTCGTAGGCAAGTGATCGCGTTTGGAAGTGGAACGATATGGAACTGAGATTGACCGGCAAACTAGCATTCTCCGCCTGGATGTTCAGTTTGCTTAGAAGTTTCTCAGCCGCCGTTGGCTCGTGGCCTTCCGGAGAAATTTCCATATCTGAAAAGTTGAATTTCTAAGAATTTGGCTACATATTAATGATAATGTATATCCTCACTATAGCCATCGAATCCACAGTCGTAGAACCATCTTGCTGTATTAGAACCAAAGGAGCTGAAACTTAGGTAGTTGATGGCCAGCGGTGATTCATCGATAAACTTCAGCAGGGGTTCCTTCTTGAAGCCGGGAATGTAAACAAACAGCTCGCCATCTGAGAAATTCCATTGAGCATTGAGAGTCGGGTTTTATTAGATAAGATGGCATAACCACAGGGGCAGAGCAGGAAACTCACTCTGTGTCTGGACAATCTCAATTGGGGTTGGCTCGTACAGTGATACCAAGTTCGGTTCTTGACTCGTGGCCACCCGCAACATTCCCATTACGGTACGGATTGCGGAAAACGTATTTCCGCCGGCGCCTATCACTGCAAGTGGAACAAAGTTATCAATAAAAATAATACATAATACAATGTTACAAGTATTGAAGGTCATAGTTTCTTATATCCAATATTTTCTTTTCTAAAAATTAATATACAATTATATTTTGTCCAATACTATTTGACTAATATATAATAAACATTAAATATTAATTTTATTAACATATAGCAAAATATTTTCAAACCAAAAAGTTGTAACTAAATAATAAATTATAATACATTTACAGCCTCTAACTTAAAAAAAAATAACTAAAGAACATGTTACAAACCAATCTCATAAACTCGATCACGTAACCGAGGATGATTCGTCACGGAGAGCAGGATGTGAGCATCCATGGAGGTCAATACGTAAAATTTCAAGTGCAGCCGCTCCCCGGCTTTTCTGTTGTTGTTGCTTAGTTCATTGAGCATAAAGAAGTTTCGGTAGCCATATCCTAAATTTGGAATAGAGTAGCTTTCGCAGGATTCCAGCTGGGAAAAGCTTACATTAAATCTGTTCGCCGACTCTGTATGGTCAGTCACAATTAGGAACAAAAAGCAGATCGCCCCTAAGCAGTTGATAATGTTTTTCATCATCACCCAGATTTCCTTTCTTTACCGCGGCTTCAATTAAACTGAATTCTGGTTTCGACTAAAACAAACTGAAAACGAAAAGATGGGCGGCACTTGACGATAAATTTACCCTCCGCCGATAAAATAGTGCAATGTCAAGAACCTACAAAAATACTAACAATAATTAATATAAAAATATATGAATAATAAATAATTTCAAATATCTGCAAATTCTTTATGTTAATTTCATTCTCTTTTTTTCAAATTTATTTGTATATTAACCCTTAAAATATTATTTAAATAGCGTATAGTATGTAAACTCTAACTGTTGTGTTAAACATTTAGAATATAAAATATTATTTTTATAATTTGTAATTTTTATTCATTACAACTTAATGTTTCCTTATATTTTTAATATTTATTTACTTTACTTTTTACTTTAACTAACTAAATCAAACACCTTACTTATCTACTTCTTATAAATAGTGTTTTCACTATTTCGGACAAATTGAAACTCTTTCACAATTTGTTGTTAATTTCTAAGTTTTTAAAACGGCTACAAAAAAAAGGGATTTTCAGAGCAGAGAAAAAGCTACATGGTTATCTCGAGAATAAAAGCTTAGAAGTCACATCTATAACCAAGTGTGACCGTTCGTGATGTATTTCAACATTTAATGTGTGAGGCCACACTATTCCCCAGACTTGTTATCAACATTTGGAATTGGCCACTTTTGCCTTGTTTTATTTAAATTTCTGGGCTCTCCTTTCGAACCCAGGTGACTCCAAAGGACCATGCCCGATGACACACAGGATGCCAAGGCGCAGAAGTTGGCCGCGGCGAGGAAAAAGGTGCGAGAACGTGTGCCACACACATTTGTTTTGCTCTTGTGACGTGGACACATATTGGCCCACTAATATTGATTTTGTTTAACACGCTTATGTGGACACAGCTGAAGGAGTACCAGCAGCGCGCCAGCAACAACAATGGCCACCCGGGAGCGGAGGAGCATGTGGCACCCACCCCACAATCGCACTCGTCCGCTGTCAGCATAGCTAGTAATCTTTCCGAGCGCTCAGACAGCGAGATAAATGTGAACGGAGCAGGAGCCGGCGGTCTTCAGCAACTGGAGTCTTCCGTCCCCCTCACGGCTGCTTCCTACTTTTCCCAAAACGAGCCGGAACATAACGGTGGACTAGGAGATCCTTCCAATCTGCAGGCGATCCAGGTCATCATTGCCGAGAAAGCCCAGCTGAATGCAGAGCTTACAAAGGTTCGTCTGGCTTGCCGGGAACGCGAACTGGAGCTGGAAGAGCTGCGTACCCTAAGGGATCAGAATCAGCTGCGTCTGGAGCAACTGCAACACCACTATCAGGACCAACAATCTTCGGGGGATCAGCAACGCCAGCAGTACGCCCAACTCCAGATTCAGTTGCAGCAGGCGCAGGCACAAATTAAGGATCAACAGTCGCATCTCAACGAAATGGAGGCCCAGCAGAAACAGAGCAATCTCCTCCAGGAGGAACTGCAGCAGCAGCTTTCCCAAAAATCCAACGAATTAGAAATGGCCCAACTGAAACTGCGACAACTTTCCGACGAGTCCAGCGTCAGCAATGACAACCGAGTAGAATCGTTGGTGCAGACGCAATACATGTACGAGCAACAAATTCGTGACCTCCAGGCTATGGTGGGTCAACTAACGCAGGACAAGGAACAAGCAGCCGGCCAATACCAGAACTATGTGCAGCATCAGAGCGGCGAGATCGCCAAGCTTAACGAACGCAACACGGAACTATCAGAAGAGCTGAACTCTTTAAGGGAGCGGGAACGACAGCTGGTAGAGCATGTAGGCGGCTTAGAGCGGGACATTCAAAAGAACCTTAGTCTTCAGGCCCAGTTCAAAGAGGCTAGTCAGGTGCAACCGCCTAGGGAAGAGTCCAACGACCAGGTAAACACTAAACTTCGAAAACATTGTAAACCGATTTTTATCAAATATATATATATATATATTTCAGAATGCTTTAAAAGATGAACTAGCGGCCTTAAAAGAACGTCTCGCTGATTTCGACTTCGAACGCCACGAATTCCAGCTGAAAATCAAGTCGCAGGATGACCAACTACAATTAAAGGACTCCGCTCTGGCCGAATTAGAACAGCAGCTTGAACGCTTACAGGCCGAGCAACCAGATCAGACCAAATTGTTAGCCACCATGGAGTCAGATAAAGTGGCTGCCTCGCGTGCTCTTTCACAGAACGTGGAGATGAAAAACCAGCTGGACGAACTGCAGCTACGATTTGTCCAGCTAACGAATGACAAAGCTGAACTGGTCATCCGCCTGGATGCCGAAGAGTTTGCCAATCGCGAAATCCGTAACAACTACACAAGTATGGAGCAAAAGATGCACGCCAATGAGGAGCGCTTTAAGTTTAAGGATGAGGAGATGATTCGACTCTCACACGAGAACGTAGAACTTCAGCGTCAGCAGTTGATGATGCAGCAACAGTTGGACCGCCTTAGGCATTATGAAGTGAGTGAAAAGTAAAATTATTTAAAATACATCAAAATATGAGTATATATTATATTTTTAGGCGAAGGCTTATCACAATCAAAAGGGAAAGGAAAGAGAAGATGGTGGAGATGCCCCGGGAGATGAGGCAGTGGAAGTTAAAGATAATGAACATCTTGGTCATTCTCATGATCACCCACATGATCATTCGCACGATCACTCACACGATCATTCCCACAATTATTGTCAGGATCATGACCACGATCATTCCCATGATCATCCGGATGATCATGCGCATGAACATGATAATTCGCATGAACATCTCCATGATAATTTACATGGTCATTCCCATGAACAACGCAATGACCACCATGTCGACAATCACGACGACCATAGAGCATCTAAGGTTCTGCCCACCACTGAAGCAGTGGAACGGCTGCAATCACGGTTCACCACGCTGATTAGCCAGGTGGCCGACCTAACAGAGGAGAAGCACAGCCTGGAACATCTAGTGCTGCAGCTGCAGAGCGAAACGGAGACGATAGGCGAGTACATTGCTCTCTACCAAACCCAGAGGCGGATGCTGAAGCAGCGCGAGTACGAAAAGGCAGCCCAAATGCGACTTTTACAAGCGGAACGTGAGCAGTTGCGCGAAAAGATTGAGGCACTAAACAAGCTGGTGGTCAGTTTAGGGGTCGAGCTGCCTTCCGATTCCGGCCAGTCGCACCAACCTGACGCTACTGCTAATAACGAACAGGCATCTTTCGAGGGTGAAAACTCTCAGCAGATCATTAACAAGATACAGGACATCATCAGCGAGATCAAGGAGAACACGGAGCAGCCAACACACAACCATGCAGGCGACCATCTTAACTGCTGCCTGGGAAAGTTTGAGGTGGTCTAGAAGATCAGATGAGGCCTTCTCTTGCTAAGTGCAATTATCGCCAGCTTACGTAAAATTATTCACCTTTTGCTACTGTATTTAAATGTAATGGTACTTTGGTCTTCAGAGTCTTTTGTAAATGTTTCCAACGATGTGTCCGAATAAACCTAGTTTGCTTCTAAGACGAATCTACATCTTACCCCACAAAAACGTATTACCAAACAATCAACTTGAACGTTGTTTTATTCACAAATTAAAAAATTCTTAAGCGTAGAACTAAGACGTATTTATAAAATCTTATTGGCATCTTTGGGTGATGATGATGATAGTTGCCCTTCTTCCGACAGCTGGATGAGTTCAATAAGTCTCCTTTTATAGGTGAATAATTTGGCTACAAATTAAAAATATTAACGTAAATATCAAAACTGGTTTGAGATTTTAAATATTAATTGTACAAAAATGTTTTTAAATTAAACTAATAAAAAACGAAAAGAAGTGATGCTACTTCTTGGCTTCGTTGCGCATCTTGATCCTTAAATTAGGCTCCGCTAAGCTAGTTGGCTTGCATCTCCGACTTGGTCGTCCACTAGTGCTGAAAAATGAGCTAGACATATCCGTTTGAATAGATTTCTTTTGTGGTGCAGTTCTGTTTCGAGTTTTCGTGGCAGTCTCTTCCTCGACGATAAAAGACTTTGGAGTGCTGGTGCTCCCGCCTTTTTGATAAATTGAATTGAACATGCTTCTTCGTGGCGTTGATCCAATAATATCAGGAAGGATCACAGAGTTGTTACTGGGCCTTGTGACAGCCAGCCTAGGCTGCTGTATACTGGGCTCCTGAATGGAATCCTCATTGCTAGGAACACCAGACATTGATTTTCTGGGATCTTTTCCCTTAAACAACGGCACTGCTTCCGGTACATTTGTGTTCACTTCCCGGAGAGCCCGCCCACGGGGAATAGAAGTGCTTCGTTCGTTTGAGAGACTACTTTCTATAGTGGTGTCGCAGTATATGGCCTCGCAAGATGACGATGAGTCTTCGTCTTCGTCTTCGCTAACGGTTTCTTCAATAATGCTGAACAGGTGATTGTTCTGATTTCCATCATTCTGTGCCTCATTGTTTTGTTCTGGGCTTGCGGTTTCGCTAGAATCTTCGTCCGATTCGTCTTCATCGAACATAAGTTCCGTTGGCCTTCGAGGTTGTAGACTATTCTGTTGGCAAATAAATAAAAGCGTTAGCAACTGAGTATTAAATATATATCGGTTTGTTACCCTGATGGCTGTATTCTCATCTTTTTCTCTTGTGGACTCCATTTGTGGTTTCAGCAATGCACTGTAAGGAATACTAATGGACGAAATTTCCATCGGGATGGATTTCCTAGGCGAGGTAGTTCTGGTGGTACGAGCCAATGCGCACGTTCGTCGTATTTCCTTGCATATTTCTTTGGAGCTGCGACGCGAGTTAGGTGGTTTGCTGACCCTTTGAGTAGGCTCCTGGGGCACCACTAGACAGTCGCTGTCGATGTTCAGACGCTGCATCAGACTTTTTATAATACAGATATTCTCTTGCCGCTGACGGTCGTTTTGCAGGATGTGCTCTTCCCGCATGTCCATGATTTCGCGCTGCAGTATTATCACCTGCTTTCTGTACTCGCCTATCTCCATACGCTGCTTCTGCACCTGGTCCATCAGTTCGGCGTTCAGCAGCTTATACTGTTCTACTTCGTTCACCATTTCTATGCTTTCTATCCCATTCACGAAATTCAGAGAGACGACGCCAAGATCTTGTTTTGAATTTTATGCCAGAGTGACCGTGTTCGCATTTCAAGATATACCAAAGATACTGAGAGAATACTTATTGGAGGAGTGGCAGCGCCTATTTCAGGGCTCAGATTTTGAAATAAAACCCCAGGACTATGAAAAATTTAAATTCTGTAGCTCTTATTATTTATGAATGATTATAATTACACCGATGATTTTTACAAATTAATGTCAATAGTATTAAAATAAAAAACAATTGTAGTTTCCTTAGCTGCTATATAAATATGTGTTTTTATTAAAGCTAAGTCACTTTTAAACTGTCAGTAAAAAAAAAAAAGTGCAAATAATTAAAACCTCCTAATCCGTGCAGTTGCATAAATATAATACAGTGGAATCCGTCTATTAAGTTAAGTAAGTTTTAGTATATTTTAGTTCGTCAAAAAGAAGAAAGCTACTGTCACACTGGCAGCCAGCAGCACAATAAATTTTTTGTTTTCTCAACTGATTGCGTGGAAAATCGAGATATCCGAAGCAGATAAACAATGCTGCAGTGCTAGACCCCTTAATCGAAATAAATAGGCGTTTCGGGAAATATTGGGTATCCAACAGAACTCAAAAATTACACAAATCCAAAAGGCAGCCCATCTGGCTGTGTGTGCGTGTGTACGTGAGTGAGAGTGACGTCGCAGTGTGCGTGTGTTTGTGTAAAAATGAAAATCAGACAAATTTGTTGTTTCGTTTTACGACTTTTAGGCATTTAGCCTGACTTTTACACATTTCTACATTAATTTGTTGGGAGGGGATTTCCCGCCACAGGCACAAAACACGACGCACACCACATTCAACACCAGTGGATTTAAATTAAACGATCGTCGGGACTAGCGCGCGGATTATCAAGTTTGGAATTAAGTACGAATCATACACCTCTTCACAAAAACACATTTGGAAACGCCTGCTATGCTGTTTCATCCTCGCACTTTTGTTCGCCCGAAAACAACGACATACACCTGCTGAAAAACTAAAGACAGCCGATTGCCCATAGATCCGAGAATTTCATTCACAGAAGCTAAAGTCCGAATCGAAAACAGAAACCCGCTTCAAGGTGAGTCTGTTTGCTAAATTCAACCCGTTTGGCTCGGTGCTCATTAAGTCGATTGAGTGCATCATTCAGTGCTCCAAATCCAGAGTAGTACCAACTTATTGAGTCGGCTTATCAATACAATTTCGCATGGCGCCTACAAATTTGGTAATTTATGAAACATTTCGAGACCTTTTCGGCACCTTGCCATTTAAGAAATTATCTTATCGCCCCACCATTTTCGCCTAATAATTGTGTGTATGTAAAGTTGCATTTGCCAAGATATGGTTATATCTAATGGCCTAGAAGTGCACTGAAAAAAATATATTTTAAAATAAAATAGGAGTGGACAATTTTTGCTATGACCAATGTAAGCTCACATGAACAGCAATGTATTCTTTTTTAATATTGGATAAACTTTCAAATAATTTGAAATACAAGTAAAGGATAGAATTACCTTATCAAAATTTTCTTTACCTTTGAAGATCTTATTCATAGTTATCCACAACCAACTTGTTCTCTTTCATTTTCCAAGATAACTTTTGTAATTATTACACAAAGAAACTTTTAGAAAAAATACAAAGAAGTAATTATTGTGATTTTCTTGATAGTAATGATTTTGTTTCCTGTGTAGGGTAAAAGGGGTGCAATAAACTTAGGTCGCTTTGATTTTTTCTTGTTCCATCAGCGAATGCACTTCGTTTTGGTTTGCTGTCGCTTTGTCTTAATCACATTAAGCAAAACGTCCGGCACGCGACGCATGACGAAAGCAAGTGCAGCAACGCCAACGAAAGCCCATAAAACATATGTCCACCCATGCCACCCCATCACTGACCTACAAAGAGTGCATTGCTCGACGGCAAACCAAAACCAAGTTCGCTCTCTCAGGGGTTGGTTCACTTGCCTAGGCTCTGTCGCTGATGCGAGTGCGAATTGTGATGGTTAAGCCTCGATGGTGTGACATAATCTGCCAGCTTACTAAAGCTGTTTAGAAAGCAGAGTAATGTCAAACACGAAAGATTCCTATATGCAGACAATTATGGACTATTTAGATCAGTATTGTTAGTAGTATAGTAGTACATATCATAAATCTTCTTATTCTGTCAAATAATAGCTGTCCAGAATATAAACAAAGAAATACATGAGAATTAGAAAAATTTAAGTTTATCATGAAACAAAATTTAAAAATAATTTAATATTTCTATTGTATTTCTATAAAGGAACCCCTCATGTGTGGAATATTCAGTGTTCTTTTTTTTCGAGTCCATCCCCAAGTGTGAAAGGGTTTCCAAGCTCCTTTCAGTAATTTTATGCATTGCACAAAGGGGCGCCCCAGTCGCCGGGTTCAATGTCATTGGCGTGTGGTAGGCCATGGCAGCAGGCAGACGTGGAACCAACCTATCCCATTCCATACCATTCCATCCCCCCATTCCGTCCAGGAGTCTGCCTGGCAGTCTATTGTCGAGGCCATATTATCCATCCCCCACTGCAAAGTAGTACATACAAAAATATCGAGTGCTGCTGCAGTGACACACGCAAAGATCGGTGGAGGAGGAGGAGGTAGGTGGTAGAGGAGGTGGAGGCATGGGTCTATATGGCAAGGGGAGTGGGCACTTGTCGGCCTTGTGTGCGGCCATTTGTCAGTTGAATTCGTTGTCATGCATTTTTCGAGCACTGCATCACACGAGGTTTGATTTTGATTGGCACGTAGTGAAGAGAGTCTGCCGTTTCTTTCAGCCTTTATATCGCTGATTTATGCTGCACTTCCTCGTGCCTCGTGCAACCTGGAACTGAATCATAAAACTGCAGTATGCTCTCCAGCGCGCTCACCGCTTTCTGGAGTCACTTTCAAACCCCATGCCGAGGGCTTTTGCTTCCTCCGTGCTGTGGGTGACTCATGCTTACTGTTTGACTTTTGTTTACATCACTTTGGCAGCTGCACTGAGAAATGTTTTTATCCAAAGGAAACATTTTTTTAAAGTAAAAATATTAATAATATGGAATATGATTCATTCGTTTTTTTAGTGACCTAAACATGTACATTTATCCAAAAAAAATGTGGAATTCTATTCTTGATTATTTCCCTTCTATCATAACTAAAAATGAATTTAAAGTTTAAAATGACTAAGCATGGAAGTTAGTTTTAAAAACCAAAAAATATATTTAAACTGATATTGAAATTTAGGATTAAAAATAGTTCAGAAACTCAAAAGGACAATCAAATCTGCAATAGTTAAAAATCAACAGAATATCAACTTGTCTTTAATCATTTTCTTCTAAGTTCTAATGTGTGGATTTAACAAATTGTATAAATATTTATTTAAAAAAAGGGCGTATTATAGGAATATTTGGGTTAGTTTTTTCCATGTGTGGTTTATGCAAAATAACGAACCCAACACCGTTGTTGTCATTGAGTTCACGCTTTTGTGTCTTGTCTCCGGGTCTCCGGCTCTCATGATGTGTTTGCGTTAGTTATTTAAGCATTGTGCGACGGTGCTGAAAACCGCATTTTAATAAACCCCGCGAGCGGCAAAAACAGCAGCAGGAATATAGTAACAGCAAGTGCAACAATGCAATATTTATCTGGTGTTGTGTACGGCTGACGGTAAGCGAATATGTACCTTACATCATACACTCTTAGTAACCGATGAGAGGTAGTAACTGATGAGCGGGCGAGCCAAAGGCAGCAGCGGGCGAGGCGGCAGAAGCTTCAATTACAAAATGCAAATGCAAAATGATGCATGGTGAAACGCTTAGATCAGAAGTAATTCAAAACGCATCGCTTAGGCTGATAAAAGGCAATCCAGTGTGATGTATTCATTCATATATCCATGGGATTAGCGACGAAACAAGGTTGCAGGAAGGTTGGGCTAATCTGGGAGAATAAATAAATGGCGAGGAAAACTTGTTTAGAAATTAACAGATGTCAAGCCATCGAAATTGTCAGCTAATGTATGTATTGATTTTGTAGTAGTATTAAATTGCCATTTACAACATTTTTATGACTAATGTTTTTTACTTTTACTGATCACAGGCTAAAGCTCAACTGGTTATGAGTCATTTAGAGTGATCTCAAGAATAATTGGAAATTCTGACTTTGATAGAGAGAGAAATTTTCATTTGCATATTAAATTGTACTTATTAGATTTTCTGACCTTAAGGCAATTTTGTTTTTGGCAAATTAAAATCCGCCACTAGAGCCAAATCAGGTTGTGTATCTCTCAAATCTGTTTCACCTCAAAACATTCACCACAAAATGATTTTACGTCAGCGGCCCTGTAGTATAAACGGTCATTCACAAATAAAATTATAAACAAAATCGGTGTGGATGAGCTATAAAAACATTGGCATAAGAAATGGTTGCGGAGCGTGTTGTCTTCTGCATTTGTTACTGAAAGCGATTTGCACGGCGGTCACATATTATTATCGTACTGCGTGGCTTTTGGAATTTCAATGATTTGATGACCAGCTTCCCCGGCTCTTCCCTTTTTTTCGAATCATCAAAAACCGCAGCTGGCACGACTTGCAATTGAAATGTAAATGTTAATTGTTAGTCCAACGGTTTTGGCTTTGTGTAATTGGAACTTGGCCGACCTGGCTTGGCAGCAGCTAAACGACAAAAATAAATTAAAGAAATTGAAAGCGAAAGTCTGGGCACTTGTGAGGCAAATTAATTTACAAGATTGTGGGTATATAAACTGGTTTTGTTTTCTTCAGAATCAAGCACAACCACAATGAGTCACAGAACAATTTACATTTTCATCTCAAAAATATAAGCCATACTATAAGCTATTTCAAAGGAAAGAGTAGAAGCTTGCAAAATCTCTCTCTAGAATAGCTAATCCCAAAAACCAGTCTCAAAACCTGAACCGCATTGAAACATTTGTGCAAATTGCCAAGTACACAAAGCGATGAGCTAAACGAAAGAAAAGCCGGACAAAGAAAATAAAAATAAAATCAAGAAAAACCTCAGAAAATCAACATCATTAAGAGATATGTTGGGTTTGCTGAAAGTAAACTGTCCCATCAGAAACTCAACTGGGGGTCATTTTGCGGCCTGAATTATAAGACTTGCGCAATCTTTTGCGGTTACTTGAGGCTTGGATACCCTAAGTATTGTCTTACGAAGCGTTTCCAATGGGCGTGCTGAACGTTTAACACCCAATATTTGACTTACATAATGGCCGGCGATGGAAATGAATTTTGACAGTCGAGCAATTTGTTGTTAGCGTGCTTGGAATGGAAATGGGCAGGAGAGGTTTGATTTCCGCGCTTTGATTCAATTTGATTCGATGTCGTCCCATCCCTTAGGAACATAACACGCCCTTGTTTATAGATGTGTGCATTTGGGGCAATTAACTTGATGACAGTGTTTATTGGGGCAATCCGTAAGCGTTCTCCCGTGCTTTTGGAAAGGGAGCTTTTGGGTCAGAACTTAGGTGGCCTAAACACACCTCAAAAACGTTAATTGAATGTAACCCGAGGATAAGAGCAGGAGCTAAAAGCAACACACAGGGCCATAAGCCGTGCCAAATTGTAGGATCGCCAATTTGAAATCGCTGGCCAAGGGGAGTGACTCATTTCCCATATCAGGAAAGAAAATTGCTGAAGACCACACCGTTTTCAATTAATCGATTTGCTGTCGTTGAACCTTTCCATATCAATTTCGTTTTCAGTTTAAGTTTAAAATTGGGGAATATACATGGAAGTATGGAATGGACTTAACAGTGCGTGACACAGCCATAAAACTTAGTAAAGCTGATAATCACTGAGCTACACTACAAGTTACTCGGAAACTAAACCTCTTCCTGGTGTTACCCATAATTTAAATGAAATTTTATAAGATAAAGTTCATTCTTCAAAATATTAACTTCTTGTTAAATATATTTGATTTAATACTTATGAAACGTAGGGTTTGACCAATTATCGCCCCATCAAATGTGTCTTCAAACGTGTTTCTTCATTCCCGAAGTTCTTGAATAAATTCTTTAATTTTCGCGGTGGGTCTGGGCAACCGTAATTCTTGATAAGATATAGCAACTTTATAAATACTTGGGGTTTATGCTTCAGATTTCCAACGAACACGATACCTTATGAATCATCGTTTTTGAGGCAAATATTTGATTTGACTTCGAAGAGATTGGCAAATGGTCAGACAAATGGGAGATATAAAATCATGGCGAATTTTTGAAAACTTAGCTGTGACTGCACAAAATGTAACTAACTTGATAACGGAAACCAATAATTTAAATGAGTAAGAGGAAGTTGGTTCGTAAGCGGAATATTATATGTCTTACGGATCTTGAGCCTTGAATGTATAGGAAGACTATGTTCCCCAACTATACTATATATTTGATTCCAAGTGAAGATCAATTTCCCCTTCACAACAGCAGCTGTTCAATTAAGCGACAATCCGTCTGGGTGAATCAAGCTGAATCGAGTGATTCATCTACGTTGAAGGCCAGAGAAGGGGCATTGCAGTGGACACAGCAATTAAGGAGCTGTCGGTTTCCACTAGACCTGTCCCACTGTGCCACATTAGTAAGTCAAGACTGCCGGGTTTTTCGCACGTTTTGCTGCCTGCCAGGCTTACGGTTAACCATTTCTTCTACTCATCATCATCATCATCATCATCATCATGCTGAGTGATGACAAGTGTGGTCTGCCATTGGGTTTCTCTTTGTCTGGACTTCTGGTCTTTGTCTCAGCTGCTTATTTCCATAGAGCTATGGAGCTCCCAGCTGTGACGTCAGACCAAAGCTAATTTTATTTTTATCAATGTGTTCACTGTGTGCCCGCCTCGATATCTCTCTTTCTCAGAGTCTTTTTCGCTGGAGACTCTCCCTGTGCCTCCGGGTTCTCTGCTTGAGTTTTTATCGCTGGGGCATCGCATGCGCAGCCGTGTTGTGGCTTCTCAGTTGGAATTCAACTCGCGAACTGAGCGCAACGCGCGTTTCACTACGAAATCACAACAAAAAATATAATATATATATATATCGTATATATACTTCGGCAAACCACTTTTGTTTACGTGCGTGTATACAATAGCAACGTTTGAAAAAAAAAATCAACTAATAATACAACAAACAAATCAAAGGGGAAGCGGTTATTATCAAAATGTAAATAAAAGCCCCAAAATGTTGATAGTGTTTATCAAGAAATGAAACAATTTCGTTGCGATTTCCGTGTGGAATGTTCGTTCAATGCTTTTGCAAGCCCTGCCTCTTTAGGTTGTTGGAACACTTGGGTCTGATCATCATTTGGGCGAATTTGTAGCCATAATCGTAGCCACGCCAGCTCATCCAGGTGATCCCGCGTCCCGACAGCTTGGCCTCGAATCTGCCACCCTCTAAGTATTGGCCATTTAGATTACTAAAGTGAAACATTCTTCAGTTTGGGAACAGAAGTTCTCAATAGAAAGTAATTACCTTCTCTGGCACTGATCATACCACCAGGCCCCCACATAGATCCTGGCACATCCATGACCCATTACATCACGATCAAATGTGGAGAAGGGCATTCCCTTGTGGTATCTCAAAGAATCCCCAGCATCTCCCGAGTATCTACCCAAAACTGAAAGTGAATAGGACTCTGAGGCATTGCCAATGGCAAAATCCTCATATCGAGCATCATGTGTAACTCCATCAAAGTCTTCCATAAAGACATACAGCTCGTAGGGTTCGGCGGAAGTTAGAAAGTGTAGCTTCTCCAAGCCCAAAAAGAATTCTCCGTCGAGACTGCCAAATCCTTGGCTGTACTCTTCCCAGCTGCGGTAGAAGTTCTCACTTCCGTCTCGACGACGCTGGATGACTGTCCATCCTGATCCCGCCAGTCGGGTGTCGCAGAAAACTGGAAAGGGTTCTAAGCCAGGAACTTCAATAGTATGGACTCCATTTGTGTTAATTCCAGCAGCTAGGCAGGATGAGGGATTAAACACAACTGGAACTGGAATAGAATCAACTAGTGTGTACTGAGTTAAGCAATTATCTTTTACTGGGTTTATCAATTATCTAAGAACCAGAAGGTGTTAAATTTTCATAGCAAAAACAGAACTTACCTTCCTGAATCGCTTTCTGTGTTATCATCTCCAAGTAGCTTTGTTTAAGTTCTTCAAGTTGGGTTTTTAAACTGAAATTAACTTTATAATTTGAAATGTTTTTGTTAAGTACAAAATGCCAACCTGGAAATCATTCTTTCAGCCTTGTTGTAGGCAATTTCTAATTTATTACTGTCACCATTAGAAAAGAAACAGCCAAAACTTAACATTAAAACACACATCATATAAACCTTCATGATCTTGTTCAGTGTCTTGATTCTATAAATCTAGACCATAAAGATTTGTTAAAGCTTTTCAGAAATCAATTTCGATACTATATAGTTCGTGTGACTTATCAATTGCATTGAAAAACCGTAGGTCAAGTCTGCCTTGGGCGATAACCCGTCAGGAAGTTGAAAAAACTAAAAAATTTCATTGAGAATTCCAGTATATTTCGCATTTCTGATTGAGAATCTGATTAATGTGCTCGGCAAGAATGTGATGATTCAATGGCAACACCTTTTGCATAATAATCAAGTACATAACAAGTTGTTTTCTCGTTGATCTGGAAGTCGTTAAACCGAAAGGGAGTGAACAGTATATAATATTATTGTATGTGAAACCGCCTTATCCGGAATCAGGAATGAATCACTGGTATATTTCGGCACTTGGGTCTTATCATCATCTGCGTTATCCTATATCCGTAGTTGTGACCGCGCCAAGATCGCCAGCACATGCCTCGAGCGAAGTACTTTTCCTCGTATTTACCACCCGGCATATACTGGCCATTGAGGTTGCTAAAGTAATTAGGAAGACATTAACGGATATGTTTACTTCCTGGTTAACTCACCTATCCAGACAGGCATTGTACCACCATCCTCCCAGATAGTAAAACGCACAATTCCTATTGAACTCACGATCGTTGTCCCTGTCGTAGGTAGAAAACTTCATTTTGCGATGAGATCTCAGGGAATCCCCCGCGGTACCGGAATATTTTCCCAGTGCATTCATAGCATAATCATCCTCTTCGCTTCCAATGGCAAACTCATCGAATCTCGCATGTTTTATTGTATCATCGAAATCTTCTAAGTAGATGTATAGTTCATGTGGCTCCAGGGCAGTCAGGGCACGAATCTTTTCAAGGCCCAGAAAAAACTCGCCCTCTAGATCTCCAAAACCATTCTTGTACTCCTCCCAATTGCGAAAGAAACTAAGACTTCCATTGAACCTCTTCTGAATCACAATCCATCCGGGGCCGGCCAACTGATTTTCGCAATAGACTTGAAATGGTTTTAGGCCTGGAACTTCCAGGGTAGACAAAAAATTTTCATTGGGATTCGCATTCAGACAGGATGTGGGATAAGCCTTAGCCGGTGACTTGTTATTTAGAATGCCATTAGTTTCTATTTGCAAAAGTTCCTCCTTTAAACTTCGAATTTTAATAGTTAGAAGGCAGTTAAGTGGATTTGATAATAACTTACATGGAAAGTAGATTCTCTGACTGCTCATAAATGGCCTCCAACTTCTCAACCACATTTAGCTGCTGTCAAGGGTTTTGTTTATTTTAGTTGCAGGTTTTACTTTAAAGTATATAATTTACTAACCTCTGCACTACAGAATATTATTAAGAATAGCGTAATATATATAGAAATAACTGGCAGATTGGAAGACTTCATTTTGCCAGCGAATCGATTGGAATATAAAAAGATTTGCATTCCGTAAACTTTTTATTGCAAACAAAAGAGGAATAGGAAACGTCTTTGTTTACTTGCTGTTTCTTATCAACCGAATTACTTGATTATGATTTCTTGATAATTATTTAAAGCTTTTCATTTTGTATTTTTGACGTGCGATTTTAATGCGATTTTGAAAGGTTGCTCGGGTTGAAGCTAAAGAAATTTTAATTGAAAACAGCCATAAATGCGATAAAAAAAAAAAGCAATACAAAAACATTCCCTTTTTTAAGATCTGCTCGGATCACGTGGGATTTGTTGGTTGGATTTAAGTGGGCTGTCCCAGTTCATCTAAAACTGTGCCGTTTTACGCGCTGTTTGAGCTTGAAATTTCTTATTATTGTTTACAGCTTACGAGCTCATGGGGGCCTAATAAATATGAGTAGTTTTATTGGATTTATTTAAGATAAAGTGAGCCATTTATAGTGTAGAATTTCATAATAATAGCAAAGGTGAAATAACAAGATAACAGGATACATAAAAGTTTATAAACAAACTTATCAACATTGTAAGAAAATGATTAATAGTTTGCCCCGATTAATAGTAGCTAGTTTATAAACCACATTAGGAGTTGTTAATTAAATACTAAAAACTAGGGAATTTTATGCTTCGGTGCGTCCACATCTCTTTGGTCTCTTTATCGGGCGTCAATCTGAAGACAACAGAAAACAAGACATAAATAATAAGTATAGAAATGGTATTTTAAACACCCAGACCGTGTGTGAGTGTTATGTTGTGTGTGGGTGGTGACAGCGGTCTTGGCTTTGGAAGTCGCTTGATCAACGCAAAAGTGTTAGCCAGTCTTAAGCCAAAGCTTCGCAGAGGCGGACGCAGAATTTGTGGATTTTTACAGAGCTCAAAAGATCCAACGTATCCATCAAAAAACATCTCAGAAATGAGATTAAAACGAAGTTCTAAGCAAAAAGTATTATACAGTAGAGCTATGACCTATTTACAACCCCCTTAAGTTGTGTTTTTAAAATGATTCGAAAGCATATAGCATTAGATTCCCTATAGATTAGTTTCCTTAAGTTAAGTTTCCTTTTACATCTCAGTTCCTTAATATCTCTTCTCTTACATTAAAGATGGCTATACCGCCGCCACCGGGACCACCGCCTCCGCCAGGACCTCCACCGCCTCCGGCGATGGGTGGCCTAAAACTGGGTGGCGGAGGAGGAGGTGGAGCAGACGCCCGTTCAGCCCTGCTCAGTTCGATCCAGAAGGGAACCAAGCTGAAAAAGACCACAACAGTGGACAAGAGTGGTCCGGCGTTATCAGGCAAGGTGTGTGGAGGAGATGGAGGAGGAGCAGGAGGCGGAATTGGAGCCAAGCGAACCCTCAACAATAACACCAGCACCAGCAATCACAACAACAGCAATGGCCTTGGCAATGGAACCCCCAAATTGGGAGGCCTGTTCGAAGGCCTCTCGCAAATGCCAAAACTGAAGCCCGTGAACGGCATTCGCGGTACGTTTAGTATATTTTATATGCCGATGTTTATCGTTGCTCAACTGATTTCCGTTTTCCGCCCACGCAGCAACGCCATCCGCAACAGCAGCAACATCGAAGTCCACAACGAACTCATCGGTTCAGCAGCGGAGCAATAGCCCGCCAGCCGCAACGACCGCCTCAAATGCCAGCAACGGACCCATGGACTTCAACACGGAGCTCACCAAGCACTTAACGCTGAAGCGCCAAAAACAGCAGCAACAACAACCACAGCAGCCGACGGCGACGAACAACACACATATCAATGCAACGGAAGCAAATCTGAGAACAAACCGGGGACCACCACCGCAGCCGCCAAAGGTGAGAACTGGACCCATGGCGAGAAAGATGGATGGGGATCCTCTATTTATAGAATCTTGGGGGTAGTTGTTTTAGAGGTTTAAAAAGATGATAGAAAATGTATTTATGGGAAAATGTTATTAGAAATGAATTATTAATTTGGCAATTTAGGTAAAAACAGATTCAATTTAGACAACAGAAATACTAAGAACAATACTTTGATATTTTCCATTATTTTAATGCAAAGCTGGTCCAGATTATGTCGGGAAGTATTTAATTTACGCTTCCAGAAAGACGCGTGGGTTTTAATTTAGCATCTAGCCAGAAGATCTTCTCAACTGACACACAAATTAAGTTAATAGATATTTAAATCAGGCTACTGGTTAACCTTTAAGTGACTTTTCTTAAGAATGTTGTTTAGATTTGCCAGTTTAAAAGCTTCTGAAGTTTTTATCAGCATGACTCAGTTCTTGTGAATACAGATTAGTTTTTAAAAAGCAAATTTGTTGAACTACTTAAAGAAAGGAAAGTGTGGCACGCAATCTTATTGTCAACGCAACTAATCCATACCATTGTTCTCCATCTCTGTGCCATCTCACAGTCAGCCAACACGAGTGATTCGATCTTGGAGCGCATGAACATCCCCCGCACAGCGCCGGCCCCCTCATTTGCCGCCAATTCGAGTGTCAAAGCGGCATCGCCCACGCTCTCGGACAGCGGCAGCAATAGCAGCGGGAGCGGAGGTGGAAGCGTCAAGAGCAAGGCGGCCAACCTGAAGTAAGTGTCATCTTCCAGCCACGAGCAGCGTAAATGATTGGGTTATGGTTAGTGGGTATTAACTCTGCAGTTTTGTTGGAATTTAAAAAGATGATAATGATGGGTTTATTTTAGCAAATGTTCCTAAAGGATTCCTGAAACCTCCTTAGATGGTTAGTTGGTTGAGGTGTCACAGCCACCCTTGTTTTTTAATCAATGGAGATTAATTTGGAACACCCTCTTATTTTATTGGGTAACTGAATCCATTATATAAATTCCAATTAATCTGCAGAGACCCCTAAAATCTAACACTGCCTGCCGTTCGAGATGGTTAAGTTTTGGTTTTTCATTTGTAAATTATTTCTTAAAATTTCTCTTGATTTTCTTCTTTATTTTCGGATTACTTTGACGGGACTTTGTGGTTATCCTCGCACACCAAACACATCCACACACACACACAAACCGTATTCATACCCACAACACAGTATCTCGTTAGGCAATAGTTTTGTAAATAGTTCAAAAACAACAACGAGTGCCTCGACCACGTCGCTGAACTCCAGTCAAACGTCCTCGACGGGATCGCTGCGCAATTTGGCGCCCAATAAGTCCACATTGTTTGGTGGTAGCGGTGGTTCTAGTTCCGGGTCAAGTTCTGGTGGCGGTTATGCAACTGTTCAGAAGTCTTCACCACCCTCGACGGCCGACAGCACGCCATCGGTCACGCCTACACCGCAGATGAAGCCGGCCATTAGCTTTGGCAAGCCCAATTTCGCCCCAAAGCCACCGGGCCTGAATCAACTGGCGCTGGCCAATGGACAGCAGCGTCCGGCGGTGACCAGGCATCACAGTATGAAGTCGCCCAGGTATACCGATATACAGATTCAGCTACCAGCTTCCGTAATCCTTAACCCAGCACCACTGCGACCGCTTACCATATCTGCTCACATCAAACTCGTTTTGGGGTTTGCTTAATGCTTTTGCTTTTTTTTTTTAGCCAATATCCTTTGATGAAGAACTAAAAGTGAATCTAACTTATCCTGGTTCTTCTTTTCACAGATCTCCTCCAGCGGCAGGCAGCGTCAATGGACCAGTGTTCCCCACCCAACAGCATTTGGGCACTCTGCGTGGTCCCCTGCAGTTCCACGGTAGCGAATCCATCGGCCACAACACCAGCGCCGGCAGCATGCGATGTGCCCCCAACCCGCCAAAATGTAAGAGTCCTTTTCTTGGTAATTTCAAATTTTGTAGTAACATCTTTGAGTTTCATTTTTGTAAAACTACTTAAGTTATATAATCATTTAATCACTAATGAATTTTCTGATATTAACTTACAGCCCGCCCATCGGTAAAACCGCCACCACCACCGACGCCGGCTCGCAGTTTCTCGAACAGCAATCTGAACAATATTGGAGGATCCTCGCCATTCAGTGCGGTGAACACGGCCTTGATTCAGAGCTCGGCCACCACGACACAGGCACCATCACCACCAATTACCCAGCCGCCATCCTCCTCCAGCAGCAGCAGCAGCGTGGCCGCCCTGCGCGATCAATTCCGTGGTGGAGCTGGAATGTCTAATGGGGCACCATCGCCACCACTGCCACCGACGCCGGCTCCCACCTCCAATTCATCTTCGGCAACCGCCAGCCCAAAATCCTCGCTGCGAGACAATGTAAAACCGATTATCCTGAATGGAGGTCCTCTCAACCCGCCAGCGCCACCGCCACACCGCACCTGCCCACCTCCGCCGCCTCCGCAGCGACAGTCGAGTAATGTGAGTAGCCAACGGACATCAATAACAATGGCCCAGAACAACAGGTTGGCTCAAATGCCAGGGGTGAACATTAATGAACTGTTTTGCCTTGATGGTTACCTTGGGAGTTTTTCATGGGTAGAGATAAGATAAGAGACTCTGAGCTCAGAGATTTTTCTTTTTGGGGAACTTTGACTGAGTTGGTGGGCTGGTAAAGTGAGAGCCATAAGTACTTAAATAATATTTAGATTATCCTAAACGTCTTGAATGAGCTACTCATAGGCCATATGGTAGATATTGAATTGATTAAAATAGAAGCTCGGTTAAGCAAGGTCCTAAATTAAGCATCTAACTTTTTACAGTGCATTTGTTGCCTGCTTTGGCCAGAGCCACCTTTTCCACCCCATCGTTTTCGATTTAATTTGGGATTCTCACTGCGCCTGCGCTTCACCTTGCTGGGAGCACTCCTGGCTGTGCGCACTGCCTGTTCATATCAGTCGAAGCCAGTGTTCCGTTTATAACTCACCTATTTTCGTGTTGAGCGGGGTAGATTGATTTTCCAAAACGAGACGTGACCAAAACACAAGGCTCTTGCACACAAACCTATTGCCTTGAGGGAATCCTTTGGCCCAGTGGCCCGCATTCATGTGCTCCTCCAGCAGGACCGAGTGAGGCGCTGGATGTGCAAGAAGCTGTACTCAAATAAGATAATCCTCATAGAACGCAAAGGGAAGCAAGGTGGCCAGCCAGTCAAGGTTATCGAAATGCTGATGCTTAACAGCAAGCGCAACGTAACTACAGGCTATGATAGCAACTCCCCAAAAATCTGGTGCAACCAAACTAAATGAATTATTTTTTCTTGCAGGGTGGTTCCGCATCGGGATCAGCTCCAGTTCCGCCGCAGCGTCATTCTTCCATTAGGCCCAACGCCCCATCGACGCCACCCACGCACATGGCCAATGCATCGCATCAGTTTGGCAGCAGCTCAGGATTGTCGTCGGGATCGTCAGCAGGAGCTGCAGCGAACGTGGGTCGGCTGGTCAACGACTTGGAGACAAAGTTTGGCAAGCGATTCCACAACGTCACCGAGTTTCCAAAGCCGCCTCCGTTTCTAAATATACAAAAAGTCTATCCTAGTCGCACGTTTAAGGCCACCAACGGTATGTAGTCGAGTGTGTGAGCGAATGTGTTTGTTCTGTGAGTTCTTTTCAAATTTAGTGCATAGGCAATTAGAAGCATATGTAACTTGAATTATTGTTATATCACACACTCACACACCACACACACACGGAATGCTGTTATATAATTAATTGTTTCTTAAGGCACACGCTCTGGCATTTTAGTTTCGAACATAAACGATCTATACAACGATTCTTATCTCTAAATAATTCTAATTTGAAAAGTGTATTACTATTATTATAGAATATATATATTATTGTTTACAAGAGGAAAGTACAGTTTAGAATCCAAACACAGCACACACAAACCGCAGAGTTTAGAAACCATTTTGATTATTGTTGTTTATTTTACTGTTAACGAGCAATGAAATAATTGCATAAAGCTTAGCGGAAGAATGTTATTTTGTATATTGCATAATACTAAAGTTGAATAGCTTTATCAAAACGTATATTTTATACATTTTAATGTTATATTTTGTTAAATTTCAAATGGGAAATGAAACGGAAGCTTTTCCCTTCGCGATATTACTACTAAGCACACACACAATATTATTACGCCTAGTTATATTTTAACAAATCTACTTTATATATATACTTTATGTGTAAACAAAAGCCAATCCATATTGCATTGTATTCCCCCCCTGCGCCCCATATATACATTTCTCTTACATGTAGCGCATGCTTTTACTTGTATCCTGGCTATCATTTTATACATATATATATATTGTACCTATAAACATCTCTATATATATATATACACATATTATATCCGATGAATAATTAATTTTTAGTATGCAACAGGCACATTACGAGTAATTGTTTGTTTTAGTTTGGAAAGTATCTTTTGAAGAAACAATAAACCAAAACTCATTTGGATAATATACGTTACTTCATTTGTTTCATTTTGTGTTTTAAGTTCTCTCCAGTTTTTGGTCTGGTTTGGAGGAAGCTATATCTTCGTTTGGTTATTGGTTCGCGATATCATTTGTCCGTATAATCAGTGATCTACCTTATTGTTTCAATGAATGGAATTGTTTTGTATTTTCTAAGTAAAATATTTGAGATCCGAACTTATTATTGGTCTGAGAAATTGAGTTTTATCCTTCAATGTTTATTTCCCTTCGATTTGAATGTTTTTAGGCAATCACTGTGATCTTTGCACTGAAGTCGATTTTCCTCTCCATTTGTATTTTGTTTTCGCTTTATTTCGCTTGTAAAAACATATCCTAGAGCAGTTCCTCTGGAATTAGTTTAGCACACTATGTGATCTTCGCTATCCTATCTATCTATCCATGTTTGTACATATATCTCTATCTCCCCGGCCCTTCGACTCTTCCGTACACAGCACCCGGAAACAGCAATGTGAACAACAACAACAGCTCGGTGGCTAGCAACAATAATACGACCACGAATCCCAATCCTAAAGGAACAGGAACAGGAGGAGCACCTCCAGTGCTAAAGCCCGCCTATGCACCACTAAAGAAGCACAGGGCTCCAGCACCTCCACCGCAAGCTGGCGTGGCAGCAGCCACGGTATCAGTTATACGGCAATCGAGTTTTCTTTACGGCGGAGCAGCAGGTGGTTCCGGTGGCTCGAGCAGCATACGACCACAGTCACAGCCAGCGGGGATTGGGCCACGAAACTCTACTGTCTACTGAATGGATTATGGTTAAAGGATAAAGCTTAGTGTTTGATTTGTATATAACTGTGTGCATGGGGAGGAGTGTGTTTGTGGCTTCGTTGTTGATGTGTTGTATGCGGGTGTGTTATGTGCCACAGGCAGTTGTTCAAAAAGTCAATGGAAAGTACGTAGAATAAACCAAAAACAATGGCACACTAAAACCCCCTAAAAGGAAAGCTTAATGAACAATTCAAGAGCAATCTACAAAACCCTAAAAATTCGTTGGCGTCTTCCCATGCTGCAATTAAAATAGTTAAAGCAGGCAAAAAATGTATGGTCCACTCCGAAATTTGTATATAGAACTAGCACCAAGTTAGTGAAATTATCAAGCAGCATCTATACCTTATATATGGTATAAACGGGTGTAAATGATTGTACGTACTTTTAGGAGCGCGCCTCTTTGCATAAAAAATATCTTACTAGACTGAACATGTTAAAACCCAACAGCAACAATTAATTAATGTAATTATATACGATATTTAGAATCGATTACTGTACGACTTAATCCCCTAGAGCAATACACAAAAACACACACAATGGAAAAATGTTAACAATGCACAACCGAGAGCATTTCAACGAAACTCGCCACATTCCATTTCCGATTTGTATTTAGTTCAATGTGCAATAAGTGAGTTCGTGTGATAATCTCCAAAGTATTTAGGTATTTATCTATCATCTATCGTTTTTGGTAAACGTTTGTTAAACTCCTTTTTGGGCAATAACTATTTGGAAGTGAGCATAATACACATTAATATTATTCTTATTCTTATTATTATTAAACTCAATCATTGTTGTTGGACTTGATGTCATTAGAAGTATTAATCAGCAATTGCATAACATTTTATTCCAAATCAAAATCATTGCAGTTATAAATAAAATTACGAAGTCATTAAAAAATTGAGCATTATTTGTGATATTTTATATTGAGTATGGTTTATGTATATATATTTGAGTAAGTGTAAATGCTTCCAAGCAATAACAATTTGGATCCTAATCCTAGTTTAAATGTAAAGTAAAGCCTTTTTTTGGTTACATGTAATAACAAATCGCACTTTTTCAACTTAATGACTAAATATGGCTGAACTAAGCAACCTCGTTCTTTTGCTTAAGACATTGCACAGCCTCTTGGAGACCTTGATCCTCGCGTTTGCGAATTCGTTCACATTTGGGACATGGTTGTTTCTCATTCAGGCACTCTGCATGGAACACGGCTCCACAGGTCAGACACTGAAAAGGGAGGATTTAATCAATGTTTCAATGTCAATTAGTTTTAATCAATGAAAATGTCTTAAAAAGTCGACTTACCCTAAAGGTAGTACTGATGTGAAAGGGATACAAAACCCTTGGACTCTGGCAGATCTCGCAAATAAATCCTTTCAGCTGGCACAGTTTGCACTTCAACACATGCGCTTCACCCAGTTTAAATGCTTTCTGCAGCTGCTGACACAGTACACCCCGTTGAATTAAGGCCAAATCTGCTATGGAGTATAGGTGAATATGCTCGTACAGGTACTCTCTGCCTGAGAATAGATTCTGTAGCAGATCTATGCTTTCCGGGGCACAGGTGTACAAATAAGCCCGTATGAAGTTCAGTCGGATACGCAAAGATTGCAATTCAGCCATGGCATCGGAGGCATAATATATTCTGGGGTTCAGCAGTTGCATGTCCAGGAACGGATGTGAACGAAATTCGGCCAGAAAAGTCGCTGCACGCTTGCTTACATTGTATTTACGGAAATCCCAATTGAAGATAATACGAGCGGGTATCAGTTGCATCTCCACATCCATGCAGCTATTGCAGTAGTAACTACCACTAAACGCGCACACTCTACGGATATATTATTAATTATAGTTGAAGTTACTAAAAAGACAAGTATTTACTGAAAGTTGGAGTAGCCAATGCCCAGTGGATGTTGACAGCTCTTGCACAGGAATCCTTGGACATTAAGACCCGGCTCTCGAGCTAGTTGGCATAACTGGGCTACCATTTGCTGCAGCTCAACCATGTCAAATTCAGAGGTTAGAAGCTCGAACTCTGAGTTGGTCTAAATTATGAAAATGTATTGCTATTTTCTTTTATCACACGATTTCTACTTACATCTAGTGACTGAAGATCACTCAAATCCTCTGAAACAGGCGGATCACTATCACGCTGCGGTTGAGTCACATTCAGGTTAGAGGCACTGGCCCTAAACTTCTCCCAGATCTCCGACCATCCGGCTCCGCCTTCCCGATTACTCTCGTGCTTCCGTAGTAGGGCATTGTAGCTGCACCTGTCTGTGTTGGGAGAACGCAGACTCACGGCGCTACTAACGCTGACAGATCTTTGAAAAATTCTCGATCCAGTCAGATCCTCAGTGGGTGAAGTTGGTGTTGCTTCTAGATCACCAGACCAGGAGGTTTGCATTAGATTGGACAGCGAATTGCTCCCTTGTGGCATAATGCAAGGTGCCTCAAGATCCAGCTCGCCAAAAGGGTTCAGTTGAAGATTGGATTTCTTGCGGGTCCTTGGCTTGCTGCTCGACGGAACATCTGGCTCTGCAGCTTCACTCGCTTCTGCTGTTTCCCCAGCTGTCTGCTCTTCATTTATCACATCCATCTCCTCAAACTTTTGTATCAGCAAATCAAGGTTCTCGCGCTGGGTGAGATCTGGTACCCCGAAATTGCTGTTTCTACTAAAAGGGCTATTGGAAATGGACTCCGAGAATAGCTCGTTGGTCTGTAGGGGCTGCGGCGTCGGTATCGCTATGATGTCGGATCCGAGCGAACTGGCCACATCCACGCCGCTACTTATCTGCAAGGAACGTACTCAAATTAGTCACCTTTAAATCATAAAAGTCAAGGTGTTACTACTAATAATGGCTTCAAATTGTGGGTTTTTGCTTTAAAGTATAACTATATATAATCCCTACTATATATTATCCCTAATAAAGTCCTTATATTTTAGTGCACATTTCTACTGCTAATTTTATGGAAATTGGACAATATAATTTATCACTTTGCCCAAGATTAGAACTGCATATCTATAACAACTGAAAGGATATGCATGAGCTGAGATCAAATATAAGTCTGGCAAAGGATTTTGATGGGAAACCAAATCATACCGGGCAGGATTTGAGTGCTGGGGTCCAGAGATCAGATAGCTGCAGCGAATAGTCGGGCCAGTGGTTTAGTAAGCTGGAGTTAACGGGCAGGTCGAACTGCACGTACGCCTCCAGGCTCTCCATGATCTTGGCGGCCGTCTCTAGACCTTCAGAGTCTCTGATCAGAGCGTTTCGATTGTAGTACTGCGACAGGGCCGATCCATTCTTGCGCATGTTATTCAAATACGAGGAGAATACGGATTCGTTTAGAGATTGCCGCACCCAGGCACGGCACTGACCAGTTTCCGAGGTGATTTGGCTGAGCCCCTGAATTTGCTCGATCACCTGTTTGTGCATAAAGACCATACAGGGTGACCAGAAGCTGGGATCTGGTCTGCGTTCCACATCGCCAGCGAGGACATTAAAGGTGGCGGAGAGAAAAGAGTCTTTCAACCCGTGCAGAAATAGGGCCTCTAGAGTGGTGCACAGTGCACTGGTCTGTTCGCAGAGTCCCACAACCTCTAAAAACCACAAGGAGTAATATCAATCAATAACCATTTCCGGGGAGTACCCACAACTCACCCAAACTTTTCTGCTTTACTTCGAACTCTATCTCGCGGGCATTTTCGTTCAGGGTATTGATAAGCGCCTCCTTAACTACATTTTCGCGTTTCGATGAAAAGTGATTTAGGCTGCGGAACAGAGAACTCATTTGGTTGTCGATCCAGACCTTTTGTTATGGTTTTCCGAAGGCCTTTGGATATGGCAAAAAATTCTTCCCCCAAGTGTGACCGCAGTCGGGGCTCCAAATAAACAAATAAAAAATACTAGAATTCAATTGAGATAATATGTTCCATAGCTAGATATTTGTATTTTCTTATTATTTCTTAAATATATATTTATAAAATATAACATTTGCTTACATTTTTAACAGAAGCATTACAACAAAAAAGTGAAGCTTTTTGAAATTAAAAATCCCGCTTTAATAATGTAATCGATAGGCGATATTTTTTAAATTCTCACTCTGCATGGTCCCTCTATAATCCACAGTGGTCAAAACTGTTGGCAATCTGAAACTCGTAACGGTTTTCACATAAATAAAAAAAATTAAATTTGTTTATCTAAACGAGCATCAAACTACATTCCGTTAATAATTGCAAAAATGCTCACCAAGGCAATCAAAAAGGTCACATCTCTAAGACTTTAGTGGGCTAAGCCACTGAAACCCGTTCTGGTTATTCTTGACTTTCTTCTCAGATCAAATCAAAGCTTATGTGTGAATGCTCGATTATGAGTTTAAGAAAAACCCCACGCAAATTAGCAACAACTCGCAGAGAAACCGTCACCGAGACAGAATATTAATTGATTTCGGTTGGATCTTTCCTATCGCTCCCTTGTCATTATTGTCGTGTTATTGTGCTCTGGGTATTTTCGGTTTTTTGTTTCAATGAACCGTCATATATTCTGTACCCAAGTGACTCATCTATGTAGATCTTTTGACCGCCAGGGAATTTTTATTAATGAAAGACCATCCTGACTTGGGGGGAACCAGAAAAAACCCGATGCACGTAGCCAGTTGATACAATACTAAAATCAAAATTTGTGTTAAGGTCACGGTGACCAACAAAAGCGATTTTATGTATACAAGGCATGTTGCTGCTGCTGTTGTTGTTGTTGTTAACGCATTTTTCAATATTTTTGCAATAAAAAATTTTGTTGTTTCTTACAGAAAAGAAGATGCGCCGCCGTTGTCGTTGTGAACCAACTGGTTCAGCATTCAAAATGCAAACTGGTCTCCGCCGCCAATTTGTTTGACTTTTCAACTGTTTTCGGCTTGATGTTGTTTTTCGAAAACACATTTTCCATGTGGGCTGCATTCGGCAAATTGCATTTTATTGAATTTTATTGATACGAAACTGGTTGCGAAATCGTTAATAAGATAAACAATTTGCAAAAAAGTTATTGTGATACACGTTTCGTTTATTGTTGGTATTATTTTTGGAATAAGGTTTTGAGTAAATAACACTTGTAAAACATCTTGAACAATTTATTACTATATAAATCTTTGTTTCATTTTGTCAAGGGTTTAAAGTGCTCTTTTCTAATTGTGATAATAAAAAATATACTTTCTTATGAGGCTTAAGAATGTAAACCCATTATATCTTTCAAATTTTTAAGCGTAAGTCTACGTCAAATACCACAAATCGGTATAAAATATATTTATTTTTCAGCAAGTTCATATATGAGCTTAACCCCAGTAATTATTTTTTTTAACATCGTCGCAAAGTAGTTGCAAAAAAATGCCGACTTAAACATAACACTTAAGTTTGAAATTTGCATGTTTACGAGTATATACTTGGGCTTCCCCCATCAAAACTGTAAGTCCGATTTCGCATGGTGGAAAACCGTTGGAGTTGTTGTGTGACATTAATGACGATAAACAATTAATAAGACGCTTTGGGTGAACGGTGAAGGGTGAAGGGTCGCGGCGACATTTCCCAACTGAGCCGACTCTATTAAAGTAAATAATATGTGGCGCGCATTGTTGTTGCTCTTAGCTGACTTTGCAGTTTCCAAGATGCCAGCGTGTTGCCATTGTTGTGGCCAAAAAGAAAACGAAACGAAGCTGAAAATGTATAAAAACGTTTGTTTTCGTAATACAATTTTGATTACTTCTTCGACGCCAGCCGCCCATTGATGGGCATTGTCTCAGTTCGGCCCCTTTTGTGCGTCCCTAAGCGATTTGATTTATGGGTGGAGGAGCTCGATGCTCACAGCTCACAGCTCCAGTCCACAAAGGCCCCAGCTGCCAGCTACCGTTGGCCATTTGCCGGGATCGCAGTCCATTTGGCAATAGCTTTGTTGTAATTGTAACAATAATAACAGCCGTGATTCCCGACGACTCTGCCCCAACCAACTGGGCAATCATTGACATCGTAGTAGTACCAGGGGCTGGTTATGGGGGGTTAATCGTTGAGATTTTTATATTGAAATATTTCGAAAGGCGGTAACATTTTCTACTCAATATAAAAACTGCTTACTAAACTGTCAAAATACCATTTAAAATTATAAAAAATGAACTAGTTAAATTTTTATCCTTTTCAAGATTTGAACAAAAGAATATTTTAAAAGACTTTAAATGCCTTATTTTTAAAATATAAAATCTACAAAAGTTTTTATTTCTCCATTTCTTTAACAAAACCCCCTTTTCGCAATACCTCCGCTTATTGCTGGGCCATGATGAGCCTAGGAAACTGGCTCTTTGAACGTCAAAAGCCAAATGCCGGTACAAATGCTCAAATGCGGAACCAATAAGCTGACATAATTTCTTGTGATGGGCGAGAAATAAAAGATTTGCTCAGGCCAAATGATAATTACATTCCAGAGACATCCGAAGATATGGTCATGGTTGGCTTTCGAATGCGATCATCAACGCATTTAAATTTAAAGTCCATAGGGAGATGGTTATTCAAGGACGTTAAAAGAAATTTAAATAGAGGATTATTATATTACTTTACTCTTTATATAGAATTACATACTGAAGATCAGAAAAGAATTTCTTATAAGCAATTATAAATATTTTGCCATATGATCACGAGACAAGATGATCTAATCACCGGTCGTGTTAATCGCCGGGCGGGCTGAAATGCCAAAAGTTCATCGATCACTGACACCGCAGATCAACTCAACGCATCTTCATTGATCTGCCAGAAGTCTGATCGATCGGTTCTCTGACTCAGAACAGTCAAGAGAACCCAAAGCAATAAGCCAAGCAACCAGACAAGCCTGAAATATGTTTGTGTCAACGCTTTACGATTCGCCAAATATTAATGAATTGAGAACAAGAACTTTGCTATGGGGAACAGGATCTGGTAGAATCTGTGACACATGGAACTCATAACTTGTGGATTGTTAGCATAATACTCTTCCAAAATCATGCCAAACCTGCCAAAATAAACAAATCGAACGGATCACATTCGTTTTCATTATCTATTTGCATTTCGTGTGTGTTTAATTTATGCGAAAGTTGTGTCTATTTGGGAGTCGCTTAGGCTATTGTCTTGTAAATCATTCGGAGAATAGTATTCATGTTAGCCGACTGTTAGCTGAATGTTAATATTAACCCCTTACTAAAATTGGTGACTAATTTGTAACGTGAAAAAGAGGCAACATTTCTGTAACGGACTAACTAAAAACAGAGCAAATTGCTTTTACTTAAACTTAAAACTTGAACTTCTAATGCAGTAAATGAAAAATAACATTCTTTTAAACTCTTTTTGACAGATTTATGACATTTTGATATAACAGAAAGCAGATTTATAGCCAAATGCCTTAAATATGACTTGGAAATTCAACACTTTAGTTCATTTTCACGTACTTTATGACTGAAGTCACCATTATTAAAAAAAAAACAAAGCTGTAAAGTACAAAACATATATACCAATTTTAAAGATATTACCAAATTTAGCCAGCAGGGGGTTAATATCTGGATGCGATCAGGTTGCTTGGCTGACCTTGAACGTCATTGGCAATGCGTCAAACTGTGGCGACAAACCAGTATGCAAAAAAAGGTGATCACCGGGCGGTAATTAAAACAATTATTTTGCAATGTTTTCCGGTACATAGAATATAAATCAAAAATTAGAACAGAAGCTAAGGGAAAAATTATACAAAACTAAATAAGGGTTTTGCATGGATAATACTTTCTAGCTATCGAAATTTACAATGTTTTTTTTTTAACTTATTTTCCAGACGACTCTGCCGCAGTCGCTGTCGCTGCTAGCATCGGTGGCTGCTGCGTCGCTGTTTGAGCCAAGTCAAGCTCCGAGCAGCGGCTGTTGGCCAAGTTTATTGAAAGCGCAGAATCCGTAAGCTACGGACGTGTTTCGCTCGAGCGCATCGCGCATCTCCCGACTTCGACCTCCGATCTCTCGCTCGCACCCGCCCTCCGCTCATAGCACCCTCTCGCTCGCGCCTCGAAGTGATCGTGATATCGTGCCGCGGATTTTGAAGTTTCTGTTCGATTGAGAAAAGGCGGTGAAAATATTACACATTATAGCGATTTTGTCATCGCGATCATTGTTAGACGTCGCGGTCCGCCTACGCGATAATTATTCCAGTTCGTTTTTTATCCCCTTTGGGCAATGCCCAATTCTAAATTGTTTATTGCGTGACAAATTCAGATTCCGTCAGAAAAAGGCCCAAGAATAATTTAATAAAAATACGAAACACCAGCCCAAACACCCACGAGATAATGCAGATCGTCCCGAAGCCACTATGCGGTGGCAGCGTGGTTAGCTTTACCGTTATGCTGCTGCTGATCATCGGAGCCGAATTCGCCGTTGGAAGGCCTGGTATTAAATTAAAGAAAAACTATATATATATATTTGTATATAAACTAAGGCGATTGCAATTGGGATTACGATATCAGTATCGCATATTCAATTTGCACCAGCATGCGAATCCGATCTTTGAATCAGTGATTTTCTTCGCTTTCGTTGTCTTAAACTCTTTCTATTTGCGGTTTACGTTTGGAAATGTTATGTGTGCTTATTGCGTATTTTCTGGAGGAAGCTACAAGTTTATGGATGCTATATAAAAATTATAAATTTATTAAATGTATGGCATAAATAATAGGCTAGTCGAACCTGTTCCAAGCACATTACCATTTAGAAATATTCTATGACTTAAAGTTCAGTGGTTCTATCTATATATATATATGCATCCACAACTTTCAGCTTCCCCCACTCAACTTGATCTGTAACTAATTTTATGATTTTATCTTGATCCTACTAAGTTTTATTCTGAACCCAAGTCCCCAATCCCCTATCCCCTTTGTCTGTCAATATCTGTTAGAAGTTTAAAATTTTTACTCATCCTCACCTAAATGCATTTTGTATCTCACCTCACCCACATTAATTGCATTCCCAAAACTCACCAGTTCACCAGTTCATACTCACCCCACTGTGAACTTCGATCGTGATCGTGTTCATGACCCACATCGGTTGGGAGACAAGTGCTATTCCCCAGCTAACGACTAATGACAATTGCACCAACAGGCGGGAAAATCATTGGGTCTGAAATGAATTGAAAACGAAGCTAATTTGCCATTCAGATTTTAAGATAGAAAATGTAGATAAATCTTCAGATTTAGATATGGAAGTTGCCATCACCAAAAACTTGTAGATGCATCCTTATTACTTTGTTAAAGATTTAACTTGAAGTGGTAACTAAAGTGGTTTACTCTTCTCTGTGTTGCATCTTCATTGACACAGTTTTTTTTTTGGTTTTTAAGTGCATTCTCCTGTCTTGTCCCGAAGGCTTCTGCTTGCAATTAGCCTTCGCCGTTGAAGAGCCTTATAACTGCTGCCTTAAGCTGTTTTTGTTTGACAAACAAACTGAAGAACTGGGCGCCGATCATTAAGTTTTTTCTTTGGTTTGAAAGCGAAATCAGGTAGCCGCTGCAAAAACAAACAGCGAGATTCCCAAAGGCAAAGCCGTAAGAAAAACGAAATTCGAGAAGAGCCAAGATGTGAAGAGACCCCCAAGAGAAGCAAAACTCAAACCCAAACTGAAACTGAAACCCAAAACTCCAGCAAGTGGGGTTACGTAAACCGAAGATAACGTGACTGGCAAGGCTTCGACAAAGTCGTTGTCGATCCGTTGCCTTCCTCTTGGCGTTCCGGGGGCTAAAGGAGGGCCAAAACGACCTCTGGAATGGATTCCCTAAGGGGGGAATCCATGTAGTTCATAAATTTAGAGACGCTTTTGTCAAGACGATCTGTTAACTAAGTTGTTTACACCAACTAGAGACTAATGTTGTGGCGCTCTTTTTTTTTTGGGTCATGGGGCCACAAACAAGAAGCCACGACGAAGAAAAAAGCAAACGATTTAGAGAATGAAAACACGAGGAAATTTCGTGCAACATCTCGAAGAGTTGGGCAAAACCCAATGACCAACTAGTCAAGTTAATTGGCCAATAACAATTAAACCCAATCCATAAGCTCAGCGCTCGTTTGAAGCACCAATGATGGATATATATCATTTTAGCCTAATGGATTTCCTTTTCTTTTAACTCTGAAAGAAATAGATATGTTACGGTTGAGGTTTTCAAATTCGGCAATCAATGAACCCATCGTAATGAATGGACCCGTACGTGATAATTAGCAAATTCGCACGGATCTGAAATAGGGAATCGTGCCTGACTTTCGCGTGGCTTGATTTATGATTCAGCCGCTGATTATCGTAATTAAAACACAATGGGATATCAACCAGTTATGGATATATAGATGAAGATAGGTAGACACATGAGCAGCGGCAATTCGATTTCGAAACAGAAATCAAAAACCGATTTGCCGATCTATTGCGAATTCCTCAAAGGCTTCCGACAAATGCCAATCCATATAGAACCAATTCTTTGGCCATTCTAAGCCATAAATATTAATTCATTTATGGGAGAGTTCGGTTTCCGTTTCACTCACTTACCCCCTGACATTTCTGAGCCAATCATAATCAAATCACATTCCATTCGGCGATTTCAAGTGCAATAAACACACTTTGTTTCATATTCGATTCACAGCCAAGTATAATTTACAAGTTGGGATTTTGATTTGCCGATTTGGCACGGCTTTTGACACATTTGTTTAAAATCGATGCCGTGTGGGATGACAACCCCATAAGTCGATAACTCCAAGGCCTGCCATATGATATAAACGAAGATTAATAAAAATCCATTACAATTTTTGTTCGCTGGTTTTGGCGAAGGTTGGCCAAGCGCTGAAAAACATGTCGAAAAAATCAAGAAGTTGGTAAACAAACTGTAAAATTGGCAAGTGCAAAATGTGTTTTTTGAACAGAAATACCCATTGTCTTTAGGTGGGTGCAGATGTCGTGAAGCCGTCAATCAATTAAAAATTAAATTCAATAGACATAAACAGCGAGGGAGATGGCGATGGAGATGTCGATTGGGTTGAAGATGGCGCTGGAGACAAGCAAAATTAATTGGCCTGAACTTGAGCAGCGTTGTGTGTTTTTGTTGTTGTTGTTGTTGTTGTTGTATTCGAGGCGGAAGTGTGGGGAATTTCAATTATTTTGGAATTATCAAAAACAAAACCAAAAACAATATATAAACATTTTCGGCCGCCAGCCGTGACGTAAATCATCTTCGCTATCTCTTGAGCATTCATATTTATGAGAGGCGAAAGTTCAGGGCTTCCTGATGTACGGCCAAAGGCCCGTCCCCAAAATGCAAATGAATCTCGACTGCTTATGGCCATAGAATAGAGATATGCACATGTGCTTAGCAGCCGGAACTGACTGACTGACTGACTAACTGACTAACTTGGCTAGCGAATTCAAAGCAACGCCCATCGATCGCGATCTGGCTTAGTCACATACTAAATACCAGTTGACCGCAGAGCAGAAACAGCATTTCCAGAATTCCCCAGCGCCAGCCAAATTAAAATATTCCATATCTATATCTCCAGTAAGATTAGCCATACAATTTATTCAGTTATTCCGCCGTAAACAGGAATCGAGGCGCAGATCAGTTAGAATCAGAAGCTGACTGAGAGAATATCTCAGTTATCCACGTAAATTATTATTAATTATTCGCACTCGGCACGAGCGAAGTACAATACCCATGGCGAATATAACCAAATCGTTGTCAGTACAATCATTAGCCATTAATTTGGTTGTTGTTGCTGTCAGAGCCAGCTGTCACATGGGTTCCCCGATTCTCCGTTTCCCAGACTCCCAGCGACAGAACAATGAGTGTATCGCTTGATAAAACCCATTCCATAATTGCAAAGTGCGTTTCGCGAGTGTAAGGGTAACTTTAGATTGTTATAAAAACTTAAATTTGCAGAGATAGAGCCATCAATGTGGTGTCAAAAAATTGTTTATTTAAATATCCCAATCCACTACCGAATGGAGGAAAATTTGCAAGTCTAGATAAATATTTATCGATTTTTTAAGTTAAAGAAATTTATCAATTTAAAACGACAATCAATTTGCTTCGATTTGCCTCTCCCCAATCAATTTATTATTAAGTTTAATAAGCATTGGCCAAATTGGTTAAATTGATTTAATGTTTTGTCATATTACGACGATGTGAAACGCATCGTATGCCTAGAGCCCTTTTGCTCGATTCCAATGGCCAGCTGAAACGAAAGACTTAGGCAACGAACTTGATGGTTGCACACCTGTCACACCCACACATAGACACACGTACATTGACTAACCTGCCTGGGTAACTTTTAAAATTGAATTTTATTTGGTGGCGGACCTTTGTGTAACTAACAGTAACCATCGCACACCAGCCACACATCACAAAAACCGCAGCAGCATAAGCAGCAGCAGCAACAGCAGCAGCAACAGCAGCAGCGAAACCTAAAGCAAATGTATGGCCCATCTCAGTCAATGTCAATCAATCAGCCGCCGCGGCAGCCAAATTGCCCAAGAGCCGCCCACAGCTGCCTCATCTGTCACCCAACCACCAGCATAGCCATCGAATAAACTTCTCACCCACCTTACAGCATGCCCTCAAATAGGAATTTAAGTTCGACTTCAATTTAAAAGTAGCCCTTCAGCTAGTAAAATATTTAAGGAAAAAAAGGAAAGTTTTTATTTCTAGAATGACATAAATTTCCTTTTTAATCCCAAAAGTTTACCTCTCATAAATTCCATTCTTTAAATTCCATTTCCCCAATTTGCTAGCTTTTCAAATTTAACAAGTTAAAACTATTTTGATTTTGACTTTTTTGAGGCTTGCACCATTGTTTCACTCTGTCATTTATCCACTTCCACTTGCCACTCCCACTTGCTACTTCCACTTGCCAAACTCCATGCTTTTCAAACGCTCCAAAGATGCAGCCGCAGCCACAACGAGACAATGAGACATTCTGCTCCCCCTCCAACAGATGTGCGCGAATCGCCCTTCGCCCTCGAACTGCAACCGCCGCTATTGCAGCCGGACGTGTCCTTCAGCTCGGCCCAAGGGGGCAATGGTGGGCCAAAGGCCATCGACAGCTACGGTAACCCCATCGATGCACTGCGACCAATAGACACGCCTGACGGTCGCAAGGTGGTCAGTGCCCAGGGCGTTCAGTTCGAGATACCCACGTATGCCTCGGGAATCACAGAGATCCGGCGGCCGGCCGATGATCTTTTGCCTCCGCACATTGGTGAGTTGACATCTACGCTACGAGCAGCGGCTGCCAGCGGTGCCATCAGCAAAACAGAAACGGAAACGGAAACCAGGACAGAAACCAATGCCTTGACAGCACCACACACAAACAGTAGTCGTAGAAATAGTACAAATAGCATTAGCACCCGCACCGCACTAGCCGCACCCATAAGCACCACTAACAAACTGGCCAAGCGAGATTCGCAGGGCGGCCAGTTCCCCATTGCACCACCCAGTAACCGCCACGCCCCTCCCTCCTTCTCCCTAATCAAATTGAATCCCTTCCTTGGTCTGGATACACCCATTACCCAGATCGGTAGCCATCCCAGTCCAAATTCAAGTCCCAGACTCTGCCCCAAACCCAGTCCCAGTCTTAATCCCAGTGCCAGGTCCTTATCCCAAGTCCCAGCCAACGCGAATTGCTCGAAATATTCAACTCCGAATCCGAATCCTCTCCAACCAGATGCCATCGCTGTGGGCCTGGAACCCAGCGCCGATCAGAAACCGAATCCGAACTCATTCACTGGCACAGCATCAGCATCCGCACCAGCACCACTTCCAGCCACATCATTAACACCGCCCCTCCATGATCCACCATCAACCGACACGACAACCACCGCGGATGTGGAGGTGGAGCAGGCGCACCTGGTGCCACTTCCACAGGACGAGAAGGAGGCGGATTCTCTGCCCGATTATATCCGGGAGTTGCAACGGGAGGATGCGAATATTGGCGGTCCAATCGAATGGAAACCGGCTGCCGATGGGGCACCTCTCAGTGTGATTGCCTGGGACCTGTTGCCACCGCACCAGGATCAGGATTCCCACCGCCAGGCGGAACAGGAACAGGCACAGGAGCCCACGATTATCACTCAGGCCCAGCAGCTGCCGGCTAAGAAGGTGCAGAGCATTGTCGATCCCATAACCAACAACATACGCATCAGCCTGAGCAGTGGTAATGCTTTGAGTCCGGAAGCACCACAAGCACAGGCACAGCCACAGGAGCACCAACATAACGATGGGCCGGGGCATCATGGCACCAATGCGCATGTCGGCAGCACCACGCCGAGCAATCCGGGCCGCTTTCCGAACCGCCAACGTGGCACGGCCCACTACAGCACCACCAGGAGTAGTAGCACCACTCTAAGGCCGCGCAGCACCACCACGCAAGCCACGACGACCACAACAAGGGCCACCACGACGACAACGAGGCCCACTACAACCACAACTACCAGGAGAATAACTACAACCAGGACCACAACTACAGCGAAACCAGAGACGCGCACTGCCAACCCAATAACCAGCACTATTGGCACCACCGAGGATCCGTCCACCTTCTATCGCCTTGACAACGAGGAGGCCTACGCCTACACATTGCCCACGTGGCTGCAGGAGGTTACCGATCCGGATCTGGATGTGGCAGTCACCTTTGAAGTGCCCGCCGACAACGATCTTTACAACCACACGCTGGCCAAAGATCTGGAGCCACCATTTGAGCCATTCGTCGATTTGGGCAACATTCAATTGACACCACCGCCGACTACTAGGCCCATAGTCACAACACCAACCACAACAACCACAACGACCACCACCACGGCAGCACCAACAACGACAACCACAACAACAACTAGCACAACCACAACAACCACGCCACGAACAACGACAACCACAACCACGCGACGTCCGAGCACGCAGAGAACCACCACCAAAGCACCCATACCACCCACTCACAGCATCCAAGTGCACAAAGAACCACAGCAAGTGAAACTGACCACAACCACCACCCATCACGCAGATAACTCGCCGACGGATTCGAGCAGCAGCAGCACCTATACCAGCACCATCAACACCACTCCGAGCCAGTTTGATGCAGGCAACCCATTCGATTCGGCCACAATTCCCGCCTGGCTGCGTGACTTCGATTATCCGGATGTTGGTCCCGGAGTGCCCTTTGATCCGGACAATTATGGACCAGCAGCTAGCAGCACCCGTTACCCAACCACCCCACCACGTCTCCCCACCGTCCCGTCCGCCTCCTCCGCTTTTCCATCCAAAGTCACGCTTCCGCTTCCAGGCAGCAGCAGCAGTAGCAGTAGCAGTAGCAGCGAGAGGCCACCGCTGGTGCTCGTTCCGCCCGCTGACAGCTCGGATTCCGGTTTCGATTCCGGTTCCAGCTCTGACATCGGCTCTTTCTCCGGCACCAATCCCGGACCACTGATCCATCCCACTACCAACTCTATCACGCCTTTTGCAGCCCGCTTCGATCCACCAGCCGTCAATGCCAACTCACCCAACATCGAGCCCTCCCCAACCAGCAAGGTCGAGTACACGAAAAGCGATGAGGGCAAGGTCATCAGCACTCCGGTCACTAGCAATCAGCGTAAGAGTAAGTAGTAACTATAAATACCGTGCCATCTGGATTTAAGTTTACAATTTTTAACTTAGCGCCAAAAAATGGTAAATGGTAATTAAATTTAATAAAAATGCATATTTTTCTTTTCCTCAGCGGAAGCAGCGGCATCAGTTAGCAACACTGGAAAGTACACGGGAGGATTTGGCGCACCAGCGGGACTACTGCGTCCACAGTCTACCAATCCGGACATCTATGTGGGTGGCAACAAGCACGAGTTCAGCACCATTGTGCAGGCAAACAAGGGGCGACCCATCGTTAATCCAGGTCGCTACAATGGTGGCTTTGGAGCACCCACGGGTATCCTTTCGCCACAAGCGCAGGCGGAGCCGCGACCATTCCAGCCCATAAGCCAGCAGACGGAACACAGGGAACAGCAAGCCGATAGTAGCCGGCGAACGGATAGCCGTTTTGGTGGACCACCCGGCATTCTTGTGCCCTTCGACAACGTGCAGCGGACTGGGGGACAGTAGCAGAATGTGCGAAAGTCCGGGAGACCGCGAATACTTTAAATTATTTATAGCCCATGTACATGTACCTATGCTAGAGCTAACTAAGTAGATGACCTGCGGGTCATCGCATTACTTGCGAAATAAATCGTCTCAGAACTACCAAGTCGTATGATTTTCTTTTGAATTGATAAGATAAGTGTAAGTAAGTATACGTTATTTAGGGTATAGTTAATATTCAGAAATTATATTCAAAATAGATTAACTTGGATGGTAATTATGATAGGCACATTACATACTTTTGTTAGAATACAAGATGATACATGCCCTTGTATATGAAGGGTCAACGAAACTTTCTGATTTTCCTAGTCTAGTTCACTGTCAAAAAACGTAAAATTAGTAGCTAACAATATACGAACATATTCCTTTCGAGAGTTTTTAGAATATAGAAATATACTTAATCAACGATGTGCGAGTCTTGCCAATACACACCGGAATGTTCCGCTAAGTTCTATCCCATTTGGTGCATTGGCTTTGGTTTTTGTGCACTTTTATCATCAGTTTATATGGTTTTCGCTAAACAGTACGAACGCTTAAGGCTGTTTGCGTTTATCAATTTGACTGTGTCCATATCATATATCCTAGCTGGAGTATTAATGATGTTGGGAGTAAGAATGGTAAGTTGAGATCATTAATGGTTTCAACAAAATTAACCAATCATTTGTGTTTATAGGACAAAAGAGGATTGTTCAAGGCTGGAAAGATCATCAGCTATATACTTCCTATTGTTATGGTTGCTGCTATATTCACTATTAGTAACTATCATTGCGTAATTTTATCGTATACAGATTTGCATTTACTTAACCTTTGTCTTTACTCAATTTACACTTTCAATTAATCTGAACATGGTGTTCTCAGAGTGCCTATTCTTAATACTCAACTCTATTCAGAATATTTTTCAAATTTTACTAATATGTAGTATTTGTATTTCTACTTCTGCATTCAGTCGTCCATGTCATAGCCGTAATAAATCTGTGCAAATATGTGAATGGGCGCTGGGGTTAACCAAACCTACGTAAGTTGTCTTCGGCTTATCATTTCCAGCCCAAATCGTAATTAATATTTTTAAATGGCCTTTAAAGTGCTTGTTAAGCAGTACAGCCCGTCAATGCTTCGTAAGTAACAGCTAATAATACTTTAAAGCCGCCTTTAATATGTTCCTTAAACAGTGCATTTTGATCGGACTATTTGAGAAGCACTGAACAGCAGCTTATAATGCGTCCAAATCGTTATGTTAAATATCAAAATTATAATAGTTTACACTTGTACATTTTTATTACATTTAAACACTCATATATAAAAATAAAATAGTAAGGGTTTATCTTTAGAAATTTAATTTGGGAGCCAAACTCATTAAAACTATTTTATTTTTATATTTGAATGTTAAAAACATAAAATTCGATGTTTTTGAATTTAGCTTTAACCGGTTAATGACTGATCTTATCAGGATTTGCACTAAGATATACCGCCTCTATGTTTTTTCAAGATATTTTAAACTTATAAAGGATATCTCCGGTTAAATCCGAGTCGCGGCAATGTTATAAGGCAGAAGAGTCAACGTAAGGCTTAGGTAGCTTTAAATTAATTAATTTTCATAATCCAACAATAAGGAAGGGGTAACTAAACTGGAGATTGATGATTGTTTCTCCGCCTGTTCGTACCTTCCTTATAAACACTCCGTCTGGCCAGAAACGTTTTAGGTATTACGAATATCTTAAAGGAATCCATCCTTAACCTGTCTCATACTGACTAAAGAAGATGTTAATTGTTAATGTTTTATGTTCTAAGACTATTTTGCCCTTATAAAGTCAATAATAACATTCGATGTGGCTCAAATCGAGTAACAAATATTAGTTGAAATGGCGAAACCACCAAAAGTTTCTATTGAACACATCCAGCATCTTCCACATTCTTACGGCCTCAATCTCTGTAGGTCTACGGTCATGAGGCAGAACTTACATGATTAAAATTTAAATGTTTCTGATTATTTAGGCCCATCTGTAAGATGTTTTCAAAAACTAGAATATATAAAACAAGCTTAGAGAAGTAAATTACTGAAGAATTAGGAATCGGCAAAAGTAGCCAAAGTCTAGCAAAAGACAAAGGTATAAAGTTTCGAAAACCACGCCTAGCATGAAAACACTCTAAAATGATTAAAAATTACTAAATGGAAGACGCTGAAGACCTAGTTCTCTGGGTGAATCATGTCAGGAAGTTAAAATACAATTCACACATTTAATATTTTTGTTTCGTTAAAAAATTGTTAACGTAAATAAAACAAAGGATGGGTTGCGGAGATTACTCACCGGAAAGTTGTGCCACTTTCTATACACTATGGTGCGTCATATTTGGTGTTCTTGGAGTTATCGCGGGAGCGATTATTATGCAGCAAAAGACTAACTCTATCGAAGGGCCGAATTCAGTAGATATTAATATTAAGGGTATTGGTATTATGTATTTGTGCTTTGCCTTAACCTATCTGCTCGCAGGGATTTTTATGACGTATGGCCATAAATATGTAAGTTAAGATAAGTAGGAGGTCAAGCAAGTATCATATTTTTACCTCTTACTGTGTTATAATAGAACGCCAAAGGAGTCTTTAAGGCTGGAAAAGTCTTAAGCTATTTTTTTCCAATCGTGAACACTCCAGCAATATTTCCCGTCGGTAAGTAATTCTTGTAATTCTGTTGTGATAATCGAATTTCCAATGGATTTCTCCCTGTCTCGTCATTTAGTGATTCACACCGTCTGCTCCATATACCTCTGCGAATATGTTAAAAATCGCTGGGGTTAAATAAATTGTTTGTGTTTTCGTAGAATTTTTATATGGTTTATCTGGGCCTGTAAGTCTTCTTATACTAGTAATCTTATAGATCTGCAGAAACAAGTTTTTTGATTTTTCGTTTGCATGTCAAGAATTTGGATTTGTACAAAAGCAATGGGTATTATAGATTTGAAACCAAGTATTGAAAATAAAACAAACTAAACATTTTTTAGAAATCTACCAATGAATTAGTATCAAATTGATATAAGAACTCTTCACTATATCATTTTTCCTAAATGTTTTCACTACTTAATTAAGACCACCTGTGGAAGATCATTTAAGATAATAAAACGATGAAATATGTTTACAATTTATTACTTAATAATTATTTTCTAATCATTTATTAGCCATGGAACATTATTGTGACCATTTATCAACTCTAAAATATGTAGATTATGTGATTATTATTAGTATTAGTATATTGCAAAGTGACCTGTATTAAGTCCCATGCTAAGTTAGGACAACCGAGTGGCCTCATTCGTTTGAACGCAAGTCCTATCCACATTCAACAGGTGGAGTGCCTGGTGCCTTGCATGCGAGCTGCTCCAATCTGGGAATCGAAGCCATTACAATCGGAGGTCGTGTCTGTTCAATTGGAGTTGTCGTAAACGCGAGTTGGCATTAAGGTCTGCTCCCCACCGCCGAGGAGGGCAACTTGAGCAAATGCAAATATCATAATTTCCGACAGCACATCTGCAGAAAGTATCAAACGAAGGGAGGGGAATCGGCCACAAATGGAGTCCCGCCTCCGGATCCACCTCCAGATCCACCTGCACATCCAAAAGCCAGGCCACCGTTACGAGGGCAGGACAAATAAAATTGTTTCGTCACGCCACCGCGAAGGTTGCCAGCCGCTGTCGAAATGAGGCTGGCACACGCAAGACCTGGCTAAACCACCAACCGCCAACCACCTCCTGGAACCACCCACACTGTTCCCACACCCAAAGAACCCAAACTTCCTTCACGTGCTCCACCATTACGACCTGCTCAAACATCAAGCTTATTTATTTACTCTAAAAACAATACCGGAAAATTAATAGCAATTTGTTGGGGTTCATAAATTTGTCGAAATAAATGTCCTTAACTGGTGACTATATTTCCCCTTACTATCATTCGGTTGGCTTTCTTTGCCGGTGCTGGTGCTGCGAAATAGGTTTCACCTGGTGCCATCGATTGTCTGACTTTGCTTCCTGGCCTGGGGAAGCCCTTCTCTTATCAGCTGGTTTCTCGGTGCGTGACTCCTCTGCTTGGGAGTTCGGGTTTAATTTTGATAGCTTCAATTAACTGCGTGTAAATGCGGTGGCCCCTCGTCCACCTGGTCCTCCCTTTGTTCCTCGGCAATCTAGAATTCCTACACAGAGAAAAATAAGAACTACAGATCGAAATATTACTGAATTATAAGTCTGGAAGTTGAGTTTTAAACGGGTTCTACCTAATTTAACACCAAGTTTATTGGTTTCTTAATTAAATTTCAATTCACAGTGATATCGGCATAAAAATCTCAAAAAGTTCAAATGAAAACAAAGCTGTTTTTAATCGTTCAAAATTTATTAGAACTGATAAACGGACATAAATTTAAGAAGCTAAGTTGTACTGTCATTAATAATTTCATACGTTAAAGTATAATACGAATTTTCTTCGAGTGCCCAGAAGGGTTTGTTGAGATATTAATGAAACTTTATTGAAGTTTATTGCTGCTTGTCAGCGCATGTAAACTGGCATACAAAGTAAAGAAAAGCCAGGAGCAGGAGCTGGAGCTTGCGATGGGTAGTTGGGTAATGGCTTGCTGGTACTGGGTTCCGAGTCCAAGTCGAGTCAAATGCAAAGTGAAGGCAGGTGAATCAGTTGCTCAACGACAAGCGTCGCGTACAGACGTCAATTTCTCGGACCGCGGTGAAGAAATCACAACACAGTTGTTGAAAAAGAAGTGAAAAATGTGAATCTAAGACCTTCCATAAGACCAAAGTCGAAATGCCGCGCAAGAAGCCGAAGGTTGACACTCTCGAAGAGATTGAGACCAATATAAAACTGCTATGCGATCAATCCAATAACCATATGAAAGTTCGGGCTTACGAGAAGGCACTCTTCGGCTACAATCAGGTGCGTCTATTATACTATTTTGTAGAAATTTTTAGGTAACTATTAACTAAGATATCCTGAAAGAGAACTATAACATATCTCTGCGTAAAAAGTGTAAGCTAATTTATAGCTTTTATTGATATTAATGCATAAATTCTGAGACAAGTTAAAATTATGTAAACTGAACTTACACCGGAAACCAAATTGGAATTCTGAAACTAAATCATGTTCGATTTTGAGTGTTTTCAATTTTGGTAAATCTATATTTTTGTTAGTATGTGTCCGGGGGACAGACGGACATGTCTGTATAGTAACTTGTGATTCTTACCAAGAATATATATACTTTAAATTGTGTATTTATGTTACTGAATTTTCAAAAATTAAAATATACCCTTTAGAACTTCAAAAAACAAGAATAAAAGGATCTTTCTCTTTCTTTGAAAACCATTTATGTCAGACTCTGCTACTGTTATACTGTTTTGGAAATGGGTATATTAAGAAGTAATAAAGTGTTATTTTAATTAAAACGGATTAGATTTATAGATTTATGTTAAGATGTTATAGATATTTATTATTACCTGTATAATAGAATTTGTCAGGTTTTTAAACTTTCCGAAACTGGTAGGAAACCCCGCTAAAAGCTTGTGAAAGCTTAGAGCAGGCTTAAGTTACACAGTTTGACATGCACGAATGGTTTCTGATTCACTGAACTCACACCTGTAGAGTAAAAACCAAAACTAAAACTAAAATATATATTTTACATAAATTATTAAAATTTTTAGCTATTATAAAATAATTAAATTAATTTATTTAACTGACTTATTATTTTGATCAACTTAATTTAACTCTATAACTACCATACATCAGGAAAAAGTTTAGTTTTTATCACAATATTAAAATGCAATCACCTTGTTTAAACCCGCATTCCGAAGCATTTAAGTTTGGTTAAATCCATAAACTCGATTTGAGTCGAGTTTGGCGCCATATCAGACACATTCACCAAAGATTACTTATACGACCTATAAACCAAATGTTTTTCTGCTAAGAGAAACATTTCCATTTTTACCCAAAAAACAAAATAATCTATTTTTTAGAATTAAATGAATAAGATTCTAAATCAAATATTTATGCACTTTTTTTCACAAACCTTTTTTAAAAATGCCTAAAATTTATAACTAATAAAACGCGGAACATTCTATTATTCAAGTGTTGGCATAAATTAAAATTGTAAAACATAAACATAAGTAGCTCTTAAGGTTGGCGGGCTTCCTCAAGGTCGCGACCCACTTGGAGGCCATTATTCTTGGCATTCACACCGCCCAAAGGCACAACACCTCGCGCCTGGCGTTTGACACCTGATACCTGGCACCTGGCACCACACGCATGGATGGTTGTTTTGTTATCGATTGCTAACCCATTTGGGAGCGCCAGTATCTTGGCAACAGCCACCAATCAATCGGCGAGTGATTTGGTCAGTAGTTGAGTTCTTACCCTTTGTTCCAATCGAAGGACGTTAAAGAGTTTTACCAACGGTTGCGTAAGGATAATAAAACAGAATGTCAAACGTTCTGAACACCATCCTTGCTGTGGACAAGGAGCAGGAGCTGCTGCAGAGCTTTATCCGCACAGGAGCGGCTGCGGAGGAAGAGTCACAAGACGAGGGCAATCGACGCTCCAAGGGTCGGTCACACAAGCCACCCATCTGGGAGAGGCGTGAGTCCACGGAAAGAGGTGGACGTGGCGGTGGTCGAGATGGCAAACAGGCGGATGACGGAGGAGCTGGTGGCGGAGCAGGTGGCGACGGTGCGGGCGGCAAGCGAGGCAATCGCATTGAGGCCGAATTGAGGGCTGCCCGTAAAAAGATCGAGGAACAGATCGCCAAGAAAAAGAAACCCAAAGAGAACTTTGTCGACTTCTACACGGACAAGGATCGGGCGGCTGCGGTCAGCGCTGGAGCTTTCGACATCAAGCAGAGTCTGCAGATCAAGCAGAAACAGGACCGCAACGAGGCACTGCTTATCCCCGACGAGGCAGACATCAGCTCGGTGATCGCACTTGGACTCAAGGAGATCAAGAACGCTAATCCTGAAAATGCCATCCACTTTTTCTGCAAGGTGCTTCAGCTCATCTTCATCTTATTAGGATTCCATTTTTTTAGGGAACTCTCTAGGGCGTTGTGGCTTGGTTTTATAATATTATTTTTGCTGTTGAATGAAAGTTAATACGTTTTATACTTAAACCACAAATAATTTCCACCCTTTATAAGTGTTAAACTATGAAAGCTTTATTTTGAAAAACCCATTTTTTCGTTTTCAGGCCCTTGAGCTAAATAGCACCGACATCAACGCTTTGATATCGCGTAGCAAGTGCTACTTGTTGCTTGGCGAGGCTTCCAAGGCACTGCAGGATGCAGAGACGGCTCTTGGAGAGGATAAGAATAACATTCGAGCCATCTACCAAAAGGCCGAATCACTCTACTATCTAGGTCAGTTCGAACAGAGCCTGATGTTCTTCCATCGCGGACTAAGAGCTCGTCCCGAACTGGCCCTATTCCGGCTGGGCGTTCAGAAAACGCAAGAGGCTATCGAGAACACGATTGGCAGTAAGCCTGGCCCAGCGACGGCAGCACCATCTGCAGTTCCGAAAAGCGGTAAGTCGCGAAAGTCCGGCGAAGATACACCCAAGTCCCAGCCAGCAGGAACAACTGGGACCAGTGCTAGAGTACGCCAGAAACCCAGTCGAGCGGATCTGGAGCGACGAAACGCTCGGAAGTTACTAGGAGAGCTGTGTGTAGACAAGGAGTACCTGGAAAAACTGTTGCTCCATCCGGACTTGGTTCGTGCGGATACCCACACGGAGAGCATTTCCGCTTACGCCCGAGAAGCAGTGGAGTTCCTTAACAAACGACAGGAATTCTGGCGGCAACAACGCCCCTGCACGGCGCTTCCCAATCACAAGAACTTGCCACATGACGCACTGCCCAAGTGGTTCTAGTTGATTCGGTTATCCAATTCTTCCTGATATACCAACATCCTGTGTTAAGTTTCTGTTTGAATTCAGCTGAAATTAAATGAAATAAATGAATTAATCTGTTTGGAAGATACTTTTGAGTTTGGTTGAATAACAAAGGCTGAATCCGAGGTCAACTGTTGTTCTTTTTATCAACCTGGAAAAGGGCAAACAAACTTAATTTATTGATTTCCAATTAAGAACAAAAGCTTTTAGCGAGTATGCAGTTGGTGTAGCGGCTACAGCGGTCCAACTTGTTTATTGTGTTGTATGCTAATTGGGTTTTCATTCGATTGGGGGAGGTTAATTTAATCTTAGGTGTAACTTCAACGTTTGAACAGAGCAACTGCAATTTCTCAATTTCATTGATATACTTTTGTTAAGTCAACTGAAACACAAATTCGAATGTAGCCTCAAATTGACCGATTACAACGATAGTTTAACAATAATACGGAATAATGGGTAGTTTTTTTCAATAGTGGTTTCAATAACAATGAATATATACTATATATGTGTGTGTATGTATGTATATCTTTCATATTGGAATCTGTTACAGAGTTCGAATTGCTGCTCCAGTGTTTACACTATTATTTCATAATTTGACTAGTACGGCTATAATTCATTTAAACATTACATTTATGCAGAGTAATTGTAATACTTTGTCGCTTATATAATTCATTATTATTTGTTCGTCCTCGGCAAATCCGGAGAAAATGGGTTGAGTACGTTTGGCCAGCGGTAAACAAGTACAAAAAGTTTAACAGAACGGGGTCTCGTTTTGGGCTTTAGCTATGTAGAACTAATTAGTTAAATTTAGTTTGATTTCGGCTAGAACCTATCGAGACAAACAAACAGGTAATACACTAGTAACATAGATTCCATGCGAAGTGCAGATATTGCCAGGAGGAGTTCTCCTTCTCCATGGGTGGCCCAATATTTTTGAGAATATATATAACATTAAATACAGCGATTCGGAATGCAATCAGAGTGCAGGACAGCGAGCTGAATACATAAATCCATTAATTAATTTGAAAAAAATAAAACGTCTGAATTATAAACTAACCCCGTGTGCGTAGCCTGATGCTCAGTTGTTGGCGGGTCGAGTGGGCAGCGGAGGGGCGTTGCCGCTCCTATTTGGAATGGGTGGTGGACCCCTTCGATTCGGCAGCGGTGGTGGCGGTCCCATCGGTGCTCCTATCACTGGCGGCGGTCCAGCCGGCGGTGGATGGCGTGGTGCAGGCACATCCTCCTGAATCTCCTCGTAAATGTTGCTGGCGGTTTCGTAGGCGGTATCGGGTGGAATTTGATCCTTCGGTGACGGTAATTGTCGCGTGGGCGTCGATACTGGTGTGGCCTGTTTGCTCTGCATTTGGCGTGGCGGGGTCGGCGGACCAGAGAGCACGGCCGGAGCCGTGGGAGAGGCCTTCCCAGAGGATGAGGTCGACGAACTAGCAGAAACGTGTTCCGTGGGCGATTGAGATTTTGATGATGGCGTGGTGTCCATTGCTGGTGGTGCCGGTTGCGGCTGAAGCGGTGAGGGAATAAGAGGTTGAGTTCGTGGTGGAGGCGGCATCGGTGGCTTCGCTGATTTTGGGACAATGCTGATGACCCCGACGTGGGGTAGGTGGCGTGGCGAATTCTTTGGCGACATAGGCATTGGGGGGCGGGCTGGGGGACGTGAAGGTGGTTGCTTCGGCCGTTGCGGCACTTCCGGCGTGATAGCCTGCAGAAGCTGAGCATGTTCCGCAGGGTTAACACAAAGCGGTATGGTATTGGTGGTGCAAAGTTCGATCTCGCTGTCGACCAGATGCTGCCAGTCACTTGATTTAAGCTCCAGAATAAGATCCAATCCACAGACTTGAATGCTTTTCTTAGATGCCGCATTCAAAGCAGATTCTCCATCGCGAAAAGTGACCCACATAGTGTCTTCTACATAACGCACCAGAGTCACCTCTCCCATCTTGGACAGCTCAGCAATTAAGGCTGACATAACGTTCTCGTCGTAGATGGTGGGCCCATCCTCATCCGTCGCCGAAGACTCCAGCACATGCACCACAATAGTGGCGTCTGGTGGACCCAAATCCCTAATAACCTGCTCGAAGACAGAGCGTCTACGCAGCTGATCAATCTCCATGATCTCAGCATCGATGATGGCTATAACGGGTCGATGATCGCTCTGCTTTAGCTCTGATCGCCCGTAGTGAATTAACTTTCCGGGATTCCATGCTGAAGCGGCGAAATCACCCTCGGCTAGTGCCTTCCTCCGCCGCCAGAGCACGCGATCTGTCCAGGCGGGCGCACGCTGTTTCTCGGATGTATCATAGTCATCACTGAACAAATCATACTTGTACGTAGGATCGAAGCCGATCTCTCCTTCGAGGAACTCGCCAAAAACATTGCCAGCCTCCTGTTCCTTGCGCAACTGGTCAAACTCAAGGACGGTTGGAAGATCTCCATTACGGACGCACTCCTTTAACTCGTCTTTTTCCATGTCGATGCGGTAGTTGAAGTCTCCGCACCAAAATACCCAATCGTGAGATTTCAGGGTCCGGCCCATTGGAAAAGCTACCTTTCGAGTGATCTCCGCATAGTCAGCATTCCTTTCCGCCACCTGGGACTGACCAGCGGCAAAGTGGGCACACACGAAGCACATGGAAGTGCCATGGAGCACAAATCGAATAGCACAGGCACCCTTGTTTCCAGTGGCACCACCCAATCCCGTCTTCACGCAGTCGATAGCAACATCCCGGATGTGCGGTGCATGCTCCGGTCTGATGTATATGTACAGGCAAACGCCCACAAGTTGCTGGTAAGTCAGCAGTACGTAGTCATTGTCCCGCGAGATCGTCTTCTGCAGTTCTTCCGCCCACAACTTGGCATTATCTGTGCTGGCCGCCATTATATTGGATGCATTTAGATCCACTATCTCTTCGAAGCCGATGGCGTAAATATCTACTGGATGATCGACGTTCTCCGACGGATTGTTAACATCGACAAGAGCTTTGGAGCGTGCCAGAGCGTGGCAATCGAGCAGCCAGTCAGCCAACGAGTCCTTGAACACAATACTGCGGAAGTGTTTGCCGCCGTTGACATTGTAAGTGCCCACAGCAACTCTGGCCATACGAGGACGAACATACTCTGTGTAGCGCTTGCACAGCTCCCTCAAGACGGTTGTGGGGGCATGCAACATGTTGGAGGGCAGCAGAATGCGAGCCCGATCCGCCAGTTCGGAGCTCAAAGTGGAACCCACAAGCAGCACATCAATGGCTTCCTAAAAATGATTAACATCGTTAGTAATGTGTTAAAGTAGATTTTTCTTTGATTGAATATCTTCCCATACCTGCTTGGAATTGTCTAGTAGATTGTTCTGAATTGTCCTTGCTGCAGACCGTGCTCCGTCCATCAACTTGGATCCACCTTGGATCGCCCCGGTGCCGGCGTAGATCTTGCTAACCTCATTTCCATTGTTGATCCACATCTGGCGGAAAATCTCCTCGAACCGCGAGATATTCTGCTGCTTTCCGCCCATCTTCAGAGCCTCCAGCTGGAGACCGAGTGTGTCCAAGCCGAGATAGGTCTGAACACAATTCGTCCTGTCTAGACAATCCAGGCAATTCGTGCGCACTACTCCAAACTGCTCCCGCAACACCTGACCATTGGAAGCATGGAAGACGCCGTAGTTGGCCCCACAGGCCACGATCCTCTCCTTGAGCTTGGCCAGCGCCGAGAAATTGCCACCGCGACATTCCTGATGGTAGTCAAACACAACATGCGGCACATCTTTGTGGGCCGACATACCGTGATGGCGTTGGAATTCGTTGCTTAGCATAGCCTCGCCTTCCTTGCTGCCGACCATAGAACTGCCCAACAAATTAACCACCGTTTGGTAGCCGTACCTTTGACGCATCATGCTCATGTGGCGATCAAAGGCAGCTGCCGATGTCTCAAATCCCCGCGATAGCTTCACCTTGTGCGAGCCAACCTGGACGCCAGGTTGTTCCCAGAAGAGCGGCACTGATCCGCGAGTTTGGACATAACTTGTCACCTCGCCATCTACGTAGATCACCTGCTCCGTCTCCACGAAGTTGGCGACATATCCCTCGTCGTTGGTGCCGCGCACATTGAACCGTGTGCCTGCCCTCTCACAGCTCAACCGGGAGATGATGGCAGCACGGGCCTGCTTCGCACCAATGTAGACAGTACGCACCTCCACCGAGCCGCACATGGCCTGCAACAGCCAGGACTGGCAATCAATGCCGAAACGCATCAGGTGGATGTGCATCATGCGGTTCCAGAAGAACCTGTTGTCCGTCTCCTCTGTTTGCTGGCGTCGCTGGGCGCAGAGTGTGATATCGAACCGATGTGACGAGGCTCCGGATGCCGAGGCACTAGCATTGGTATGGGAAAAGTAGAAGGTTCCCGAGTTGAGCAGCTTGCGCACCTCGCTGATCTTATCCTCATTAGGCGCTGCATTCTGCAGGGAGACAAAGGTAGTCTGCGTGATCCGGAAGATCTCGATGTCGCCGATTTTGCCCATAGACACACAGCCGGTGACCAGCACCAGAAACAGTACGGTGCTCTCGCCGGCATTCAGCTGAAGGGCACCCAGGCAACCGTAGGCGTCGCACACCTTGGTGTACTGCTTCCGGATAACATCCGTTTCCTGTTGGGTGAGCAGGGCCACAGCATGGGACTCAAATAGGATGCTGTCGCTCTTGTGCCGGTGCTCCAAAAGAACGCTGTGCGGCGAAGGGGCAATGGACTTCTCCAGCACTCGGATCACCTTGGACATGGCCATCTTGCTGGAATCTCTCTTCTGGCTTTTTTAGTTTTTCGAATGATGTTTTTTAATCCTTTAGTTTTTGGTTATGGTTTTTTTTTGGGCGATAGCACTAGGCTAAGACATCTGCGGGTGAAAATAAAATAAACAATTTAATGGTGGGTGTATTTTTACATTCTAATTAGATTTTTATTGGGTGTATTTCGGTTAGAAATGAGATTATCAGTGCATGTATCAATTATATAGTACATATGTGTACTTAGTAATATTTAATTACAAAATTGTTTGCCATTATTATAAAATGTATTTAAATCTTTTTTTATTTTTCTCAACAAACGTTTTTCTTGTTTAAAAAATAAAAACCACAAAATGAGTTTGATAATATTCTGTTTTTAACTTGCTATATATAAATACTCATTTTAACAGATTAAAGCAAAAATAGAAATGTATTTTTGCAATCAACTAATGATTAAATAATTAAGTAATGTTTAAAATATAAGAATATATATTTCATTTATATGAAACTAAATTCTTCAAAGAATATACACAAATATTGTACCAATAAATTTTGGTTTCCTTGATCTTTAATTTAAACAAAATGTGGGAAAATAGATAAAGTTCAGCTAGTTCCACCGACACTTTGAACTGAATTGGAAATGGCACTAAAATTTCGGTAGCCTGTTAAAAATCAATAGGCAACTCTTAAACATAAACAAACCGAAAAGCGTAGGAATTTTTCCAATATTTTCCGCCTCGCACTCAAGTTCACGCACACACATGCAGCATTCACACATGCACCGGCGACAGCTGTGCTCTCTCGCTTTCACTCTCTCTACTTATGAGTGTGTGTGCTTGACTGATAAACATTTTCTGCGCATTCTATAGATTTTTCACATGCAGTTTGCAACGGAAATGGATTGCTTTTTCCGACATCCAAAATTCGTAGCACCTTAAGAACACTATTTACAGAAATCACTGTAGTTCACAACACCATTGCCACTTTTAATTTGTTTTATTTTCTAGGGATTTAATATCACTTAATACCTTTGTTTGAGATTTTATTGCAAAATTCTTGGGAGCTTTGGCTAGTATGACCGTATTTGATAAGCTGAAGAATGACAACATTCTAGCTTGCTTCGATAATTATCGAGAAATCAGTTTTCATTGGCGCACTGATCTAAACATTTGAATTTGAATTGATTTTAGTTACAAAAAAGAAGTCAAGTATATTAGCCACTTTTAAAGAATACATCGGACACTTGAAGATAGGCCAAAGCTAATGGCGCCTTATCACTGGCGACCCCAATGCCTATGGTATCTAAAATATTTTCTATTTCTTATATGACAAATATAGCTATTAGTTATCTTAATCGCCCAAAACTGCACACTTTTCTAATCAACAGATAAGAAAACGTCCTCACTTTTACTTATGACTTCAACGTGGGGGTTTCTCAGACGCTCCCTTTGTTACACAGAAAAGAATGATATTTTAAGTTTCCTTTTGTTTATATCACTGAATGACTCTTTTGCCTCTTTTTAGCTATATAAATAAATTTAAAATGAAATGATTATCATATCCTGTTGTTATTTCTCTTTCTTTATGCTCTTCATGTGTCCCTCGTGCTCCTCTAAAGTCGATTAGATAACCCAATTGCCATTGCGGACATTTTGGGTAATTATCAACACCAAAACAATTCATCTATTTGTAAATCACAGACAATCGGGTGATTCATTCCATTCCGCCTTATCACAATCCGAAGGACGTAAATAAATTGCAATTACACATTGCATTCATTATGTATTGAGAATGTAAACAAACTGTGATTTATTTTGGTCATGATCTTCGGTTTATTCGTTAAATATATGTACGTTTGACTAGCTTTAGGCTTAAATTACGGATTTATTTAAAAAATACATATGTACTTAATTATTCATATACACTTTTCATATAGTTCGATTTAGCTTGGCAAACGAAGCAACAAACAATTCTAGTCGAAGGGTTTTTGCAGTCCCAACAATTTTATCTAATCGCTTAACTGAAAATTAGAGTGGATCGTCGTGCCTTGGGTACTGATAACGATTGATTAATTTACATAATTCCTGGCCAAGATATGGCTACATTCGGAATTTTTAGCACTCCCCCTCAGAAATGTACGTCATTCGGTTTTAATTGCATTTTCACCCATTTTTAGGCAAGGCGGCTTTGCAAATAATATCCGCAGTCGTTTTATAGTGTGTGCCCACCAAATATATCTACCCTGTGGTTCATTAGAATACGTCTCGTCGTAATTTTTATTACTTAATGCGTAAGCTAAAGGCGTTGGCCTTGGTATGTTCCAGACCTGCATCGAAAGGTCCACCTATATCCTCTTCCCTTGGACGCTGATATGCCCATTCTCCTATCTGTAGTCGTTTAATTCATAAATATGTTTGTGTCACTCTCTGTTGTCATGGCTTAAGCTTAAGTTCATTAAGATAAGGGGCTCTGTTGAAAGAAATCGAAAGAATTTTCCGCCATAACAATCCAATATGATCATGTGACTAGAAAGTTCTATAAACAGCATCTATTGTTCATTATAATGGTCGTCGACGCCAGCCTGACCCATCACCTCCCACACATAACTCTGATAAAAACTGGGGTGCAAGATCGCTAGATCGCTTCTGGCCCGCATTAAGCAAAAAGTCGAGTCAAAAGTACGATGATAATTACTTTGTTGTCGTTGGCGTGAGTCAGCCAAACTTTTCCCACTTATTTGGTCAAAACCCCTGTGACTCAGATAACTGATAACCAGAAGCAATCTATGTATGAAAAATGATACCGAAAATAAACATCAATCAAAGAACCTAATGGGCTTTCATTCGCACGATCGTTTCGATTCGATTTATTCAATGGCATTCCCTTACGGCGCTTATGTACAGAAGCTGGGGCAAAACAGAACATAACACAAACAACTCAACTAAAAGTAATCATAAGTTTAGGCTTAACAATAACAATATAACTAGGGTGCTTGGCCAAAAATAAATAATTACAATTCAATAAAGCAACAGAAGAGAATTAACACAATCATAATGCTAACTAGGGCTTACGTCTGTACAGGCTGGCTACAAATATATGTACCTAATATATACAGAAAGCATCATTAACCAGTTTCCATGAAGCCACCAAACTGCGCCCGGGTCGCTCTGCTCGAACGCCTACAATCTAAATCTCTGGCGAGTGATCGCAACGATACGCTCGTCGTCTAATCAGTGTCTTTAAACTAATCTAGGTCCGCCTGCCGCGCTTCACGTCCAGGAGGCGTGCAAGGATGCCGCTCCGCAATCGCCTTTTTTACAGCTTTAACTCTAGACTTACGTAGTGACTAAGGTTCAGCTAATAATACTTCTACCAGACGCTAGACGCCGCCCGCCAGCCGCTTGCAGTCCGCTGAGTTGGTTTCTCACAAGTACAAAATAACAAACTTAACTAGCTGGTGCTACGACACCAGCAGACGCTGCTTGGCGCCCGTGCAGATTAATGTGTCCCCCGTGGATCCCCCGGTGATTGGCGCAGGCTCTAACGTGGGAGCGGGTTGTGGTGCCAGTGGGGCGTTGGCAGCATCGGAGGTGGGGTTGTTCAGCTCGTAGGCCACTCCGCCCCAGTGAAGCTTGTAGGTGCGGGCGCGCCAACGGATCGCCGGATTCCAGAGGGCGTGAAGGAACAGATATGGTCCGGTCAGCTCCCTGAAAAGCCAGCCAACGACGAACTCGAACTTGTGGAACGGCATTGAGCCGTGCTGGACAATGGAGAGTAGCAGCCAGTCGGACAGGAACCAGCAGAGCACGTGCACCAGGTAGAACACCAGTGGATCCCAGCTGAATAGCACGGAGGCCGACCAGGCGGCGATGGCGCCGAGAATCATACACTCGGATAGCGGCTCCAGTAGAATGGTGGTGGGCACCATGGCAACGCGCAATTTGGCCCAACGGATGAGGCGTGCCTGAAAGCTGCCGATGTCGCAGAGTCCACTGTTCTGTAGCGCTGGCTGGTTGGAGATACGCATCTTCCAGCCCAGTCGCGTCACACTGCGAGCAATGAAGAAATCCTCAGCCAGATAGCAGCCGAAGGCTCTCAGGCCGCCCAACTGATCGATGACTGCCTTGCGCAGCAGACACGACATGCCCGTGTGGCAGTTGATGCCCAGGACGTCCGCCGAAAGGTAGATCCTGCTCTGCACCGTGCCAAAGAAGACCTTCTCGAAGGTGGCTGCAAAACCGTCGCGATCGCAGGTGAAGGGCATCTGATGGACCAGGGCGTGCTTTTCGGACATGTTTTGCACCATGTCCAACAGCGTGTCATCTTTCATTTTGATGCCGCTGTCCGAGATCATCACAAAGTCATACTTGGCGGCCATATAGCCGGGATGGATATTGTTGATCTTGGGGTTGACGCCCACGTCAGAGCCACCAACAAAGAGTGTGGCATCTACCAGCGGGTACTTGGACAGCAGCCGTTCCACCAGCTGAATAGCCGGGTCCTCCTTGTCCTCGACACAGAAGAGCAGCTCGTACAGCGGGTAATCCATGGCAAAGAAGGTCTCCAGGTTGTGCTGCAAATTGGGATCGACACCCATGAGAGGTTTCAGAATGGAAACACCTGGAAGGGGTTGTGCCTCCGTAGGCAGCTTGCAGGACTTCTTGTGCAGCTTATAGCGGCCGTAGCAGATGGCTATCACGTGCACCATCCAAGTCCCAAGCCAGAAAACCATGAAGAATGCCGCGAAGCCATAAAGCGGCAAAGGTAGGTGTGACATCGCTGCGGGTGTGTGGGTGGTGGGTGCGTGTGTGTGCGGGTGGTGCTCCTAAAGTCCGTCTGTGTGTGCGTGTGTGGTGACTCCGAATCCAAATCCCCTTTCGTTTGCCTGTGTGGGTGGGCGTTTCAATTCACGATGGCATTTGCTGCGGTTGCTCTGCGGTTTTGTGTTGCCCGATTGGATGGATTGCCAGATCAGATCGGATTGAACGGATCAATCAAGGTGCAATCACTGGTCGATCGTTCTTTGCGCTTTAAACATTTTGCACATCTCGCGTCGCGTTCGTTCGCCAAATAAAACTGCAATAGAGGGGCAGCGTCGCGAATCAGATGCGGAAGTGAAAAGGGGCTAAAAAAGACCGCGGATTGTCGGTCGCTTTGCAACACTGTTTACATGTCAGCTGCTTCTCAATACTAACGATTTTTACATTTCTATTACTTAATGAATATAATTTATATTATTTTATATATCATTTAAGTATTAATATTCGAAAAAATTAAATTGTTTTAAAGTTTTCAAAAAATTTTTCATTTTTAATACACGTTTTTTTTTTGCTATGAGGAGACATAGAAAAATTGATTTTGTTAAAGCCAAATTTATAAAATACCCGTAAAAAATGTTTTTTTTATAAAAGATAAATACACTCTTTCCGAAAAGAAAACAAAAAATATCAAATAACTTCATAATAATAATTTACCCCAATTTAGAAATAAAACTTTCATATCCTCAAAAATTTCATTTACACATGCATTAACTGATGAATCAATTCGTATAGTCACTGCGCATAAACGCAGTACGACGCATGTTTACTAACACTGCACATATTGTAGCTTTGAAAAATCCGTCAGAAAAACAAGTAAATTTTACTATAATGCAGAAGTAAACGCACAAAATTCACTTAAAAATTCACAAAAAAAAAAAAATGGAATCGTCCTCGAGGGAACCTTCCTCGGAGTCCAAACAGCTGGATGATGAATATCCATCCAAGTCGGATTCAGAACCCAGCAAAATATCGCGAATACTGCGAACGGAATTCGATTCCAAATATCAGATTGTAAACCTGCAGACGCCCTTAAATGCTTTTATGTCCGGTCATTACAAGCAGAGCTTCGCCTTCTACACTCTAAGGAGTCGTCTCCCCGTGATCTTAACAAATGTGGTAGATACCTTGACCCGGGACAAAGCCGAGATAGTCACTCAGTTTGGTAAGGCTATACCTGATAGCATTTTTTGATCCCAAGCCTCACTAATTTGATTTCCAGCCACTAATGAGTTTACACAGGCTGCTCGCGAGGAGCTAAAAATCATCATTGGACTAATCTCTAGGCTGAAGTACGAGTTGCAGACAGACAAACCGTTTCAAAATTTTACAGGGGACGGTAAGCTTTAAGATTAATTCAGATCTTATTTACTACAATTATTTATCTCTAGAGCCCGACCAAGAACTCTGGAACAACTTTATCAGCCACCTGCCAGATGGTGAGCGTACCTTCTATAAGGCCAGCTCCCTCCATGCGGAGTGCTACCTGCACCGAAAACTCTACTCCTTTTTGGAGAACAGCATATTTCTAAAATCTTACGATTATTTTGCCAAGGTCAAAGAACAGGCGCTGATCGAAGGCATGGATGATGTGTTGGCCCTGACCAAATACACTAGGCGATCCGAGAATAACCTAGAAGGGTTCGACGAATTGCTAAGGATCGACATGTGGAGCAATTCCAACGATGTGTCCAGCAATCCAGATACAGTTAAACAATCGAATCGTCAGGTGCTAGAAAATGTGGCGGTCACCGATAACCATGTACTAGTTAACCAGGCAGCCGATATCTGGAGTTGTTTGGACAATCAGAAGACCAAGAAACAGAAGCAGGTGGATTTTATTCTAGACAATGCAGGCTATGAACTTTTTTGCGACTTCATCGTGGCAGAGTACATGATTGAGAAAGGACTGGCCACCAAAGTGCGTTTCCATGTCAAGGCCCACCCTTGGTTTGTAACTGATGTTACAGAGCGGGATTTTAAATGGACTCTCGAGTATTTGAGCCAACATGTGGACTACATTATAAGTCTGATAGGAAAGAAGTTTCTGCAATATCTCGATGAGGGAAAGTTCGAATTGGCGCCACTCTCACATTTCTGGACATCGCCACATGCTTTTTACAGGTGCGATTTGCAAATACTGTGTGATTTTTAGTACCTAACTTGCATTTTGTTTGACTTACAGCATGGCTCAGACGGATCCAGATTTATACAGGTCTCTGCAGCAGTCCAAGCTTGTAGTATTCAAGGGAGAACTGAACTATCGCAAGCTGCTGCAGGACGTTTGCTGGAACACCACCCAAGAATTGAGCACCTGTCTCCGGGGCTTCCTGCCCAGCAATATTTGTATGCTGCGAAGGGTCAAGAGCGAGGTCATCTCCGGCCTGGGCGAAGGTGTTGGTCAGACGCTGAGTAGAAGGGATCCCGGGTGGATGGTCTCCGGAAACTATGGGGTCATCCAGTTCGTGGACGGAACTCGTGAATTTGGATACTGAGTTTGTAAAGGCTGCGCAGTTTAAATTATTGGTAATAAATAGTCGTTACATATCTTAAAACCAAAGCGAGAAGTTGCAAAAATGAAAGCTATTCTCAAACTATTAATTGGTAATACGTTTACTAACAATATACATTTCGATAAGGATTTTTTCTATTTATTTTTAAAGTATGCCGATTATACTCAATTGTTGTAACATTTTTGTATATTCAATTCATTAAACACTAAAGACGTTTATTATTGGTATTTTATGGTTTTTAAATTTCAAATAATACATTTTTCGCTTTAATTTTTGGGAATTTTGAAAATTAAAACTCTTACCTACTATCGAGAGAATGTATCGGTGTGTATTTTTCATCGAACCCAAAATGGTCACTCTACCCGCCACATTATCAAGTTATAAACTTTCCGCAACAGTTCAATTCCAAAAACATATTCGATAGGAACGAAAACAGATCTTTTGAGATGGCTGCTGATCCGGATTTTGACACAAAAAATGGAATTGTGGACGGCCAAACACCTCCGCACTCCGAACTGGCTGCCCTCTATAAGCAGTGAGTAGGGAGGTCGCTAAATATAGCGCCTAGTATAGATGTTGTCTATATGGGCCGAGCATATGTAACAAATACTCGGTGACTTATCTTCACCCATACATAAAGGGCGGCGAAATGGTTTATTATCATTTAAATTATTATTGTTACAGGAGCTTTGCCTACTATACTTTTCGTGTTCGTCTGCCCTCGACCTTGGCCACTATAGCAGATTCTTTGGTCAAGGACAAGGACAACCTACTAGCCACATATGGTGCAGTAAGTTGTGAGGTGCACTTTTCCCCTTTCGACCTTGGAGTAGTAACTTTGGTTTACCTTTACAGGAAGCAGGCGCCGATATTGAACAAACTACAAAGGATGTTACACAGCTGCGGGAGGACATCCTTAGCAATGGTCCTTTGTTGCCCTTTGAGGGGCAGGGTAAGTATTCTAGGGCTTTCGAAAAATAGGTGATACAACTATATATAATATGTTATCGGCTTATATCATTTGTGGTTTTAAACACACCTTAAAAGCAAGATTAACGAATTATATCTAATTATATATAAAAACATTTCTACCATATCATAAATTTTAAATTTTTCTTAAAAGCCTTAAACCTAAAATTTTATTTATGAAAGAGGTGATGACAAATGTAAGGCATAAGGTGTAAAATATTTTACTTAACTAAGCTAAACTATAATCACCTTCCTTACAGATTCCGACACTCAACTGTGGAACGCATTCCTGCAGAAACTGCCTAAGGAGAAGAGAAACTACTTTTCAACATGCTGGCTCTATGCTGAGTGCTATATGTATCGCAAAATCTCATCAATTTTCCGGGCTACGTCTTGTTTGTCCGCCCATGATTATTTCAGCCAGCAGAAACAGACGGCAGCTAAGCTGAGCGTGGATGCCATGCTGGCGGTAGCCAAGGCTACCAGGAATAATGAACGAAACTCAGATACCTTCCGGCAGCTAATCAAACTGAATCTATGGGGCAACCGCTGTGACCTGTCTATCACTTCCGGCAAGCAGGTGAAGCCTACTGGCAATGCCTTTGACCAGGTCACGGACCTGGAGGAGAAGCTGCTAATTGACGGAACGGCAGAGGTTTGGAAAGCTCTCGAAGGAGCTTCTAGCGAGGGTATTGTAGACATCATTTTCGACAATGCCGGCTATGAGCTGTACACCGATCTCATCCTTGCCGAGTACATCATCGACAAGGGTCTGGCGGCCAAGGTGCGCTTTAACCCAAAGGCTATTCCCTGGTTCATATCAGACGTGATGGAGCACGACTATCATTGGACACTGAAATTCCTTGCAGAGCATCCGGATCCAGCGCTTAGTGAAGTAGGCAAAAAGTGGCAGCGTTTGACAAAGGAGGGCAAGTTCGAGCTTTCGCCACTGGAACACTTCTGGACGTCTCCTTACGAATTCTATCGCATGCCGGAGGTGAATCCGTCACTATACGAACGCCTAAAGGAAGCTCAACTGGTCATTTTTAAGGGCGATCTTAACTATCGCAAGTTGTTGGGGGACTTCTCCTGGGACAGCACGGAGTCCTTTGAAAAATGCCTAAGAGGTGAGTATATCTTAAGGTCGTGTGTAGAGGTCTTTATAATTACCTGCATCACTTCCATTAGGTTTTCGTCCCTCTAACCTTTGCACACTGCGCACGGTAAAAGCGGATTTGATCTGCGGACTGGGCGATGGAGTGGCAGAGAAACTGTTTGCCAAGGATAAGGAGTGGATGCTCACCGGTGAATACGGGGTTATTCAGTTTGCCAGCAAGTAAAGGACAGAATCAGTACACGGACAAGGATTAGTTGAATTGTTGTAGCCTTAATTACTAGCTTAATTGTTGAATGTAAAGCAGGAAATCCAAGGGACGGGAAGTTAATCTACAAATTTACAGTGATTTATTAAAATTAACGAAGTTAAATCAGAAATTGTTCTTGGATGAAATGATTTATTGATTTTAACCTAGAACCAAAAAAGGACAAACTTTTTGTAAATAAGAATATTCGCCGTCTCAAGCAATACCTCTCTATAAAGCCATTTGCATTGTTATAAAAGCACAGAAACTCAAACTTACGGATGTCAGTTGCCCAGGGGCTACTAAAACTTAGAGAAATCTCCATTTGAAAATTAACATTTTTACTGGCAGAGGGTTTCAAAATTTGTAGTTTCAGACAAAATGCAAAGCCAGCACAGTAGTCGTACCGATGTGACGGATATCACGGTTCCGGGCAATCAGGAGGCGACTATCGAGCAGATGAAGGAATTGCGATTCAACGAAAAGAATCTGATTATATACAATCCACCAGGAATTAATGATGAGCTGTCTGCCAGATTTCTGCACAGCTTCGCTTTTGCCACCTTCAAGCGAAGAACACCGGGACTTATACGGGATTTGATCACATTCCTGCGAGATCGGGAGACAGAAATTGTAAAAGATTTTGGCGACTATGCCCATTTCGATTTAAAGCGCACCATGTGGAGTCTGCAGCTGCTGCGCGAAGAGATAATCAACAACGACGACTTTCAGATATTCCGGGTCAAAGCCCCGGATACGGACAATTGGAATGAGTTTCTGATGGGTCTCAGCGAGGACAGAAGGCAATGGTTCTCAGCCGTTTGGATGCACGCCGAATGCTATATGTACCGCCGCGTTTGGTCGATCTTTCAGCGCTCAGAAACCCTCGTAAGCTATGACTTCTTTGGTGATCAAAAGATGTTGTCTACTAAGAATTCGACGCTCCTTATGAGGGATATAGTATTGTCCACCAGACAGCTAAAGCGCAGCAAGGATAACTTTCAGTGTCTACTTAAACTATCCGCATGGGCAAATCGCGGTGATCTGCCTATCGCAAAGAAAGGCTCGGATAAAAACATTTTTAAGAAGATTACAAGCTTAGACAAGGATCTGTTAGCAGATGAGTCATCGGATGTATGGAAAGATCTGACTGAAGCCGCCGAACCCGTCTACGTGGACATCGTCTGTGATAACGCTGGATTAGAACTCTTTTCGGATCTCATTCTTGCTGAGTACATCATTGAATCGGGGCTAGCTCGACGCGTGCGATTCCATGTAAAGGCTATTCCATGGTTTATCTTAGATGCCACCCATAAAGATTTTCACTGGCTGCTTAACTTCATTTCCCAGCATGAATTTCCCGAATTTAAGTCTTTCGGTAGGAGAATACGGGGGTACCTTAAGGATCGTTCGTTTATTTTGTGCGAGAAAAGCTACTTCTGGACAAGTGGCCACGCCTTCAGCCAGATGAAGCGAGTGCAGCCTTGTCTTTACGTTTATATCAGTGAGGCTGCCTTGGTGATCTTTAAGGGCGATCTTAACTACCGAAAACTATTAGGCGATATTAACTACAAGTCCACGGAAAAGTTTTCGAATTGCCTGCGTGGGTTTGAGCCAACAAGCGTTTGTGCATTGCGACTCATTAAGTCGGATATTTACTGTGGCCTGCCCGTCTGCAAGGTGGAGTGGCTAACGGAGGACAATCCAGAGTGGATGACCACAGGCGACAAGGCTGTCATACAAGTGGCTATCAAGCATCGACTGTCGAGCGACATTATTGTTTGACTTTTATCAAAAATCATTATTCAGACTTATTGGATATATCAATTAACAGCACATATTTATATGTACCTATTGTCGTTTTATTAATTTATCTCCTAAATGGTAGGCGGTGTAAGTCGTTAAAATAAGTATTGCATTCCGTATTATAGACTACTACTAAGCATTATCAAGTAAGTATGAATGGTAGAAAAATATGTATGCTCTAAGGCCATATTTATAGCTATTTATAAATTTATATGTATTTATGATCGCTGCGATGCTTCGAATTGTTCAAGTCTTATCAATTGCCGTTACTAGAAAAATTAGGGCAAATATTAAAATTTAAAAAAAAAGGAGGAGGTAATTAAAATTTTATGCATTTTTTTCATTAGCTTTCAGTTTACACATATCTTTTTCGTACCAATCATCTATCTTCTTGCGTTAAATATTAATAATTAAATAAAATTCAGTAACTAAATGGATATTCTGCGTTTCGTTTCATCTCTGTTTGTTTTGGAGGGATTGCTGGCCGCTGGAACTCACAACACGCAGTTGGGATTGAGCTGCTGATATGGCGTCAGATCTTTGGTGATCGAGAAGAGCGCTCCATCACGCACCATTTTGCACATGAGGGCGCCCAGGTTCTTGGCATCGTCAATCCCGGAATGAGCCCTGCCCTCGAAGGCCAGTCCTACATGGGACAGGGCATCGCTGAAATTACACGGGCGGTACTTGTACCACGATCGATAAATCGCACGTACATCAATCCACTGATTGAAGTAGGCTGCCTTGCGCATCCGCTTCCGAGTGCACTCCTTCGCCAAGCAGATGCCAAAGTCCCAGTCTGTCCAGGTGACGAAGGCGACGTTGCCAAGTATGTTTGACTTGCTCATCTTCGGCAAGACTAGGTTGCGGGCGCGCAGCTCCTTACGCAGCCACTCATGGAACATCATCAGCGCCGTCTGCAGTGGCACTCCGCTGTCAACAGTCTTCTGTTGGATGCCTGTCAGCTCCGTACAGTAGGTACTTAAGCGTGGCGACTCGATGGGCAGGATATACTTGTGGAACTCCGCCTCGATCTTGCCTGTATTCAGGTTGACAAGCACTGCTGGGAATTCTGGAAATGAATAAGGAATTAAATCATTGTAATATAAATCTAAAAACTGTTCTTACCAATAATCTCCGCTTCTCGCCACTGTGGTGGAGCCTGCTTCTCCCAGCAGGTGGCCTCAAAATCCACGGCAATCACATAGGAGTATGGTTGCATAGCGAGTTTTTTGGACTTCCTCGACTTCTTGTTTTTAACGGGCACTGAGTTTGCTGCTGTGATTTCGTCTTCGTTGAGCGACTCCTCGGGCTCGTTAACTTGATCTGGTCGAGCTCCGTCCACATATATAGTATCTATCAGGCCCAGTTGTCTGCAAAAATCAACGGGAAATGTAAAATATAAGCATTAGTTTACAGTCTCCTTTTTAATTTTTTAAGAATTTTGTAGAAAATTGGTATGATATTTTTAGAGCTTGTCCTCCAGCTGACCCGAGTATACGAACAAACTAGACTGAAGTTTAATACTGACACTACTGTCTAGGGGAAAAGTTTTGAAAATTAATAATCGAGAAGAATCTAACCTTCTCCCTGATTTTTTGACTGATCCTATTGATGTTTGCCATAGCTGACAATCATAGGTTTGTTGTTCCACAAAAGACCATTGGTTTCGCTGAGAGCTTGGGCTATGATCTCCGGTTCGTTAGGCCTGAGAAAGGTCACAAAAGCCTGACCCTTCATGCGACCTTGCTGCATGACTTTGATGTCCAAATTGTCTGTGGCAGTGTACTTGGCATACAGTTCCCTTAGCTGTTGTTCATCCACACTCTTCTCCAGGTTCTTAATGTACAGCTTGTTACTGGGTTTCCCCGTTTTGTAATTTTTATAGACAGGCAGATCTCGAAGTTCATTGATAGACAGACGAACATGAGGTTTAGAGGTGGATGGCTTTAGGGTTTCTGGCAATTTTAGTTCGATTTTGGGTACATTAAAAATGGGCTTCTGGATGTCCACCTTGGGATTAGAGTGGCTAGCTTGATGAGCAGCCTGCTGCAGCATTTGTCGGGTTCTTTTGAGGATTTTGGCCTGCATTTTTTCATTTGATTGTGTTAGCATCAGTTTCTGTCTTTTGGCCCTCTTGTTCTCCTCATCGTCGCTTTCCAATTCACTTTCCGATTCGCTGGGTGTTACTTCCGTTTGAGTGCCAACATTTTGGACATAGGTTTGGACAAATAAACTCGGGGAATGCTTCTCAAAAGGTGGCTCCAGATTCATGCGATTCATCAAGTGTAATACTTGGTTGTAGAAACGGTGATTTGTCTTGAGATTCTGACCGATTCTGGCTAGGATATCACCGTTAATTGGTGGATAGTTATATTGGAGATAAGGCGGTGGAGGCTGTGTAAAGTCGGACTGATTATTACAGGCATATAGCCTTCGAACATACTTGTCGATTTCGGGATCCTGTTTCTGAGACTCTGTTCCCGCTGTCTTTGTTTGTGTGGATTTGCTGGCAGTGGTGAGTCCTGTACTGGTACGAGGTCCAAAGACGCTGATGCACAATGGCTTATCCAGTATTTCGCTTAATCCTTGCAGTTGCGTCAGGGCTTTTTCTGCCTGTTCCGAATCTCCGTACTCCAGCATCACCCTCTTTCTTCCGTAGGAGTTTAATGAACGCGGCGTTATGAACTTCATTTCCTGGATTAGCTGCGCCAGATCCTCCATGGAGCAGGGCATCTTTTTTAGGAGCAGTTTGGTGCTTGGCGCGCTCATTTTTGGCACTAACTTTAAGTAAGTTTTGGGAATTTCAATGCCGCATGCAAAATGAGTAAAGCAACATGCCGGTATAGCGTTGCCACTTAGCCTCAATTCGGTGTTGCTGTGTACAACACTAGTTAATGGCGGGATTTTCAAATGAGAGCTACTAATGCAGCTGTCTGTTGTTTGGTCGATAAAATCAAGTTGTATAAAGCAAATGCCGACGACTCTTACTTTCACTAATTGCACCGGTTATCTCACAATCAGATTGCTATGTCTCTATTTTTGTATGCTGACGAAAACAACTGAGAAAAAAATTATGCATCAGAAAATGTACAAATTTATTTCATTTATTTTTCGCTGATTGTACATTTGACTATTTTTAAAAAATGTGTATTATTTTTATAAAACCTTCCAATAGGAAAGTTATAGACTGAAAATTAAAATTTTATTATTTATGTTAGACAAAGATATTTTTAATTTTTTATTAGACAAAAATCTGTTTGCAAGTTTAACATTTAGAAAATACAATATTTATTAGGTTATTATTGAAATACTCAATAATTTAGAATTAAGAAGGATATATTAGAAGGAAGTGTTTCCAACCCTATAAAGTATATAAATTCTTGATTAGTATCAATAGCGAAGTATATAAAGCCCATGTCCATGCCTCACCTGAGCAGTGACGTGAGTATCAGTTACTCAACATGCTATCTCTGACAATGGCGCTTTGTGATTTTACACTAGCAAAATTAATATTTTAAAATTGTGTATCTTATAGTCGCGGCACTCGACTATAGCGTTTCTTCTTGTTTTAAACTTCTTTTGAAGTAAGATGAATTATTTAATTGATTTAATTTATTTAACGATAGCCGTACCTAAGAAAGTTGAAACTAAAAGAGCTAAACTTTATATTCCACAAAGTTATCAGTCTGCATTGGGGACTAAGTAGCCATAGACAAATGAACGAATCGCGTGCCATCGTCTGATGATAATCGTACGAAAACTACACTTACTAGACATCAAAATGCTTTAACTCCCCATTGGGGTTTCTCTTGTGATTAGTACTCTCATTTCGATTAGGGTAATCTTTCTATTTTCGAAATGCACCAGATGCACTGCATCAGCCTCCGGAGTCAATGCACTTTTGGCGCACGCTCCGCGCCAATTTAATCAAATTGAATTACATATGAAAAATGCCTGACATGATCTGCTTTTTGATATATGGCACACACAAAGTGGTTATAAAAAGATCAGCCTCAGCACACACATTTGCCAACGGCAGATTGCATAAAATTTGCAATGATTAAATGGACAACAACAACAAGAAAACTGCATGGCAGACACAATCGCACTTTCGCTTTTTAGTGTCGTTTTTGGGGAAGGCGGCTAAAGGGGGCTGGACCGTGGTGGACCATATGCGGAAGTCGACTTTTGCACAAACAATATAAAATTGGATGAATGAACTCTGTGTCTCTGGCAGGCTGCACAAAAAGTAAAAAAAAGAGGAAGGAAAACCACTTTTAAATTCACTTTTACTTGCGCCAATTGAATCGAGTCCGTGCTGTCGGCTTTGCATTCTAAGTGACTTTAATGGGTTAAGCTATATTTAGAAAATTGCAACAAATTGCCTAGTGGGCGGAATGCCAGTGGGGCAGAGCAATTTTCATGCGGAAAGGAGGTTAACTAGTGGAAAGGATCAATTGTAAATAGATATCGACCAAAACAAGATTGAACAACGAGAAGGATTTGGTATTTCATTAAGTATAGAGTGTGAAAATGTGTAATTTAAATAGGGCTTACTTGATAAACTAAAATCTTTATAAAGTTTAGTAATAGTTAAATAAAAAGCATTTTCTTTGGAGTTACAACAAACATTATGAAAGATTTATACTGAAGAATTTTGTTATGAAGTTTTTAGGTAGCTTATAGCCTGGCATGCCCATAAATTTTAATTTTTCCACTTATCGGAATAAAAGAAAACACTTCATTTGGATTTTTCCACTTATAAGAATAACAATCCCTTTGGCAAGCTACATGCTATACTAGCTTATAGTTTTCTACCACCCCCATTGGAATTTCCACACCCACCGAGTGTTTCACTTGAAAGAATCCTGAGTCGGCAACAGGTTTTCCAACTGGTCATCATCTCGCCAAATTGTTCAACGAGTGATGACAAGCCCCTTTTTACACATTCCACTAATTGGCCAACAAAATTGGCAGTAAAGTGCAATTTTCTTTGTCGCCAAAACAATGTAGTTGTAGTAATAATAATTACAAATCACACTACTGAATGCAAGGCAAGGCATTTATTAGTTAGCTACACATTTAGTATTTCACAATTCCCGAACAGTAGTTGGCCCATTTTTAGGAGGTATAATGAATTGGCCAAATGAAAAGCGTGCCCGGGCACAATGGAGCTAACGAACTAAAAAAACAAAAGCCTATAAATGAAATAGGCGCCTATGTGCATATTTCAAGCATATTAAATGGAAAAACCAAATAAAGTAAAATCAACCATTGAGTTTGGCAAAAAACAATTTAACGCTTATTTAGGGAGTCTTATCTTGTTTTTGAAATATTATGATAAGTAAAAACTTTAGAATATACCCTTATGTTTTTTTTTTTGAGTTAGAAGAATTTATGTATTGCTTTTAAGTAAATTAGTTCTCCCATTTAGGGGTTTCGAAGTATTTTTTCTTCGGTAACTTCGAAAACCATTTTATACTTAAGATTCTCTTTCTATGAATCCAAATCAATAGTAATAGTAATATGTCATTATAGAGCAGAACCAATATTATGTTTTATGAGATCATTCAGAGGGAATCACGTGGCACCTTTTGCACTTTCAACATTATCGTACACGGCAATTGACTTCGCCTTGGCTTTGCTAATTGCCACTTGCAGAGGTACGGCTATTTATTTACGGATGATTACCGTCAAGGTCCTGGAGATGAGACTACTGTAATAAACATGACTTGAGGCTGGGCTTATTGTAATTGATAGAAATTAGCAAGTGGATAAGAGGCAAAAAATGTAAGGGGGAAACAAATTATATATATATTTATTGCGCATACGCCCCGCGTGCCGCTTTGGAAATGGAGGCGCGTGCATAATAATTTTACCATTCCGAAGCCGGTCCAAAAATGTATGACGACCTTCTCGGGCTCTATTTGAATGAAGGAACCCCTTCCCTCGGTCCCTCAGATTTCCAGACTGACTGCAATTCGCTTGAATACAATATTCAGTTGCAGTACCCTTGATTCGAATTTCGACCAGAATCGCTGGCGTAGTGGTGGCGACATGGTCGTCGGAATGCAGTTGTATCGGTAGCGGTATCTGTATCCGTGAGTTTCGTGTGCGCCATGCTCTTGACTTTGGATAAGTTTGGTGAAAACTGCTTTCAGCCGGATTTCCCGCACTCAGTAGCCATCTGAAAACCAGACGCCGATTGCCACCAGCCAATGTCTGGGCATTGAATTGCGCTAAACGTTCATTGGTCAAGTTGGGGGAGTCTTTAGAGAATACTCTAAGATCGGTCAGAAGGTGGTTCGATCTACCGATTCCCGAAAACTAACCCCCACTTTGCTTACTTTTAAAGTAGAGTGTATGCCATCTTCGTTGTGGTTTTTTTCGACCTCCAATTGCTCTGTTTGATCTTTAATTTGTGCGCTGCAAAATGTTGGGGTATGTATGTTTGTGTATGAGTTTGATTCAATTGTTGGAAATAATAATCTATAAACTGGGCAATAATAATAAATATATTTGATTTCTGCTCCCTGCAAACGGGTTTTTACTGTTTCGGCATGCCTCCAATTGAGAAAGTTCCCACAGCTTTATTTACGACTATTATTTACTGACTGTAAAGGCGGATCCGTATTTAGCCATTAATATGTTGAAATTAAAAATAATTTCTCTACCTAATAACAGTCTGTCATTGTGAACGGTTTGGGATCTTGATTTACGAGTATTTAAGTGGAAATTATTCTGTTTTTAAAAGGAAACCAAAGCAAATGTCCAATCCATCTTTCTAACAAATGTTTTGTTTTTAAGGGATATCACATTTTAAAGTCTATTTATAAGTATCAGTACTGTATTTTTAAGTATTCTCCAGCATTACAAAGTAATCAGCGGTGGAAGGAGTGTTTGTTGGTTTTCCAAACAGGTTTGTGTGAGAATAAAAAACTAGAATTCGAGCTAACTGTGACAAGTTGTAATATTGCGCAATCTAGAACTTGATTTTGCAATGACAATTACAAGATTTACTCACGAGTGGATGGCCAAGACCTCCCATTGATCGATCAGATGCATTTTGTCCAATCTTTCAATCAATCGAAGATCTATTCCGAAATAAAAAACGACTTTTGTGGAATGAAATGACAAATCGAACTGACTTCGATATGACTATTTGGATTTATGGTTAGCAAAAGTATAAAGCACAGATCTTGATTGGAAGCTTTCATTTCATGATCATTGTTGTTATTATTGTTGTTGTTGTTGTTGTTGCGACAAAGTTTCCATTTATAGAATACTACGCATTTCAATTAATGAAATAGTCATAATTAAATTAAAGAGTCGCCAGCACGAGTCGTATAACAATAAGGTCTTCCAGCGGCAGACCCGAGATTACTGGCATACGTGCATAGTATGTAAATAAGAGCCATATGCAGGGTGCTATTTACTTAGTAACTCGAGACCATGTCGTCATATAGATTACACGCCTTTATCAATGCAGCCTCCGGTTTTACTTTTATTACATTTTCATTGTGGCCCACAAAAAGTTTCCATTGCACATCCACTGAACATATATATATATGGATGCTATATATACTATATAGTATATATGCTTCACAAGTGCGATGTGCAAATTGAACTAGCGGGTCAGGCGAGGACATATTGGGGCCATCGGGTTGAGATACAGACACATTCTTTGTGGATGCAATCTCTGCTGCACTTTTACAGCTTCCATTGGGGACTGTCATCCGTCATCTGGCTAGAGATTTCTCAGGGCAAGGAGTGAGGAGTGGAGTCGATAGCTAGAAGCCTCGTGTTCAGTTCCAATTACACTCAATTACTGAAGTCCCATCATCCTAGGAACTGCGATCTCAATTGCTGAAAGGCTGGAAGTTATTTTTGGACCCTTAATTGGAACTGCCATTGGATGAGTCAGTCGAAACGCATCTCGAAGTCTATTAGAAATCAGTTATGCAGGTGCACTATATTGCACTAATAAAATCTATATCAATTGCAGAACAAACCACTCTGAACCAGCTCGAACTAACAAATTCTCAATCAAATGAGTTGAGCATTTGCTTTTGCTATTAATCCATGTTGTAATCTAAATTGCCACGACAATCAAACTCGAAGTGCATGTGAGGCACTACCCACCTATAGATAGATATATGTATATTTATATATAGCACGTAGGATAGTCCTAATTTTGATATTGTTAAGCAGCACGCGGCCAATCAGTCACCGGGCCATCAATCAACTGATCGCATAGTTAACGCCTTGGCTGCGCCGCTTGATTAATTTAATCATGTGTGATTTGCGATTGTTTACTTTGCAAGTGTAAACAACGCGAACAGCATAAATATATACTGAAATCGGAGTCAATGATTAATGGATAATTACGCCGTCCCAGACACACGTTGGAAATTCCAATCCCCGTTTATTTTTTTAGACGTTGTAAATGTTGATAAAGAAAATAAACGAAATCGAGACGGTTACTAAATATACTGTTACTGTAATCTTTTTATTAGGATTAATTAGGTGGAATTGTAGATTCTTTCTATGGATAGTTATTGTTATACGAATCGTATTTCTAATTCTGCGTATTAGTATGTTTGAACTAGTAATGTTATTATTAATAAATAATAAAGTAACAACTACTAGTAAAAAATCTAGAATCTAGAAATATTAACCTTAAAGAGATTCAAAATGATTTAAAAAATATTAAGATCATTAAAACAAGAAATAGTACATAAAAGGTAAATAAATGAAAGCTAAAAATAAATATAAATAATATTACTGTCTGTATCAATATAAAACGTGTTCTTAATGTACTCTGATGGTAATTAAATATAAAGTTCTATAATTTTGTTCTGTAACTTCCAGTTCATAGCTATTATTGTTATCATTGATTTCCCGTGGGGCTGAATACTTTTTGCGATATCTCGAAGTGCGTTTCAGGGGCTTTAAAGTGCATTGACCAACATCAATATCAACAACTCGTTGCTGGGTAAATAAATATTTGCCTTAAAGTTATTACACGGCCTTAAGCGATTTTCTGTTGACCAAGAGGCAACAAAAAGGCCAGGGCCGGATTTTCCAGGCCTACACTGCTTTTCATTTTTTCAGCGGAAAATGAAAAATGGGGTCAGTTTAGGTCAGCCTGTCAGGATGTAATGATGAGGGCCAAGAAAAATCAATTTTATATAGTAGGGAACAAACCCCCTGAGGTAGAAAACTCCGCCCCTGGAACTTAATTGCGGTTTGTTAAGTGGTAAAGCAAAGAGAGAAATGAAGGGGACTAAAACTTTTAACGGGAAAATTCCTATACATAGATTTCAGGTAATATAAAAACAAAAAAAACCCACCTTGCCAGTCTTATCAAGGCCATGTTTGTTGTTCGATTCGATTCGCCGTCTATATAATTGACTTTCCTATTTTGTTCTTTTTTGGCAGGACCTTCTATTTATATTATTTGAAATTCGTCGGTATTTATTTATTTACTTCTCTCCTTTTCCTTCTTTTTTGATGCTATTTTGGCAGTGCAAGTAACGGTAAACGGGCGAAAAGGGAGGACGACGAGGAAGATGAAGTACAGGGAGCGCAATTTCTTTTGTTGTCTGCTCACTCTTACACGCACACAAACACACGTAAAATACAAATCGCACACACACACGCGGTCACAGCAACGGTTATTTGCAGCCGGCACAACAACAACACACTGCGCTTATTCGATATTTCCTTAGTTAAGTTGTTTTTATTTTTGCTATTTATTTAACACGTTTGTTTACATTTTCCCACACGCACAGACGGTATCTTCTCTTGATTCTTTTATACAACTTTTCAGCTAAGAGCATTTGTGTTTAAAATAATATTGCAATTGCAATTGCAATATCGCCTTTTAACCGGTCAATAAATTTGCACTCTTGTCATTTGCATTATTTCCAGGCTAAACAGTATAGTTTTCTTTGATTTCATTCGCGGTCCGCATTTATTATTCGGTTTCAACTCGCTCGGCGCCCGTTCACAAGTGCAGCGGCTTTAAAATAGGCGATATATACGCTATACTTCGATTCAAGTTTTTGCTCCGAACAGCTGTTAATCCGAATTGCCAATTACTTAGCTGAGATAACTACCTCTAGCAGGACTTGCAACCTTCAGCAAAGTGTTCGACCTAATTTGAGCTAATGTTCATCAGAGTTCTGTTTTCTGTCGCACTGGCACTCGTGGCGCTGTTACTTGGCAGTTTGAATTTGAATTTTACGTTTTTATTAAAAACTTTTTAGTTATCTTATGCAGTTTGTAAGAAATCAGAAATACTGGAATAAAATATCATACAAATGTGATAAAAGTTTACAAATTGTTACAAGTTTTAATCGCCGGATAAAAATTCTACCTGTTATACTTCAATAAACAAAATAAATATCGGTGACATTTGGCATTGTTTTTTTTTAAATATTATCCAAACTTCACAATTCTGTAGCCAAAATGTGGGAGCAGCTGGCAAGATATCGCAATCACTTCTTGCAACTAGAGATCAAGGATGTTATGAAGTCCACCTCCATCAACACTCAACAGAATCAAGGTGAGAAAAGAAAAATGATTTATAACTCAGTCTTAAATGTAAAAAATATATATTAGAGCTGACTGAGGCCATGGAAAAACGGGAGATGTGTAAATGCATTCCTTATCGCTGCAAAACGAGCTCCACTTACCTGGATGATCGGGCTAAGTTGGCCTATGGCTGGTTTGCTTTGCCCAAGCTGATGAAAGAATTGGATAGTGATGTTCCCTTGACCCACTGGAAGGCAGTCGTCTCACTAACAGATTTTCTCTTGAACCCGCTGAATGCCCAAAGAGCCATTATTGAAAAGGACATTGTGAGAAAGTAAGTTGACTTCTTGATCGATACTTTCAGTTCTGGAAACTCCCCTCTTTTAAACAGATTGAAAAATGCATTTATGCGAAAGAGATTGAAGCATCACCAAGAGGAATACCGAGAGGTGGAGATGTATCTAAGGATATATAGTAAGTTCGGTATTAAGTCAGCCAATCTTAACTTGAATCATTTCTGCCCCAGATATACTCTCACGTAATTTGGATGGTGCCGAAAATATAGCCAACCGCAAGTGTCTTAGGATTGAGTTTTATAAAATCATTAAGGATCAGGAGTCGGTTAAAGATGATCTGGCTTCAGAGATTCTGAGAAATTTGACAGGCAAACCAAAAGGTAAGCTAAGAAATTTCTATAGAATTAAAAAAATATATAAAAATAGCATGATTAATTTCTTTCATCCCCCCTAGTTCTAGGTATTATTCTAGAGGATCCTGAGAACTTCGCTTCCTTGGCTGAAATTTTCAAGCAGGATCCCTGTCGTCCACATTATCCTCTACATTTGTGGCACCATCTTTGCCATTTGATGGAACTGGCTCCCGAGCAGGGAATCGAGTTGGGGTTCTTTGAACTGCTGCACCCGAGGATCCTGAATCGCCTTCCCAACTTTTGGGATATGTCCACCAAGGCATTTGCCTTGCTGCTTCGCTGCACTGAGGGTCAGCGTCGTTTCGACGAAGTGGATGGTGTGAAGCTCCTGTACGATGTCTTTGTCCAACCTGATGAAAATCAAAGGGTGCTGCTACCTCGTCAGAAGGTGGAGAACTGGGAGTACATGGTGTTGGCCCTGCTCAATGGTCTCCATAGCAAAAAGGCCTTGTGGCGCAGCAGGGAGTTTACTCAGCTGCCATGCTATGTGGGTCGACTGATGGTCGCCACGGTTGATAATCCTCGCCTGCAACTTTATTGCCTTAAAGTGTTCCGGGAACTTGGAGTGATGCCGTGTATTAAACGCTATATCATAGCCAACTGGTTGGAGGAAGTCTGCAAGCTGTTCTGCTTGGATGCGGAGGCAGAATGCGCCAGGGACTCGCTGGTCGATTGGCTGCGTCGGGATATAGCCGATAGTAGCTAATACCCCTTACTTTCCTTTTGATTTCAATGTTTGTTAACCGAAAAAACATAGAATTTCTCCTTATACCAACCGTTTAGATAAATCCAAACCGTTTCAAAACCACCCCTGATGTCCCAAAGAGAAGCCGGTTAAGAAAGAGGGGTAAACTTCGTCGAGAGAGAGAGAGAGCTTATTCTGCTATCAGCTGTTTCATTCTGTTGCAAAATAATGTAAATTGTAGTAAATACTGAACACCTCTCAAATCTATGGCATGCACTTACAAATTCCCTTTAATGTTGCTAAACGGCTTACCAATAAAATCCCCTTTCTGTGGCCAAAGTTGTTTTTCATTCGCCTTGACCCTGTCAGTTGGAAATCGGAAAAGCTACAGCCACATTTATTGACAACATTGCATATTTATGAACGGATAAATGTGAAGTGTGAATTGTGAAGATGGCAGGAAACTTTTCCAATTTCCGACGCCTGGCCGTTGGCGACAATAATGAGCAGTGGCAGTGCAAGGATGCGAGGATGCAAGGATGCTGTCAGGACAAACACCGCAAAAATAACAACAAAAGTGGAAAAGTAACAACCACTGACCAGAGTAGCCACAGTAACCGCAGTTTGCGGTTCCTGCCAAGCCTTCTCTGCACTGTTTTTTTCACATCTACATATTTTAATATCTATCTAGATATATATATAAGAGCACATATATATATAAATCACATTTTTTCCATATTATTTTTCTGCGGTGACAAACTTGGCAACGAGTTGCAGTTCCTTTTTTTAATTTATTTGGATTGGCAGGAGGGCAAAGAAGGAGTCGGGCATTGTGCCTGGATCCTTGTGACCGGCCCACATTTCGCATTCAATCGGCAAGTTTTGTGCCTTGTCATCGGTGGGATTCTTCTTGGTAGCAATTTTCCAAAGTCCCTGGTGCCCGGACTCTTTTGTGAACTTTTTAATTACCGCTGCGAGTTTGGCTTGTTTTCTTTTTGGACTTTTCTTCTTCTCACTTCTTTTTATTTTCTCGCTCCTAGCCTTTTTTCCCATTTTTCAAGTTGTTTATGAAATATTTTATGGAAATTATGCAAAACTTGTTTACCAGACTTCATATTCAGCAGCACTCGCCGTTCTCCATCAGCCATTTGGCGCCTTCAAACAAAGTTCCTCACTTTTTGCCACTCAAATTAATTGCATAACAAATTGTGTTGATGAAGTGCAAGAATGCTGCTGGAGTACATCTAACTAAAATGAGCTTGGTCATTCTTGCATTGGGTTGGGTTTGGTTTTCCAGTTAATATACATAGCTTTGTCTGCCCTGCCTTCCACAACGAGCTTGGATACAGATAAAGATAAAAAACGAATGTGAAAACTACTCAATTCATTTTGAATGTTTGATATAAACAAATGAATGAAGAAATTTTAAGTAATCAGTTTTATATTTAATAATTATTATGTTTCTATTCCTATTTTAAAGGCTAATGGAAATGGATTATTTGTTGAATTTGAAATAGAAAACTGAATATGTAACTCTAACCTTCTCTATTTTATCGCAGTGTCATCCCTAATTGGTGTACATCAGAAGCCCATTATTGGAACATTACCAACTTAACGATAGCCATCATTTCAGGGAACAGTTGGATGCTTTCGGAAAAACCAGTTGAGGGATACATTTCATCGATGGCCCTGTGGCGTTCGCTTCGCCTGAGCAACCGTTACATCAGCCAGCACGTGCTCCTCCTGCTGCGTTTCTACCGGGCGCAGTTCTATTACCTGGGACTGATGCGCATACGCTACGAGGAGTGCCGAAAGGAGATGCGTTTGACCTACTACAGTGTCACCGTCTCAAGGATTATTGGCCTTTGGTTCGGCTTCTTCTTTACTTTGGCCCTTTTGGAACCCTATTCCCTGATGCTTCACCTCCAGCTGGTGGGATTCACCTGCTGTCTGTTAATCCAGCCAAGAGGAGTCGTCGAGGAGCGAACGAGGTTGCTGAACCGAATCCTGCATCTTTCGCCGCAACTCTATCGTTTGTGCAGGCGGAAGATGCACTTGTCCTGGTCGTTGGTTTTCCAGTTGCTGGTCAAATTCCTAACCTTTCGGATGTTCTACGAGGGTCTACTGGGTCATAGGGCCGCTAGCTGGAAAATGATGTACATTGTGCTCTTCGTGGTGCCGATTTCATTCGCCATTTGGGTGATGGATGTCACTTCCCATTTGATTGGCATTGTACTTTCCCTCCTGCTCAAGTCCTTCGAGATGGTGAATACAGAAATGACTGCCATTGATGAGAGACTCTGTTTGGAGATCCTGCGATCGGATTATCAAGCAGTGAGGAGGTTACAAAGACGCCTGGCTTCCCTGCAGCTACTACATCGATCTTATGTAAAGGTCACCCATCAGTTGATCAAATGCCTGAGTCCCCAATTGATCCTGATAGTTCTCTACGACCTCAGCACCATCTACACCTTTTCGAGTGGCGAATGGCGACGCATCTTACAAATTGGAGTTTTAGTCAACAACCTAAAGGGCCTCCTGCACACCCTTGATGAACTGGTGGCCACCAGTGGTGCTCCACAGGACACCTCTTGGATGCACGTGGCGCATCTCCTTCATTTCGAGGAGGTCCTGGCCACACATGGTTGGTTGGGACGAAAGGACTTCCGCTGGAAGGTTCAGGATATCGACAGTTTCGGTCAGAGCGTGAGGCGATGTTGCTTCCAGCCGAGCCTCTTAGTCCTTGGATTGGTTACTCCAAATAGGAGACTTCTGTTTCGCTTAACCTTTGCCTTCTGCAGTCTCCTGCATCTGCACTTTATGTGGAAGAAATCTGCTTTGGTGGTCGAGAAGGAAATCTTCATCGGCTCGGAAATTAGTTTAAAACCTAAAAATTAAAATTGAAATCATTATAAGATTTTAAATTTCCTTTAAAGGCAATAAAAAATGTTAAAAATGCATTAAGAAGGAAGCTCATAAACGTTAATGAAAACAATTTATAGAATGGGAGAAAATAGTGCTTAGAAAAAGTTGCTGTAATAAGTATCTAGCAGCTCGTTAAATTTAAGAGTTAAGGGAAATATTTCCTTTGGTGATTAATGAACGGCAAAGACCTTTGTTTATTAAACGCCAGCGAAAGTTGCTCCTCGTTGAGACAGAAAACCCTTCCAACTATGCAGTTCCTCCTGCCAAGATGGGGGGAGGAACCATTTCTCAAACACTTTGATTAACTTTCTAGAGGAACTCTCGGGTCGGCTTGAAGACATTTATCATCTATTTATTGCTCTCCAAATATTATTTGTTCGATGTTACACGCACTTTACAAGCTTGAGTTTGCACCACGGGAGCTGAAGAGTCTTCTTCGGCTGCTGCCTCTGCTGCTGCTGCTGCTGTTGGTGGTGGGTAATTTTAAATAATTTATGCATTCGCCCCTGCTGTAACATGCACAAAAATAACAAGGGAAGCTTCCTTATTTTCCGGGCCACCCCGCAGTGAGTTCCTCCCTGATATATGTAATTGCATGGCTGGCCGAGCACTTGAGGTGCCATGGGGAGGTCCTCCCTCCCCGTCCGATCCTCACACATGCCCATCCTGGCTGCCTTCCGCTCTGTTTTCCCTTACAAGATGGGGATGCGGATCCATAAATCATTTTTAAAACATTACCTCAACGAATGCGACTACGCAGAAGTATTTTATGTATACAATTTTGCACCTCCTAAAGCGTCTGAAGATTTATAGGAAAGTGGCTCCAGGGACCCAAAGGCCACCTCCAAAATCCTCTCCAGAATTGTCACAGCTAGGTTGATTAAATTTTTCAACTGACTTTGGCACAGTTATGCTTCAGCTTCGATTTATGGCCGCAGTTCGCTTTCCATTTTCCCTTCCTTCCACTGGCCAAATAAACATTGAAAATCAATTAAACTTTTATGCACACAAAGACAGCGAGGCAGTTAAAATAAAACAATTTTAAAGCCACTCTAATTGAATTTAGTTGGGTGATAAAATGAAACATTTTATCGTAGCTTTGGCTTTGATTTAAGTTTAAAGTTTTGATTGTTTCGGGTAAGACTTGAACTTCTTATCCGATATCTTTTATCTGCTTTGCGTTCCTTGGGGTTCATTCACAACAAAAGACAATGGAGTGTGACAAGTGGCGGAAAAAGGGGAAAACTTTTCCCAGCCCCAGTTCTTGTTTTTGTTATTTGAAGAATTTACACTCTGCTCAAGGGACAATAATTTAGCTTCGGCCAGCCTGAAAATAATGTAAGTTATGCCAACCACGAAATTAGGCCGCTGGCAAGGAGAAAAGTGGATAAATATATATATGTACGAGTATATAGGGAGGAGTATCTGGCTTAGCTGGAAACAAGGGAGCACAGCCATGGGCAAACGGCTTTTGTATAAATCTCTTTAATTTATTAGATTTCATTAGACATTTTGGCGTTGAGTCTGGCCGCGGGTGGTGCTGGAATTTGGTGCTTCCACCGCAATTTTTATATTAACAAGCTCGAAACACGACTTTCCCTTGTGCCTTGTCCCTCATAAAAAGTAATAATGTGGCAGTAAAATCGTTAGCCAGGGGCCAAGAAAAAGGCAAAGATAAAGGAGGAGAGCGCGATGAAGGTGGTTGGCGAGCGAAAGTGTAGCATACTTTTCTGGGCTAGCATTTTCTGTTTTTGTGTTTTTTCCATCAATTCAAAGTCCTTTCTTGGGAGATTTCAAGGTGCAAGTCTTGTAAATTTTCTGTTTTATTTAAAGTTTAGGTCTTAAAAATCAAATATGTGTCTCAAATTTGTGTTTTTAAAAGTTTTATAACCCAACTCAGGCATAGTATATGCGATGTTAGAGTCAAGTTCTTAATATTTTTGTTAATAATTTATTAAAATGTTAAAAATGTATAAAAACAATGCCAAACAAGGTCAACTGATTTCGGAATATAAACCCAAAATTTAAATGCAACTCAACCATATCCCTGGCCATATCTTTGCCGGTTACGCCACGCACATGCATGTATAATTTAGGATCACTCCAAATAAATTACACACTCAACGATGTCAAACCCACACTCTCACACACACACATGCACATTTGGTGAGAGCCTGAAAGGGAAAGGAGAAAGGCAACAACGTTGTAATCAACAAAATTACACTAAAATACAAAGCAAAAAAAAAAGGCAGGAGAAATAAATTTGACACGAATGCGTCGGCGAGGATGACACAAAAGCGGTACCTACCCCAAAACCCCCGCAAACTGTTGCCCCCATTCCCTCTTGCCACCCTTTTTACCGCTTTTTTTTACCATCTCCCCCCTTTCCACCATGAAAGCCAAAGTAAAAATGGCACAACGCTCGAAGCCAAACAATGTAAAAGTCGCTGCCAGGACATGACGAGGCGAGCAAGTGGCATGCTCCTGTAGGTGTGCAACTGAGTCGGAGCACTGAGAGAAATACATTAAACATTATTGCTTAGGAATTAAATGAACTGAAAGATGATGTAAATTTACCATTTTTAAGGTATTTTATTGTTATTAATGTGACTCATTTGTTTAGGTATTTATATTTACTTTATAGTTTCTTTGAACTTTTTGCAGATATACTCCAAAAAGCTTAAAGTTAAATATTAACTTAAGGAAGAAATATAATATTAAATTTTATTTCTGAATTACACACTGGATTAGGGCTCAAAAGTAATAATGATTTAATTTCTATGTTTAAATAATTAACACACATTTAAAGAATATTTTTTAACACAGATTTCCCAGATCTATAAATACTTTTTAACTTTTTCAAGTAAATAAAGAGACGATGGGTGTATTCCTTAAACAAATACAGCCATGTTGCAAATTGAAATGGGATATTTTTCGAAAACAGGAAAAAAGAGTGCTGTGTATGTGGACGGGAGTGTTTGCGTGTTTGGGTGTGAGTGAGTGTGAGTGTGTGTCATGTGCGACACTTTGTAACATATTTTTTCTCATTTGTTTTCACGCGCGTCTGTCTGCGTGTGAGTGTTTGCCTCTTTTTCGGCGTCACTCGTCAGTGTCTCTCTGCCCCTCTCTTACCTTCTCTTCTTCTCTTCCCCTTAATGTCAATTCACGTGAGTGTGTGTGTGTGTGTGAGTCAAGTTGTTTTTGTCACGCAACACATACACAAACACACACATATTGAGGCCCACTTATACATATGACCTACAGCACACCACCCCGCGCGTATCAATCAGTTAAAAATATTTTCCGCTGCCAAAGGTTGCAGAAAAAAAAAAAGAGGAAAGCACCTCCCAAGGGGGGGGACTCCACCTTTGTTGTTGTAATTTTTATGGCTACATTTATAACATTTATTTTGTATTTTTACGAGCTGAATTGTCTTTTGTTGCTTTATTATTATGTCTCACTTCGGCTTTTTATGAGAGTTTTCCTGCCTCGAAAACCAACACACCCCTGCCCTCAGAGAAAAGAGACAAAGAGGACGAACCTTTCCCAACAGTAAGCGAAAACCAAATTGCCAGGCAGGGTAATGACATTTTAAGTGTGCCCTTGGGGGTGGTTGAGTAAAGGGGTCCAGAGTATCAGAAACAGCCTTCATAAAGTCAAAACCATAATTTGGTAATAACTTGCCCCACCTGCTTTAGGGCCATTTTTATAGCAAGGTTGTAATGAAAAATCTTTTCCGTATTTAAAATGGATTGATGAAGCTCCGCTGTGAAAGTTTTATTTTTGAAAACAAAATTTACAGATTCTCTACGAAGCAATATTGATGTTATGGATAAAATTTCGTTGCGAAATCTAAAAGTTATTTCTTAAAAAGATTGTCTACGTGAAAAACTCAGCTTCCCTTGCCGGATTTAAATGATTTTTCTATGTCAACGTTGCCTTCCCTCTCAGCCATATCTAATTTCTGGCTATAACTGCATTATTCAAGCTCGCTTAGACAATAGTTGTCCAGCAGTTGGAGTTCCTCACTTAGCCAGCTTTAGTTTTTCACACCCCCTCGAGGCACTTTAGAAAATGAACCGAGCCCAGAAAAAATGCCAAACAAAGCAAAGCATTTTATAATAACTTTTCAACAATGGAATGCTTTGTTTTCACTTTGATTAAAATATTTCTCCTCTTCCCTTATATATATTATAGTACGGTATGCACAATATATAGCATAGATAAAATGCGAATGATGAGGAAAGAAGAGGTTTTGGGTGGGGGAGGGGTAAAACCCGAACCTAGTTATAAAACAAATTATGCATTATTAAAAACACAAGGGACCAGGAGGGGAAAAGGAAGAGGAAAGGACGAGGAACGTAATGCAATGGCAGTTGGAAGAAATGGAGAAGAACCAGGACATGGAAGAACTGACAATGAAGCCGCAAAAACTTGGCACGGCCAACACAAAACAGAAAAAAAAAATGGAAAATATAGAATATAAAAAAATATATATACCCATAGAACCAAGAACGGAATGTTAAATTTTATAAATAGAGCATAGAACAACAGAGAGAGAGGTAGGGGAGAAGGGAGAAGGGAGGATGGCGGCAACGGCAACGGGAACAGAGATTGAAGTGCCAGCAAATTTATGGAATACGAACATTTCCTATTTTTCCTATTTTCCTCTCCACTCTTTTTTGTTGATTTACTTTTGCTCTGCGCAAATTGAATCAAATGCAATGGAAAACGGGGAGAGGTGAATGGCAGGAAAGGGAAGGGAGGAGGTCCTGGCGAAAGCCTGGCAAGGATTTGGTTGCCGAGTTGAAAGGCAAACGAAGTTTTGTTCCTGCGACAATTTGTCGTCTACATCTAGCAGCCAAAGCCAAAGCCAAAGCCAAAGCCAAAGCTAAAGCTAAAACAGAATCTGAGTTTTGAACCTGACAAGATGGGAAATATTTTATTATATATAGGTGAGGCACCATCCAACT